CTCTTGAACTGCATCCCAATCATCACCAATACTGCAGAAAACCTATTGGCACCCGCATAGACCCAAGATTCTCACAGAAATCAAAAGTTCGGGGAAGGAAATTCATGATTTAGGGTTACATTCAGTATGGGGGTGTGTAAGAGATTTGCAGAGTGGATGGCAACATCAACAGCCTGAGCTATCGAGACATTTGTGCTGCTCGTTACATTACAAACCACAGGAGAGGGCAAATTCTTCAGCAGGATAGCTCTCCTTCTCATACTTGAGCCTCCAAAGTTCCTGAAAGCAAAGAAGGTCAAGGTGCTCCTGGTATGGCTAGCCCAGTCACCAGACATGAACATTATTGAGCATGTCTAGGCTAAGATGAAAGAAAAGGCACTGAAGATGAACTCAAATAATCTTGATGAACTCTGGGAGTCCTGCAGGAATGCTTTCTTTGCCATTCCAGGTGACTTCCAGATGTATGGATGCAATAGTTCAAACTCATGGGAGTCATACAGAATAATAATTCTTTTTCCACTTCACCATGACTTTATATTCTATACTATACATTATTTCTGTTAAGTAACAAGACTTTAGTCTAATCAAAGTCAGACCTTACTGTCCTGATTAAATCATTGAAAATCAAGACATGATACTTTTTTATTGAGGTAAAATAAGCGGCCTTTGGCTTTCATATAGAGCCACTTCTAATACCAAATGATCAACTAAAAGTTGAGTTAGTATTTATTGTTTCTAAAACTTGGATATGTGACAAGACTTTTGTCAGGTAGTGTAGTACACAGTGCAATATAGCACTCTTGTCCTTGATGAACTTGTTTTATGAATGTTAAAGAATTGTGTTTTTATAATAGTAGCTATATCAGACTACTAAATGCTAGAGAGTCTTAAGAGAGATTGTTGTAATTATGAATATATAATATAGACCCTTTATATTTTTCAAATCTGTGTTTGTCTTATCAATAAGATCGAAAACGACATAATATTTTAAGCTCATTTTATGGGTTTTGTGCTATTGGGTTTTATATGCATTTGTCGACCTCATAAGGGTTAATAATGCCAGAGCTAAATAATGCGTGCACATGTCATCAAAAAAAAAAAAAACATGGTTCCAGGGATGTTGCTAAATTAAATCCCCATTTTATTCTGGCCATAGCTCAAACAATACAAGCTGAGTCATTGAAGTTTAACATTTATAATTTGTGATCTTGGATCAGGTCACTATCTTAGATTACTAAATACAGTGTCATCTGATGTAAGACAATATCATGTCCTGTGGCATGTTGTTTTTTATAAAGAAGTTGATAACACCCATCTGAGTTTCACTCTCATGTTGATATGCATAACAATGATGGAGAAAGAAAGTTTCTGTTTGTTCTGGTATATACAGTTGAAGTCTGAGTTATTAGCCCCCCTGCATATATTGACCCCCAATTTTGATTTAACGGAGAGATTTGGTCAACTTAATATAATAGTTTTAATAACTAATTTCTAACATCTTTGCTATGATTTCAAAACACTTCTATACAGCTTAAAGTGACATTTAAAAGCTTAACTAGGTTAGGGTAATCAGGCAAGTCATTGTATAATGATGGTTTGTTCTGTAGAAAATTGAAAAAATACATTGCTTAAGGAGGCTAATAATATTGACCTTTAAAAAAAATAAAAACTGCTTTTATTCAAGCCAAATTAAAACAAATAAGACTTCCTCCAGAAGACAAAATATTATAGGAAATACTGTGAAAAAGTCCTTGCTCTGAAAAACATAATTTGGGAAATTGACACAAAGGAGGGATAATAATGTTGACTTCAACTATATGTGTGCATGTGCGTGCGTGCATGTTTTGTTTTTTTTTTTTTTGATGACTGTTTTGATGTCATCAGATTTGATGACTGATCAAGTCTGAGGAGAGAAAATCACTCCTGAGCAATGTATATCTCCATTCTTCATACAAGTGGTCTCTAAAAGCTGTCATTAGCAAGAAAAAAAAGAAAAGAAAAAGTTTCTACACAAATTATTTAACACTTTTCAGTTGTACGGCTCCTTCTCCCTGTGTCATTCACTTTTGACTTAATTTCAGATTATTTAAAAAAAAAGTAATGTTTTGTTATATTAGTGTGTGGGTTTGGGAGGGTGCAGTGACTTGAAGTTGTTAGCACTGTCATCTCACAGTAAAAAGGTCGCTGGTTTGAGTCCCAGTTGGGCCAGTTGGCATTTCTGTATGGAGTTTGCATGTTCTCATGTTCACTTGGGTTTTCTCCAGGTGCCGCTGTTTCCCCCAGTCCAAAGATATGCGCTATTGGTGTAATGGTTTAACTAAATTGACCATAGTGTATGTGTGTGAATAAGAGTGTATGGATGTTTCCCAGTACTGGGTTGTGGCTGGAAGGGCATCCTCTGCTTTTCTGATTAAAAGAAAAAAACATGACATTTCAATACTTATTTTACTCAAATACTTTACTGGTCAAAAGTTTAGGGACAGTTTTTTTTTTTTCCATGTTTTTTTTAAGAAAATTTTTCCATTCATTAAGGTGTCATTTATTAAATGTTAAAAATTGGTAAATATTTATTCAAATTTTGAATAACTGCTTTCTTATTATTGATGTAGTTTCAAATTAAATGATTACTTCAGTCATTATTGCGTTTATCACTATTACCATTATTAACAATAAAAATATTAAATAACAATTAATATTAGAGTGATTTCTGAAAGATCATGTGACTCTGCAGACTGGAATAATTAAGCTGAAAATTCGTCATTAAAATCACTGGATTAAATGCTAAAATGTAATGATAAACTACTTTATCAGTTATTTTATAGTGCAGTTCCATTTCACAATGTGTACTGTATTTGTAATGAAATAAATGCAGTCTTGGTGAGCAGGAGAAGCTTATTTTAAAACATTTAAAAATCCTACTAACACCCAATTTTTAAACCGGTAATGTAGATATATACAAAGTTAGGCTATTTCTGAAAAGAAAATTAAATGTTATTTGGAAAAAAATATCCACAACACGTAATGCTTCATGCTGTTTATTAGGAATGCTTAAAGGTTTGTATGGAGGTTTTCAGGCCATCCGTTGACATACATCTTATGCAAATTCTGTGTAATATATATCATCCAAAGGATGCATATGACCTTGGGGCGGACACTGAAACGGAAACCCCTGTGGGTCAGATTTCTCAATAACCCACTTCAGAAAAGATCCGCCCTGCATATACATTAGCACACATGACCCTGGTCCAGCCCTTTGGAGGCTCGCTGCTTTCACTGGATTCCCTAAGTTCCAATCATTGCTCTTTATTTCTTAAAGGGAAGAGTTCACCCAAAATGGAATATTCTGTCATCTGCACACAAAAAAGAATGTTGGAAAGCAGAAGCCACTGACTCCCATTGTATGTTTTTTTTTTCTACCATGGGCTGCTGGATTACATTATTTAGAATATCTTGTTTTGTGTTCAACATTAATAAGAAACTCATAAAACTTAATAAACACTTAGTAAACAATGAGGACATTTTCATTTTTGGGTGAACTATTACTTTAAAATGAAGAATTTGTGAGATTAAGCAAATACAACCACAATTCCAATAAAGCTGACGTTGGATGTTTTTCTAAAATGCAGTTCAATCAGGAATGTGTGATTTGTAAATTCTCTTTAGCTTATATGCAATTGAAAAAAGTATAAAGAAAAGATTTCTAATGTTTTGACTGGCCAAATCGGTTGTCTTCTATGAATATAAACTAAATGTTTAGATTTTGATTGCAGAAATACGCTAGAAAAAAATGGCACAGAAGCAAAATAAAAGTTTAAAGGCTATAGAGGATCCAAATGAGATGGTTTTGAAAAGGTCCACAATAATCTGGCCAACTGGCAATACAGAAAGGTTTCATGTTTGAGTATAAAAAGGAAGATTTCAGTCTTTGCAAGCAAGTTGGATCCGGATTGTGGCTTATAAATTTTTTTTTTTTTTTTTTTTGCCAATGAAAGTCAAACAAATCAAAAATAATATTTCTCAAAGCAAAATTGCAAAGTTTTTTTTGTCAACTCACATGTGTATTAATCTCAAATGATTCAGCCGACTCGAATGTTATCACTCGATTTTATAGTCATTATCAGTGGTTATCAGTTGATAGATATAGACATGTAGAAGCCTTCTGCGCCTACTAGTAGGCTCAGAAGGCTGTTATCATCCATCCAAATGGTTAATCAACAATAGATCTCATACGGTTGTGGCCAGAAGTTAACGAGAATTGGTTGTTATTAATTAAATTTCCAATTAATTGTATTTTATTAATGTCTATGTCTTTCCCAGAGATGGGTTGCGGCTGGAAGGGCAGCCGCTGCGTAAAAACGTGGTGGATAAGTTGGCGGTTCATTCAGCTGTTGCGACCCCGGATTAATAAAGGGACTAAGCCGACAAGAAAATGGATGAATAATGTCTATATCTACCCCAACCCTAAACCCAACCGTCAAAGTAATGTAAAAACAGATCTGGATCTTGAGTGTTAGTATTAGTATCTCTATTAGTATAGCTGATTAACCACGAGAATCATTTATATTATTTATTAAATTTCCATTAATTGTATTTAATTAATGTCTACCGCTACCCCAACACTTAACACAACCGTCACAGTAATGTAAAAACAGATCTGGATGAGGTGTTTTCTCTATTAGTATAGCTGATTGACCATGTGGATAGATGATTACAGCCTTCTGAGCCAACTAGTAGGCGCAGAAGGCCTCTACTGGCCCATATCTATAAGCTGATAACCACTGATAACACTAATTCAATCAAGTGATAATATTCAATCAAGTGTATGATTGAGGGAATTGAGTCAGGAAAGAAGTCTGTGTAACCTGAATGTGCTTGACATTTGAGCCCTCAGATGACATTGCGTAAAAAAAGAGAGTTCAATAAAATCTCAGCAGTACTTCAGAAAACATCTGTCACTAAAAACACAACAATAGTTAACAATAGCAAGCAAGACACTTGACTGCCTCCTGGTGAAAATATATTGGCCATCATGAAGAAGAGAAACAAACACTGATAACCACCTACTGCTGAGTAAGTCAGGTATCATGTCGGACTGAGCAAAACAATGCCTGTAAAACTTTAACAATCGGCGTCCTCTATTCCCAGACAATTAAACACTGTAATTACCTTGTGTACAGCAGCTGCAGCCATCTAAATAAAAATAGTTTATAATTACAGCACAGAATTGATTTGGTCAGGGAAAACATCGGAAATCTTCCCATTGTACTTTTGTCAATTAAAAGTTGAAGGGAATTAACAAACCACATATTTATCATTTTTACAAAAACGTTTTAAAAAGTCAAACATATGCACACATTTTAACTGAAATAAGCAAAGTGTTGGTCAAAGTTCTTCATCGGGCTCACACATTTGCATAAGCAGCAACTTAATCTCTAATAATTCAAACAGATGTATCAAAGGTGTGTTTCAAACAGGATATATCTCCCTAAGAAGGGCACTTTAAAGTGAATTAATAATTAATCAATAGACAAATGGATTGATAGATAACTGGTAGATTGGATAAACAGATGCATTAATGGGTAGAAGGGAAAAAATACACAGATGGATGGATAGAAAAACTGGTAGACTGGATGAACAGATGAATTAATATACAGATGGAAAAAAACAGGAATGGATGGATAGATGTATAAATAAACTGGTAGACTGGATGAACAGATGCATTATTGAATGTATGGAAAAATAGAGAGATTAATTTATGGATGGATAGAATACTGGTAAATTGGATGAGCAGATGACTTAATATACAGACGGAAAAAAAGAGGAATGGACGAATAGATAAACTGGTAGACTGGATGAACAGATGAATTAATGGATAGATGGAAAAAATAGACAGACGGATGGATGGATAAAAAAATGGTAGATTGGATAAACAGATAAATTAGTATACAGATGGAAAAAAACTGAGGAAAAGATGGATAGATAAACTGTTAGACTGGATAAACAGATGCATTAATGAATAGATGGAAAAAAAGATGGATGGATAGATAACTGGTAGACTGGATGAACAGATCAATTAATGGATAGATGGAAAAAAATAGACGAATAGATGGATTATAGAAAAACGGGTAGACTGGATGAACAGATGAATGAATGGATAGATGGACTAATAGACAGATGAATGGATGGATGAATAGGAAAACTGTTTCAAACAGGTTATATCACCCTCAGAATTGCACTATGAAGGGTTAACAATCATGGCTGCCATATTGAAGTGTCGTTTCAAACCGAAGTGCTCAAAACTGACTACTTCGAAGGGTCCTTTGGAATAAAGGTTTTCGAAGTGCACAACTTCATTGCCCCATGATTCATTGCACAGATAAGTTGTTTGATGAAAAAGAGTGTGTTCCATTCGGAAGGCCTCATCTCTATGCCCTAAATCCCTTTAAAGCTTTCAGTGTATAAACTCTTAAAGGTAATAGGGCATACGGAGGAGCCCTTCCAAATTCAAGTCCTCCTGGGACATTTCTACTCATAAGTTGACAAGTTGTAATAAAGAAGTCACAATAGCATTGTATCTTCTATTGATAAATGACCAAAAGTACAGCAGGATTTGTTTAAATGATTCTGATTGGTCATTCATGGCTGGTATGTTTTAACGAGATAACAGCCACTGAAACTAATAATACAGTAAGTTATGCATATGTTAGTGTATGCGCCATCTGCTCCATTCAGCAGTTTTCATTTCTGTCAGCTTTGCCTTTAATTATAGAATTATATTTTAGCCCAGAAAAATGTTTGCTGTCAAATAATTTTGTTTTGTGGCAAGCAATCATAAGCAGTATAAAGTACATCTAGGTAGTTATTTTTGCAGAAAACAGCCCTTCAAATCTTTAACAACAGCCCTCCGCTTAACGTCAAGCTGCCGATAATCCTGTCTGGCTATATTCTGCAATAACAACCTTCTGGATGTACTTTATACCTTTCTTATAGAAAATGAAGTCTGCAGAGACTTTGCGTTCAAGAATGTGGCCCAGTGATCTATATATAAGATATGTCATGGTAAATATAATTCTATGTTATAGATCAATGATTCTGTCTGTTTCTCACTGACACTGTCCCAACTCGCAAATTTGGAGGTTGTATAAATGACTTTGTGGTGACATTCATGTGCATTCAAGACGTAATTATGATTTACCCGACATAAATGCACCAAGACTTGAGCAATCAAAGTCAATTAGGCAGCTCTATTGTATCGCAATTAAAACAAGACTTTCCTGCTAAATTTTAATTAATTTTATTCTGTATTTAGTTTTAAATACAGAAACAATATCCTAAAAACTACTTGAAAATGAAAAAAATAGCAAGACAATCACATTGAGGCCCATTTAATTTAAGTTGCTGTCTTTGTATGCAAGTGTTTGAGCCCTAGGAAAGTCTTTAACCTAAACGTTGATTAAAATAAATGTGCAAATCTTGTTTTTTTTTGTTGTTGTTTTTTTAGGAACATCCTAGCTTTTTTCGGAATTGGGATTGTTAATACAATTGGGCTTTATTGCATGGTTTAAATATTAGAAAATGGCAGTATAACTGCAAAATCTATACATAAATCACACTTTCTCTTTGATAAAATGACACTGTCAATGAACCAATTGTAAATGCTTTTCTTGGCAAACAGTATATAAATGTGGCAAGTTGAACTTGAATGTGTTGATGTCTTTGTTGAGGTCAGATTCCATCTTCTTTCATCTGTGCCCTTTAACGGAAGACAAAAAGACATGACAACCCGACATCTGCGGGCGGTTCTACTTTCATCATATGCACTGAAATGTATACGACCCATGTATTCACGTCATGTCAAGTAGAAATAAAAGCTTTGCACGTAAAATTAATTGCGATACAGAAATTGCATATGCTATTATTGTGATAGGCCTAGTGGGAAAACAAACATGAATGAATGAATGAATGAATGAATGAATGAATGAATGAATGAATGAATGAACGAATGAATAATTTGATAGACACATAGAGGGATAAATTGAAAGACTGAAAGACAGACATATTTATGGGTGGATGGAAAAATTGACAAATGGATTAATGGACAGGTAGACCAGCAGGGCTTCAGGATGATAGATAGATAGATAGATAGATAGATAGATAGATAGATAGATAGATAGATAGATAGATAGATAGATAGATAGATAGATAGATAGATAGATAGATAGATAGATAGATAGATAGATAGATAGATAGATAGATAGATAGATAGAAAGAAAGATAGAAAGATAGATGATAGATAGATAGATAGATAGATAGATAGATAGATAGATAGATAGATAGATAGATAGATAGACAGACAGACAGACAGACAGACAGACAGACAGACAGACAGACAGAAAGACAGACAGACAGACAGACATATGGTTAGATATATGCACAGATAAATAGACATAGATGAAGAGTAGACAGAAGGACGGATGAAGACAGACACTAGGATAGACCGGCTGATAAATATATATGGATGTTTGAAGGCATTTTGACTAAAGGCACAACTAGATTCCCAGCAGAACAAGTGCTGGATGTTAATGTATAAGTCTTTACAGCACTAAACTTGTCCACGTCTATATCTTACTATAGACTATACTATAGACTGCCTATGGTTAGTCTGAGACTCTGCATCTGTGTGTGTTTAATGAAGTGTGCGTTTATTTATTCATTAAACATTCATCATTTATGTGCAGTCACTCACAATAGGAAGTTCTAGCCAACACTCCTTCGGCCTCGATAGATCACTGCACACACAAAAAGAGCAGTTTTATAAATACAGTATAAATATGCTTATAAATGAGCTACAGTGAGAATACATACCCATTCCTACAGTGTTTCCAGAGCAGGAGACTGAAAAGAAAATGCAAGCAAACATAAAAATGAGTCCATATACTGTTTACATTACTGAACTACAACAATCACTTCTACAAATTGTATTTATCTTACAGTACTTTAGACAATGCCATGGTATTTTTTGTTGCATTTTACATACTATTTTTGTACAATTTATGTAAAGGTAACTTCATTTTTTTATTTGTTTGCGTGTTTGTTATTTGTTTATTATATTTGTTTATTGATTGTAACAGGATCATTTTGAAAAAGCAAAAAAAAAAGTATTTTATTTAAATACTTACAATTATTACAATTTTAGTTGGATCAGTTATTATGAAAGCAGCACAAATACATTTTCAAGCACTTTATTTGAAAATCGAAGCATTTTTCAAACCTTGAAACTCCTAGATTTAAATTCAAGCACTTTCAAGGATTTACATCATCTGTATGATGATTTGAGTACTAAAGTAATTATTCACCAGCAGAATAATAACAAATGACTATTTCTTATCGATCACAATGAACGCACATTTACGTTCCCAAAAAACGAGGCGCACCACACTGCCTTTTTTCGTTGACAAGAAAAAGAAGCGCTTTTTTATGTCGCTAGGCAACGACTGAATCAGCTGGATATTGTGCGCGAGTGTTGCTGTTGATATTAATATAATTGTAATATTTAATATTATTGTGATATTCAAGTTTTGTGAAGTCACACAGCTCCAAATAACTCAAAACAGCAACCACTAGTCTCTCCTCTATCTTTAAAAGTCTCAGTTGTTGTCTTGACAACGCAAACACTCCTGTCACCTCAACAGAAACTCCGCCTCTGCTTTTATTTGATTGGAGAATAAAAACAGACACGACTGACGTAAGGGGCCAATCACACCGAACACGCATTGGCACCTTTTTTGAAACGGTTTACCAATGGCTGTGAGCGTTATGCGTGCTGCTTATGCTCCCTGTGCGTCTATGACTTCATAAATATAGAATATCACAAAATTATACATTTTTATTAATTATATTAATATCAACAGCAACACTCACGCACAAGTGTGGCAGTGTGGTGCGCCTTGCATTTTTGGAACGTAAATGTGCGTTCGGTGTGATCAGCCCCTAACCGGCCTTTTCTGCTCAGTTGACTTATTAATTTTTTCAAATACTTTTATGAAATTATATTATTAAGTAGAAAGTCCGAATGTGCAAATATAAAACCAACTTTACCTCTATGTGTAAGTTCACAATCACATACCCTGCCCTAAGTTCAGGTGTAGTTCGCTGTCAGAATGCAGTAGTTTTGCTTGTTGATGATTACCCAGGCCTTGTATAACATTAGCTCCATCATCTTTCCTTGTCTTTGGCCAGGCAGAACCTCGGTTTTTAGCACTACATAGTTTTGAATCTGGTAATCATGGAGCATTATTTCTTGCACACAAGACTTGTATGCCTTTAACTTCTCTCTTGTTTAAACGCTTGGAGCTTCGATGAGATTGTATATTTGGGGCTGGATGCTTGGCCATTTTGTCTTGTCCAGTATTCATTGGGAGGGTGCTATCGCAAATGGACCTGTCAGATGAACGCCGCTCACTTTTACATTAATTTTGAAGAATCACTGTGCTTATCACTGGTTGACTAGCTGTTAAAATACACTAAAAGTATCATGTAAATAATATATATAATATGTAATCAATATAACATATCTAAGACATCAACATACTCTTTACCGCATCGGATGTCATTCCCTCACTGTAAATGCTAGCGCTACCGTTTTTTTTGCCACCTCGCTGCGCGAACATCCTGAATGTTTACAAACATAGTAATTTCTCTATAGTTTTTTTTTTTTTTGTTAAGAAAAGTTTTGTTGAATAAAAACTACATGTATACAGCTGTATTTTGCTTGTTTTGACACATTATTTAAAATTTGTGGCTAAGAAATAATTATTTATTTATTTTTGGTGTGGTCAGAGATACATTTGGTAAATCCTTCATTTTGAACCCTGAAATGTCCTGTAAAATTACTTTTTAAACACTATGAAAACACAACCCATTTGCTCCTGCACATTGATCAAACTCATACACAACACAAAACACAAAATATAAATCAAGTAATTTTAGCATGTCAAATTCAAATTTGCGCATATAAAATATATTTGACCCGACAACAAAATTATGGCTAGTGATAATAGCGAGTGGCTGGTGATGCTGGAAATCTACTAGCCACAGTGGCTGGTGTTCAATTAAGTTAATGTCGAGCCCTGGTGATAACTCTAAATAATGATTAATTATATATAACTAAGCCCAAACCAAACCCTGATCCTTACTACATGCCATTAATTAAGAATACCCAGTAATGTTTTTTTTATTCCTTTAGAATATCTTCAGTACCTGAGTAAAGTTTTCTAGGGCAGAATGTGACCTTTGTGCCGTCTTTGGTCAGAGGAGCGACTACGACCGTGTACACTTCTCCACAGAGGATCTCGGAGACATCGCAGGTGTTTGCTCCTGCTGTGCTGCTGCAGGTGTAGTTGGATCTGGTGCCATACAGGTCTGCAGTGTAGTTGTAGAGGCCAGGGGAATAGCGCCAGTTAACCCGCAGAGTGCTGTTAGGCATCCGGTAGAGCTTCACACTGGAGGGACAGCAGGAGCCTGACAGAGGTACAGAAATCAACAGTGTTTATTCATTCTGAATCATCTTTTCATATATACATATGGTTGTATGATTGATTTATGCATTCCCATGATTTATAAGTCTTTCATTTATGTTCCATTTTCAATACAACTAAATATCTGGCAGAGCTTTTAATACTTGGCACAGCTAAACATTTTGGTTTGTTTCCTAGAAAAGCCTTTACTTAAAGATGCTATTTGTAAAAACAAATATTATTATTAATTATATAATCATCTTTCATATTAATAATTATAATGTGATAAGATGATATGATGTTATGATAAATGCAACAATAATAATTTATAATGATCAGAATGATATTATTTATAATAATAATTTTATTACCATTATTATTATTTCAGAGAAAGCACACAAGGATTTTTCATCTAAATATTATTTAGTAGAACAATAGGGACACCAGGCTGAAGCAACTAGAAAAAAAGCAACTAAAAAAGTACATTTGGTCTTTTATTATTATATAATCAAATTATAATTAAACAAACAATATCCTTATAGTATGTACATTCAAAGTATTTCATAAAATTAAATGTATGTTTCTATTAAAAATAAGAATATTATCCTTAAATTTATATTATATCACATTTATTATTAGTAACAAAATCTTTGTTTCTCTAAAAAAAATTCTAAGACTTGATTTACTCGATTGCTTTAATTTTGTGTTTTTATTTTTATTTAAATATTTTCTCTTTTTTTAACATTTCTTTATTATGCGTTTTATAATCGCATCTAGTTTTTGTCAAAATAACTAATATGTATATAATACCCGGAGAATACAACTAAACCAATAATAATTGATTTGCTTTTACATGTTTAAACATCAATCTGTTCTATTAGAGAAGAGAAATGCTTCTCTTTTTTAATAAAATATGTTTGGAGCATGTTTTACATTTTTAAAATGTCACAAAGTGATCCCTCTATCAGTGTGCTATGTATTAGATTCCATATTTATACAATAACAAAGCACTTCATTTGATAATTACACAAACTGCGAATTTAGTCATTGAAAGAGTTTATAAAAAGTCATTGATCCCTGGTAACTAATGTCCACGTGAACCGGATGTTGCTGAGCCTTTTATTACAGTATGCTGATGTACTTCCACCTCAAACTATATATTAAGCAGGGGCAAGGCTTACTTTTGTGTATCATTCCCTCATAGCAAACTCATGGTAGAAGGGGCGTGGTTAAAAATAGTAATATACAGTTGCTATGGAAGCCATCAAGTTGATGTCAACAGAGGTACCATCACTCCAAAATGGTCAGACTTTCATTGAAGATTACCAAAACAAACTTTTTCTGTCAGTAAATTAACTTGCATAGAATAATCATTCACTTTGAGAATATCTATGTAAAACAGCAAGATAGAGATTGTGCATTTTGATTTCATGCAGACAATTTCGTAAATGACTCTTGCCACTTGACAGATGTTCATTTAAGTCCATGATATTGAATCTATAGTTTACATAAAGTGAAAATGAATGGACTCACTTGCAGAGAAACCTTGGTATGTGCACTCTGTTTTATGTCCAGTGATGCTGAAGGCCTCCAGGGACACATTATAGCTGGTGCCACACGTGATGCAGCCCAGCAGGCAGTCTGTGTCCATGGTGTGGCACTTGGCATGTCCTCTGGGTGATGTCAGAGAGGTGATGTATGAACGCGCACCTATAGCTGGAGACCAGGTGACGTTTGTCATGGACTGAGTGACCTGCTCAACATTCAGATATTCTGGACAACACGGTCCTGCCGAGAGAAAGAGAAAGGACGGTGGTATATCACGTGGACATTTTGATGAACTACAGTATATAGAGATTTAGAATAAAAAAATCTCTTCTCTGGATTTATTAGTAAAGTTGAAGTCAAAATTTTTAGCCCTTCTCTGAATTTTCAAAGATTTCCCAAATTAACATAGCAAGGTTTTTTGAAAGTATTTGCTATCATTTTGTTTCTTGAGGAAGTCTTAATTCTTCTATTTTAGCTAGAATAAGCAGTTTTTTTTACTATTGTAAAGTAAGTATTATTATTAGTCCTCTAAAGCAGTATTTATGTTGATTGTCTACAGAACAAACCACACAATGATATAATGATTTGCCTAATTACCCTAACTTGTTTAATTAACCAAGTTTAGCCTTTAAATGTCACTTTAAGTTAAATACTAGTTTCTTAAAAATATTATGTGCTGTCATTATGGCAAAGATAAAACAATCAGTTATTTTTAATTAGCTATTAAAACCATTATGTTTATAAATGTGTTAGGGGGAAATAGGGGGGTTCAGGAGGGCTAATAATTCAACTTTAACTGTAGATTTGAGTAAAATGTTAATATTTGTTTTATTTTGATGGTTGGATTAAATTTCTTCCAATGTGAAATTAAAATATTGTCATTGGCATTTGGTAAAAAAACAAAAACAAATTAGGGTTATTTCACCAAATATCGCTCTCTTCTGAGGTTAAAAAGGTGAATTGTGTTGTATTAAAATACTCTTAATTCCTAAAAGCACCTTTCTGTAATTTTATACAAAAAGCCTCCCAATAACACTTTTAAATTGGCAAGAAATTTTATTAGTAGTTTACCAGATAAAATAAAAATTGAGTTTTACTAAAACAAGTTTACGAATACATTTCTGCCATGTTGTCTGCTGTGTTTATATTCTTTAAAAACAAGACTATACCAAAGTTTTAATTTCAGAAAAGTAAAAAAAAGATCTGTAATTGGTAAAAAAATAAAACTTATTTTCAATTCTAAATAAAGGCATTTGCGTTTTTAAATTCTTTTTCTGAAATATATTCAGTCAAAAAAAATTGATTATTTTTAAGTGTCTTCAATTGGTTACTTACAAAATGGTTAGCTCTGTGACACTTTAATTTATTAACTATTTTTCATTTATTTCCCAAGTGCTCACTGTTTCAAGTTCAAACAAGATAAATTAAATTATGTATTTAATTGTGTTTTGTTACTTGTAATCGCTCCATGCAGCTTGTACTGTATCTGGTTAACTCATATTCTCAAATCACATCTAAAGCCACATTGAGAAAGATTTGTTTACGGATTTATTTGTGTTTGTGAGCTCGTGATTCTCCGCCATTTGTCGTTGCTATGGCCATCTGCTGTGTCAAGTTTCAAAATAGTTCAGCTTTTGCCGCTGTGTGGATTAATACTGAATGTCGTTGTTATTACTTATGGTTAAGAATAGAGCAATATGCTGGTGTTTAACTGCATTGCTTTAATGCACTCCTGCATTGGGCTCACACATTCACTCTGCACTCTGACTACTTCAAGAATGTTGATAAGCTATAATGGATGTTTCTCTCTGTCTCGCTCTGAACGCAGTCGACCAATCGCAACAGACTGGGTCATCGGACCAATCAGTGCAGATTAGCATCGCACTAAGAAGGGAGTCGTTGGGAAAATTAGGTAAACTAAATGCATATTATGAGACAATGAGAGTTTTTTGACCTTGTATGCATATCAGCCTGTTGTTGGAGACCCCAAAACCATAATATATATAGTTTTATGAATAATAGGGGCTCTTTACTTGGTAAATTAGGTCAACTAGGCAGGTTCTGTAGTTGATAATAAAAATTCCCCCCAAACTAAAATAAGACTTTCTTCTGAGGAAAATTATAATAGGAAATATTGTGAAACTTACCTCGCTCTGTTAAACATCACTTGTGAATTACTTGAATAGGAATACAAGTTTAACAGGAGGACTAATAACTTTGTCTTTAACTGTGATTTTAGTCTCCAGATGTCTTTTACTGCACCTGTCTCCAGGGGAACGGCGTAGCTGGGAAGACTCAGTCCGGCTGTAGTAGTGGCGTAAGCACTGACCTCATACATGGACCCACAGGTCACACTCATGTAACAGGACGTCCCGCTGGATGAGCAGGACAGCGAGTCTGTTTGACCCTCGGCTATGATGCTGTAGTTTGCCTGAGTGTTTGTGGGTGTCCAGAACACCTGCACTGTGGAGGAGTTCACCTGAGTCACGCTGAGGATCACAGGAGCGCAGGGAGCTGACCGGAGGAGGAGGAAGAACAGGTAAGAGTTCATTCAGACTCATAAATTACTGCTCACAGTCATATAATTTACTATGGTAATACTTTGAGATTTAATCATAAGAAAACCATGGCGCTTAAATTAATTTTGCATTTTGTAAGGCTCTGCACAAATTTTCTCAACATATTACTCTCTTGGTTTTAAAGAGAGGTAAGTACTTGTACCATAAACTTACAACAACAAACAATAATTATAATACATGTTTTATTATTATTATTATCATTATTATTATTATTAAACCAGTGAATACAACAACAATAATTATTATTTATATTAATAATAGTAAAAATCATTTAAATATATATATGAATGTGTAAACATTTGTGTAATAAATATGTAAATAAATGTAAATATAATGTAATTTTTTTTGTAAATTTTATGAATAAATTAAAAATTTCCTCTAAGTGAGCAGTGTATGCTACTTTGAATCTAAAGAGTGTATCTAGAGCAGGGCTGCTCAACTGTCCTCCTGGAGATCTACTTTCCTGGAAAGTTCAGCTCCAACCCTGATCAAACACACGTCAACCAATTGAATAGGACCTGAAGAGTAATTGATAATTACAGGCATGTGTTTTTGATATGGGTTGCAACTGAAATCTGCAGGAAGGTAGATCTCCATGAACGGTTGAGCAGCCCTGATCTAGAGTAATCAGATATTTTTTCATGCATCCTGACCAGTAGGTGGCTACATTGCACATGCACCGTTTTTCCATAACACACACACCATTTAGTCAAAATACATAAAAGCACTATGTATTCCTATGTATGTATTCAGTCTGTAAGTTTGACACCCAGTGGTTGAACTAGGTATTACATGACTGGTTCAAAACACATGCAAGCACAGGTTACCAGATTGACAACTAACAGGAGCGAGTGACTATCGAGCGTCAATGCTGATTTAAGTTGTGATCTAAATAAAAGCAAAGGCACGCAATAGATGGAATATTTTCCATAATAAAAGGAGTTTTTGTCCTAACCAACACCTGGAATTGACATATTAGAAAGGGCTTCTATTTCATGCAGCTGAACAACAGAATACTGACAACGATCGCCTCAGGTAAACCTCAAGTGCTTTATTCAATGTTAAATGCTATCAATGTGAGTTTAAATGCCATTTTACATGACATTTATTGCCATACTACTGAAAGCAGCAGCAGATAGTTCACCACAGATCTTGAAAATAAAATAATCCATTTAAAATTAAACTTTTTCATTGAACTGATTCAGTACCTACATTTATTAACGTTAAAGAGGTTTAATATGTATTCATTAGATTATAAACCTTACCATTTCGTTGGAGAGCAGTGAGTGCACTATTCTGTGATTCTGAATGGCTGTATTTAAATTTATGTCCTGTTGCTTCTGGTACAAAAAGCCCAATTGCTTATTATTATGTATCCTCTCACATGTTGGGACCCGGGGGTTATAATGTAACCTGCTCACCTAATGTTTACATTCGTAATATTTATATTATTTGCTAATTAAGAACCACCTCATGTGGAGCTCTGAATCTGCATCTCATTTCTGAGGCTGTTAACGTACTGTCCACTGGAGGTCCCATTTCGGTCACGGACACACACTTTCTAACTGAATGAATGAAATATGCTGTTTTCCAACATGGCAACCTGGGTGCTGAAATATAATTGGCTATAGTGGCATAGAGCAGGGTTTTTCAAAGTCTAAGACAGTGGGCCTCCCTTTTGACACAACTTATCCATTGGCGCTCCCCTTCTCCCAAACACGCACACACACACGCACACACACAAAAAAAATTCTGGAGGTTTTCCTGCTACCTCATCATGCTTGGTTTTAAGGTGTCGCCGAAGTTTAGCGGGTCTCATGCTGTCATTGGCCAAAATATCTTGACAAACCACACACAAAGGTCGTGGTTCATCAGCTGGTCCTGTCCACGTAAATCCTAAACTCAAATACTGATCATCATATCGTTGTCTTTTGGGTTTAAGCCCTGAACTTAAAGGCTTTGAATCGGGGGGTCTCAGAAACCGATCCATTGTATTAGCAGGCATATACCTGTATTGGCGGGCTTGCCAAACAGAAGCGAATTCACAGCTATGGCCTTCTGGGTAAAAAAGGTTTTCTTATTTTTGACGTATTATTTTTTTTAGCTTTGTTTAATTAAAACGTTTAAATATAATAAAAAATACATATAATAATTAAACTTAATAATTATATTTTTATTATATTATATTTTTTCCCGCGCCTCCCCTGACATGCTCTGGCGCCCCCCAGGGTAGGTGCGCCTCACACTTTGAAAACCCCTGGCACAGGGCAGGTTAAAAGAACCCAAAAAAAGACACTCATTCTGGCATGTAATGCACGGTTTCACAGAAAAATATCTGACTTCAGCATTGTTTTTCAAATAAACAAGTATGCTCACTTAGGATTTTGCTTAAATATACTATATACTATTCAATATAACTTGAATCTGGTTTAATTTTTCTAAATATCGGACAAAATAATTTTAAAAAGTATTTAGTTGAAAATTCAAAAATACAATGTCATCAGATGCTTCTGAATAAGCTTGAGGAATGTCTCAAAAACGCCATGCAACTATTATGCTAGATGTACACAAAAGCCATGTTATCATCATGAGAGTTGTTTGTATTCTGTGTTTTCAAATACAAATGTTCATCTGTATGTACCTGTCTGGCGTGTGTGTGCTGGGCAGGTGTTGTTGCATCCCCGTATCTCACTGCAGGGCCGCACCACCACACTGTACATGCTGTCGCAGGTGAGATCTGACAGCGCACACACTGGAGCCGTGTCGTTACAGTGGATCTGTTCACTTCCATCTGCAGCAATGGTCTCGTATAACTCCGCTCCTCGAACTGCTGACCACGAGATCTCCAACGTCTCTGTGGAAATCAGGGACACGGACACATCCTCTGGACAGCATGGGACTGAGGACAGAGAAATGCATTACTGCTATTACCGTAAGTCAAAGAGTTTTGTTATATTATTGAAAGAATGCTCAGCGAGGGTTAATTCATAGCTAAATTAACCCTCTAGAATTTTTACAGAACAATTTTTACAGTTTTTCTAGAATTATTACATCTCATATTATTACAATTTCTAATACCTTTCTGTTTCATTGATTGATTTAATTGATTTCTGTGATGTCTTTAAACTTTTAAAGATTGTTTAGATATATTTTAATTAAACTGCTTGATAAAATGAATGCAAGTCTGTGTGTGTAGAACAAACTTGTCGTATAGTTGACTATTTGTCCCGGTGGACTGGATCCGGCCTGGTTGTAAGCGAATACAGTGGAGAGGTAGGTGTATCCGCACTTGCACTGGAAGTGACAGGACCTGCCGGTGGTGTTGCAGTTTTCCTCTAAACCATCATCTCTTTTTACGTAGGCGATACAATAATCCACCCATGGAATATCTGACCACATGACGGAGCAGTTCCCTGGGGTCACCTCCTTGATCCACACCACATCAGGAGGACACGGGACTGAAAACAATTTAAAGAAAATGACATCTCTATTAAAAGGACAGTTCACTAAAAAATGTAATTATGTCATCATTTACTCAGCCTTTACTAGTTTCAAACTAGATTAGTTAGAAAGAGTTTATTTCTTCTGTTGAACACAAAAGAAGATATTTTGAAGGAAGCTGGAAAGCTGTAACCATTGACTTACAAAGAATTGGTTTTTCTGACTATGGGAGTCAATGGTTACAGGTTTTCGGCTCTATTCAAAATATCTACTATTGTGTTTAACAGAAGAAGAACTCATAAATGTTTGGAACCACTTAAGGGTGAGTAAATAGAGAGTGTTTTTATTATAAATGCCAACAAATACATAACAAGAATACTTTGTTGATAATGATGTTGTAAATTTTGGAAATGATTACATATCAAATTTGACAATAGTGTAGATTTAATTTTTGAACTTTACAATGCTCTTGAGTTTTTGGAAACAATCCTGTGCAGTCATAAAGAAATCTATGAATAAACTGATCTGTTTTAATACATTGACTAATCATATATTAAATATTTTTCATAATAATACACAATTTTTTGGCCATTGGACTTATGATTAAGAACAGAATTATTAGCCCTCTTGTGATATAATATTGAAATAATATTTTAATAACTAATTATTACTTGTCTTTGCCATAGTAAAAGCACATAATATTTAACTTTTTTTTTTTTTGCAAGATACTGGTATTCAGCTTGTGCAGTAATTGAACCTAAAAAAAACATTTCTAAAAATGTAAAAAACTGCCTTTATCCCAACCACAAGATAAAAGAAAAAAAATAATTATCCTTGCCTTTTTTCATTTTGAAAAAGAATTTAAATTTCACACACTGTAAACCGCTGGGTTTCATATAATCGATTTGTGTTGAAACAACATGAAGGAATTAAGTTAACTTATTAATTTAAAAAAAACATTAAGTGGATTGAACATATTTAAATTGTTGCAAAAAAAATGAAAAAAGAATTATGTTTCTGCTCATTTTAAAAAACAAGTTTGAACTAACTATTTTTGAGTGCAGGAGTATGCTGTTGATCACAGCATGCTTCTGGATAGGCTGAAAATCTGGGTTGGGCTGTTGGGGATGGTTCTTAAATGGTTCAGATCTTACCTTGAAGAAAGAGGTTACTATGTCAGTATAGGTGAAAATAGGTTGAGGTGGACACTTATGAAGTGGTTTAATTCTGGCACCTCTCCTGTTCAAACTTTATATGCTCCCACTGAGCCAAATAATGAGAAATAACCAAATTTCCTACCACAGCTATACTCATGACTATCAGATCTACTTAGCCTTACTGCCTAATGACTACAGCCCCATTGACACCCTCTGCCAATGCATTGATGAAATTAACAGTTGGATGTGAAAAAACTTTCTTCAGTTAAACAAAGAGAAAATTGAAGTCATTGCATTTGGGAACCAAGATGAAGTTCTCAAGGTGAACAAAAATAAGGTCAAGAATCTTGGTGTGACTTTGGAGTCAGATCTGAGTTTCAACAGTCATGTCAAAGCAGTCAGTAAATCAGCATACTATCATCTCAAATACATTGCAAGAATCAGATGCTTTGTTTCTAGTGAGAACTTAGAGAAACTTTTTCATGCTTTCATCAGCAGCAGGGTGGATTACTGTAATGGCCTCCTCACGGGCCTTCCCAAAAAGACAGTCAGACAGTTGCAGCTCATCCAGAACACTGCGGCCAGGATTCTGACCAGAACCAGAAAATCAGAGCACATCACACCTGACCTCAGGTCTTTACACTGGCTCCCAATTACATTCAGAATAGATTTTAAAGTATTATTATTTGTCTATAAATCACTAAATAGCCTAGGACCTTAATACATTACAGATATGCTCACTGAATACAAACCTAACAGATCACTCAGATCTTTAGGATTAAGTAAATTAGAAATTAGTTTAGTCAAGGCAGGGTGAATCGGCCTTCAGCTACTACGCCCCCCGCTGCAGGAATTAGCTTCCAGAAATGATCAGATATGCTCCAACATTAGACACATTCAAATCAAGACTGAAAACAAAAAAAAATCTATTTAGATGTGCCTTTACTGAATGAGCACTGTGCTACGTCCGACAGATCACACTATTATGTCTTTCTTTTCTTTTTCGTTCATTTATAAACTGTTTTAACACATTTTAATCTGTTTTATCTGTTTTAATTCTTTTAATAATTTTTTATTTTCTTGTTTCTGTTATTCTTGTTGTTGTAAAGCAATTTAAATTACCATTGTGTATGAAATGTGCTATATAAGTATACCTGCCTAATTTGTGTCTGAATTGAAAAAACACTCAGAACTCTTTAGTGCTTTGTCATAAAAAATGTTAGAATAAGAAATACAACATGTAAAGGTACTAGAGTTATATGGGTTTTATGTAAACAACGTGATAACAATACAATTTTTTAAAACCGTGTAAAAAGTCTGCATGGGTGGTTCTAATGTTAATTTATTTGTATATGTGATTCTGAATTTGTGTTTGTGTTCGGTATTTACAGGTCAGAAGGTCTTGTGGTTGTGAAGGGTCACTGTATCCGGCTGCATTTTGTGCTACGACAGTGATGGAGTGGTTCTGGCTGCAGCTGAGAGGACTGATAATGCAGTAAACCTCTTCGTTGGAGCTGCAGTTCTGTCCCGTTGAGCTTACAGCAATGTAGCCATCGGCACCACGCACTGACTGCCAATACACCGCCAGATCGATAGAGCGACCCGGCGTCAACTGAACCTGCACATCTCCTGGGACTGGAGGACCTGTGGTGTGTGGCACAGAAACAGAGAGAGAGAAACAGGTGTGAATATAAGATTTAAGATTTTTGATTTTATTTATATTAAATCGTAATGGACTATTTAAGGGATTTTCAGTTGTCTATGAGAGAAATAACTCAAACTACTTACTCTACAAGCAAGTGTGTCCATGACTATACATAAAAAGTATAATAATATAATAAGAAAATACCAGTTTGCAACATCAAGCAGCAGAACAAGCTGTTTTTAATGTCTAAAAATCAATGAAAGGGAATCAAACAAGTGTCTTCATGTGTCCACTGGCTGCGCCCGCTCATTTGTAAAGAATAAGGTTAATAGGGGTGAGTGCTTACGTGTGATTTGACAGATGGTGATGTCATCTCCTTGGTTACCCTCTGGATCCCAGGCATTGCCCTTGATGCAGTAGGTGGTGCCGGGCTGAAGGCCACTATATGTCATGTTGGTCCCAGAGGTGTTGAGTTTGTCCCGCGTGTCTGAACCCTCCATGATCATGACTAGGGTGTATAACACAGCATTGTTCACTGGATCCCAGGTTATCATGATGGAATCACTGCTGGGAGAACTGGAACGCAGATTTGGGGCCACCAACACTGCAGAGAGAGGAAAAATTAATAGATGCTACTAAAGGTATAGCTCACCCAAAAATGAACTGTCATCATTTTATTATCCGTTTACTTGTTCCAAACGGTGCATGGCTGCTTCTCACTCAGGACTGTTTATGCTAATAAGGAGAGATTATCACTAATGGGAGGAATTTGTACGAAACGAGAATGTCAATCAAAGTGTTTCCGCAGACGTTTTACCAACTGTGATTATAGAAAATATAATTAATTTTTACCAATAAAGGCTAGCTATATTCACATACTACATACACAAAAAACATCCCCTTTAAATAAATGAAAAGAAGAAATTAAACTACTTAAACATTTACTGCCACTAGTGGTGAGTTTTCATCATTACAATTGGAAAGAAAAAACAGCCCCAATTACTATACTCCTCACTCATAGATATATACACTAGATAACGCATAGGGACCCTGAGAATGCGTCAATAACGCTGCCATATTTGTACAGTGCTCCCAGGACAAGTGTCATTCAACCGCACTAGTCAAGACAGTGTTATTATGTAAAGATGCTGGACTTTAGCGCTGTCTAAGGGTGTAGCGACGAGCAAACAAAGAAAACAAAGCTCAAAGACAGAACATTTCATAGGTAACATTTAGTTATTCACGTTTTTGTATGTTATGAACTTTTGTGCTAAACGGGTAACGTTACTGAGTCACGCATTTACCATAATGCAAAGCAGCAGCTCGCACTAAACACTCAGCTTATGCTAGTTTTGTTGAATAAAATCAGCAAACAATGCAAAAGAAATATGACAATGAGATGCTTCGGTGCCAACAACTTGTATTATTGTCGGCTAAGTGAAGGAGCCATTCATAACCGACATTCATTCACAAATGAATCGTTCCTCCATCAGGATAAGAGGTGAAAGCAGGAGAGGGGGTGTGTTTCAGGACATGGATTAGATCAAATATAACAGGGAGGGTGGATAGTACATTTCCATACACACAAACACAAGCTTTTTGTCAGGAATGCCTGTGCGATCACTGATCCATCAATGTAGAAAAGTGATGTAAAATTATAATTTTTGTAATTAAAAAAAATTGCATACTGACTTCCGGGAAAACTCCCGATCATAGATACATGTCTAAATGTATATATCTCTGGCTCTGGATGGCCACAGTCCTCCACTGGAGCTTGGTCCAGCATTCATTTCAAAGGAGAGCTACCCTGTAGTAAAATGGCGGCTCTATTGACGCATTCCTTCTAATAGACAACAACAGGGTAGGCGACATCTAATATGAATATCTATGCTACTTACTATACAAGTGAACAGAAGGAATGAAACTACTAAAACATTTACTGCCCCTGGTGGAGAGTTTTGATTATTACAATTGGAAAAAAAACTGCCCCAATTACTGTACTAAATTATAAACAATTAGTTAAGTACATTAACTGTGCTATGCCAGTGCTCATCTTTAGACCAAGTTTATTACGGAATTAAAATGATATTAAGTATGCACTGGACAGAACTTGACTCGGAAATAACCTACAGCATATCTGTAGGGTGAAATGAATAAACGGAAAGTTTTGTTGTTATCCAAATGAAATCAGTCCCTCTTATATTATATCAAACCTTTCCTTGGGGAGAAGCAACAGCCTAGTTCTCATGGTTTATCTTTTCATTCAGTATTAGGTGTAAAGTCTGCCTGAAGATGTGGTTACCATCAACAGCCTGTGTAGCCAGAGATTCAAGTTCTGCACAATAGCTGGGCTAAACAATGCTGCGTTATTGTTGCAGGTGTTAAATACCAACTTATTGTCCACCATACAGGAAGAAGGGCTCCGGTATCATTCCATTCTATGGGTCTCTTGTGAGATTCATAAGAAATAAAATGGCTGTTTTGGTTGCAAAATCACAAAGCAGGCTTTTTTATTTACACTTTATATGCTATAGATTTGAGGACAATGCATTTTTATTACCCATATTAAGTGTGGTTGTAAACTTTTGTTTTGACTAGCAATAGCTGCAGCCTAGCAATGAACAATATACAGTGGTGTGAAAAAGTGTTTGCCCCTTTACCAATTTCTCTTTTTCGCATACTTGTCACATTTTTTTGTTGCATATTTGCAAATGAAGATTTTTATTATTGATGAAAATCATACCTGTGAAACATTACCTGTGTGAAAAAAATGTTTGCCCCCTAAACCTAATAACTGGTTGGGCCACCCTTAGCAGCAACAAATGCAATCAAGCATTTCTGATTACTTGCAATAAATCTGTTACAGCGCTGGGGAGGAATTTTGGCTCATTCATCTTTGTGGAATTATTTTAATTCAGCGACGTTGGAGGGTTTGTTTGAGCACAAACCATCTTTATAAGGTTATGTCACTGCATCTCTATTGGATTCAGGTCAGGACTTTGACTAGAACCGAAGTTTGCTTCAGCTTGTGGTCACTAATAGATGATCGGACATTCTCCTTCCTCCTATTTTGGTACACAACTGAATTCATGGTTCCATTATTAAGTCTTCCAGGTCCTGAAGCAGCAAAAGTAACGATTAATGTTGATTTGGTGTTCTGAAATGTTGTGTTACTTTTTCACCACACATAATGGGACACACACCTTTCAAAAAGTTCAACTTTTGTCTCACCAGTCCACAGAGTATTCTCCCAAAAGTCTTGGGAATCATCAAGATTTTATTTTTTTTTTGCAAAACTAAGACAAGCCTTTATGTTCTATCTGTTTCTTATGGTGGAGTCATGAACATTCATCTAAACTGAGGCAAGTGAGGCCTGCTGTTCTTTGGATGTTGTTATGACCTCTTGGATGAGTTGTTGCTGTGCTCTTGGGGTAATTTTGGTCCTCCGGCCACTCAGAAAGCTTCAGAAATGGCTTTATAACATTTTCCTGACTGGTAGATCTCAATTATTTTTTTTCTCATTTGGTTTTAAATTTCTTTGGATTTCAGCTTGATGTCTAGGCTTTTGAGGATCTTCTGGTCTACTTCCTTTTATCAGGAAGGTCCTATTTAAGTAATTCCTGTATTGCAAACAGGTATGGTAGTAATCAGGCCTGGGTTTGTCTAGAGAAATTTAACTGAAGTGAATAAACTTTAATATCTTGAACCTAATATTTAAATTTGTTTGTGATCTTAAACATAAACGTATGACAAACATGCAAAAAAAAAAAAAAAAAATCATTAAGGGGCAAAAAAATATCACACCACTATGTATTGAAACAACTTTTTAAACTAAAAAATATTTTATTTTCCCCTGATGTGGAAAATAATTAAACCACTTTAAGATGGTTTGCTTGTTTTTGTTGCATAGCAAACTAGTTTCAACTAAGCATACATGTCTGGTTTGATGATTTTAGAGGAGGTTTGGACTGGTCATTTCAGCTGGCTACTAAATCAGTTAACACTGTTTTTAGAAACCATGCCTAAATCATCTAAGATCAATAGTTCTGATTTTATTTTTAGGATTTTACCCTGTTTTTAGTGCAAAAGTAGGCAGTATATTATATGAAATGCATTTGAATAAAATCAGGAAGACTGTTTTTAAATAAAGTCTGATGTCAGTTTACCTGTTTTAGCATCCACTGGCAGGGATGGCTGACTCCTTCCCCCCACGTTGACGGACATCACACTGAGGGTGTAATCTGTGTAAGGGTCAAGACCGACCACTGTCTCTGGGGATTTCAGCACTGGAGTTTCAGAGAAGAACCCATTATCATTCTCTGCCCGGATTATGTAACCGGTGGCACCAGAAACTATACCAAACTCCACCGTGATGCTGTCACTGCGTTTGGAGTAAGCCTTCTCTATGAGAGGAACCTCAGGTGCTGGTATGACACAATACAAACAATGAGAATAATAACATTAATAATGACGATTATTATTACTATTATGAACAGTCTTAATAAATGGTAATATGTTTATTCAAATAGTATGATGTGTGCTAATGATTAGTTAATTATAAACTAATCATTTGTTTATTAGTTAATATTAGTAAAAATATAAGGACTATAGAAATAGTTAAAATAATTTACTTGTGAAGTTATTGCAGCTTAAAGCGAAACAAGGAGAATAAACAAAGACAGAGAACAAACAGAAATTTGAAGTAAACTGGTTACAAATGGTGATTAATGGTCCATTGAAAAAAACATAATATCTACAGTTAGTACTATAATAAAACCATTGTTAATATTCGTAAGGGTCAAATTATTACTATAAATTGTAATTAAAGTATACCCAATAAAATGTATATTTTACATAATAATTAAGATGCATCTGTCTTTAATATAAGATTGAACTGAATTGTAATGAATCATGGTAGATTGTTTCCAAACCGTTATATGAAAATCAATATCGTTAGTTTTATACGTTACAGTAAAAGTAACAATTTTATTGTTTTGCGCATTATTTATCATTATTATAACCACAGTTTTACTATATTATGGCTAGCAAAACCATGGTTTTATCTGCAGTAAAACAATAAATAATTTTCCAAAGGCACAACATAAAGTTGCAGAAGTCATGTCACCTGTCGTCTCCTCGGTCTCGGCGCTGCTGAGCACGTTCACCGCGTTATCCATCGCCTCGACCCGCATCCTGTACACGGTGTTTGGTGATAGAGAGTTAACGGAGCCCATCACCGTGCTGCCGCTGAACTGCGCGAACACCGACGGCTCCGGAGAGTTTTTCGGCGTGGCAGTGATTTTGTAGGAGCTTGCGCCGGTGTGTCCACTCCAGCGCACCGTCATGCTTTTGGACGTGACGGTGAAAACGGATAACGTGATGTCTGCTGAGAAAGAAGGTAGTTAGCACATCACAGCAGGCTAATTATGTTAACATAAACTCTCACACAACTTTTCTCACCCGCTGCTTTCACGCCTCACGTGCATTTTCCCACGCAATGGACAAATTTGTGGAGCACAAAACATACGGGAGTCTCCCAGAATGACAAAAAAGGTAAATTATCTCTGCAATCCCAACTGAATGATTATGGTAGGCTACTGACCCTTTCCCGTGTAAACGCCCGTGCACGCCCCCGAGAGGCAAAATTTTCTCAAAATTTTTTTGAGGCTGACTGACAAATCTTTACAGTTGCACAAAATATGGGATAAGTATTCGCTTATAGGATAAGTTGAATGTGTTGTAAAAGTTGATGGCAGAACAATATGGAAAGCCATTAGGGCCAAAACATCTGGACCGATAGATGGCCGTAAAAACAAATATTTCTTTAGACGTAACATGGACAGATGCTACAATACCTGTACACAATGTTTGTGCCAAAACATGATATTAAATGTCCAACTGCAATAACGTGTAAATACCAAGGCTCAGACATCCCAAGTCTCCCGGAAGTTCCGGGAGTCTCCCGCAAATGCATAGAGACTCCTGGATGCCAGCAAACAAATTATGATCTGCTGGAAATCGCCCGTCTCCCACCCAGTCTTTAAATACATGTCATGCACACCTCTCTCCATCGCATCCCTCCTAGCTCTTCATGTATGTTGGGCCCAACTTTACCCCACCACTCTTCAGGTACATCGCACACACACCCTCACCGCTCTTCAGATACGTTGCATGCACACGCCCCCAACTCTCTTCAGATATGACGCACGCACCCACTGCTCTTCAGATACATCACGAGCACACACCCCTGCTGCTCTTCAGATGCGGTGCGCGCAAATGCCCCCATCGCTCTTCAGATACGTCACGCACCATCAGCAATGGCCTACTACAGAGGTTCTACATTAGAAAAGTATGTTCTAGTATGAATGTAAGCACTATGAATGGAATTTGGACATACTACATCCTCTGTTTGTCATTATCACATGACCTTTCTGCGTCAGTTAAGTCGCTTCACTCTTATTCATGAATTCTCTTGTGTGGTATCATGGGAAAGTGTAGTGTCAATATGATGCGCACTTTAGAATGTCGCCAGAAGTAGTTTTGGGTAAATTACTTAAATAAGAGCTTTTACTTCCACAGAAGCCAAATTAACAGCGAGGCACATCAGACAAAAGAGTACAAGGTAGATGTTAGCAGCTAAACATTTAATATTTGACAGCTATTTTACTACAGAAATGTTTAATTTGCAAACGTTATAGTCGATGCTTCTAGCTGCATGACAACTTTGTTGCTGCATGACAGTTTGAATAGGAAATACAATATAAATCATTTATGTAATTACTATTGAATGGGAGTGAGACCGTTTTAAAATAAATTTTTTGCGAAAAGCTCAGACTTAATTTATTATTACACCATGTTTGAAATTCTCTTCAAGATCAGCCTATGCTGTGTCCAACCACTGACAGTTCTCACCCAAGGCTAACCTAAAAAGTTGGCTGCCCTGAAATTAGCTTAATTTTTGCACACTACTGTAACTGAAGACTTGACATATTGATGTGTTTATAGCTAGTACATTTAGCTATAATTCATTTATGTGCCTTAAGGCCGACAGGTGTTTAAAAGCAGAACATTAATATATTCAGTTTTCAGACGAGTGTAAAACTTTATATGCATGTCAGTGTGTATATACTGTATGTTTAACATATAGCCCCTTTTTATTTGATTTGTGAGACCACTTAAAAATGGGCTTGAGCACAATGTTAAAGGTGCAGTATGTAAGTAGCATGTTGTTTGGACACACGGTTACAATATAACCTGCTCACCTAATGTTTATGTTCATAATATTTATATTATTTTTCTAATTAATAACCACCTTATGTGGAACTCTGAATCTGTGTCTCATTACAGAGCATGTTACAGTCCACTGAAGGTCGCATTTCAGTCACAGACACACACTTTGAGAGCCTTCCTGACTGAAAAAAAAAATTAAATATGCAGTTTAACATGAAGGCAACCCAGGGTGCTGAAATGTAATTGGCTAAACTATCATTGGGTGGGTTAAAAGAACCAAAACAAAGACAGCCGTTTCAGCACACAACACATTTTCAAAGCAGAATATCTGAATTCTCAATTTAGCAAACATATTATGGTATTTTTATGCTTCAGAAAAGTCAAAAAACATAAATACAGCACCTTTAATAATTGTTTTATTCTTTCTGATCTGATAACATTTTTCCAGTTTGAATTTAATATTGCCAGTTATATAATTTTTTTGCAAAAAAAAAAAAAATGCTAATTGGTTAAAATATGTATAATTGTTTTTTCATTTTTGTATCTGAAAATCTGAATTATTTCACCAAATATCTTCAGAAAACATTGGTAATGTGTTCTTAAAAAAATAGTTTTAAATTTGGATGAAATCAGTAAAAAAAAATTAAGTCATCAGTAGCTTAAAAAAACTTTACTTTTAAATTTGCTCTTTAAAAAAAATTAAACAAAGATTAGTTTGAACTCAAAATCCAATTTTTCATGTGGTCTCATATTTTCCATAGTTATTTACATATACATATTGCAGTGTATATAAGGCACATCCATCTTATAACATGACACAAACTTGGTAAATAATAAAGATCTCCTACCGTTTTGTGCTGTGCATATCTGTAAATCAAGAGCAGAAACACAACAAATATTGTTTTAACATAAGGATCATTCTTATTTCAGTAGCAACTATTACTCTGTCATGAGGTATTATGTGCCATTAGTGGCTAAGGAAGCTTATTTGAGCATCACTCAACACAGATTTTACATCCAGAGGCATTTTGTCTCCTGTCTGGTAGTGTACGACTACAAAATATGACAGTAGTTAACTAAAAAAAGACTTTTTGTCTATGCAATATACATACATTACAAATGCATTTGTTTACAAAAAATATTAACTTTTAGGTCTAGTCATAAATATAGTCATAGTACAGTCAAGTATAGTCATGACTGTTCAAACTATAACTCATTGCATGCTTAAAGAAAACAGTGTTTGCATTCTTACCTGAGACAAGGTGATAATCAATAAGATATTTGATAGATGTCTTGACTCCATGACTCAAATTTGGTGCTCATCAGCTGCCTTTAGGGCACACTTCTGTCTACTGAACTCACTCTGTATTTCTCCAGGGTAATAATGTCTGTGGTTTAAGATCTGTTTTTTTCTCCTACACTGTCTAACAGGTATTGTATTTCGGGTACTCGGTGTTCATCTGTGCCTCCTCCTCCCTCTGTCAGGAAGAGACAACGGACCAATCAGCCTTGAAGGACAGCACAGGTACAGCAATATACTTGAGGACAGACACAAAGATGCAGTCCACCAAACAATTGACTTTTCAGGATTCATTTGAAAAATGACTTTTACTGCTTGTGCAAACTACTTATTTAAAATGAGATGAAACAACAATTCATACGTTTTTTGGGGAGACAACTTAATGTTCAATTTACTTAAATTTATAAAGCCGATTAAGCTAACTTAACTGACTTGTGTGGGGACAGCATGAAGGAACTGTATGGAACCCAGCGTTTTTTACAGTGTTGTTGATTTTTTTATTATTGTTTGTAAGACATAATACAATGACTGTTTCCTTTCAATACAAGTTGATATAGGAATTATTGGTATCGATTTCATATTTCAAACTGCGACAGTGGCCTTCAAATCTAAAACTAATTGTTCATCATAATTATGACATCCCATTATTATTTTTGAGCATTTACCCTTTCAAAACTGACAAGTTTCTCTCAATTATATTTTGTTTTTGGCCAATCATTTCAAATAGTTTTCACATTCCTACTATTTTTCCAAAAAAAATTTTTAATTTTGGCCCAAAACTGCTAGCGACGCCCCTGCATATAGGATTTTACCTCTTTTCATTACTAAAACAGTAAAATAAACAATTTGTCTATTTGACCTATTTTTAAATACTTTCTTAATTCAAATCAAAGCGTCTAATGTGATGATTTATCTCATTCTGTTACTGGTTGGTTTTATTCATGGTCTATAACACTGTAACAAAATCTGATAAACATGAATGCATTGTTGCATTAGTTCGTTGTCTCATATGTTTCTCCTAAAATTGTTTTATAGGGAAAAGGTTGCTAGAAACGAAGACTTGACAGTTTAATCTGATCATTTTGAGATCTCATTTTGAGACATTTTGAGGCGTCGGGAAAGATCAGCAAGCCAGCTCTCGAAATCAGGACCCCCGAAGTGCACAGTCAGTGCGCTGCCAATAATATTTTTCCATACACTCACTGGCCACTTTATTCGGTACACATTACTAGTAACGAGTTGAACCCACTTTTGCCTTTAGAACTGCCCTAATCCTTTGTGGCATAGATTCAACAAGCTACTGGAAATATTCCTCAGAAAAGATCCCCCATATATTACACCACCACCAGCCCGAACCGTTGATACAAGGCAGGATGGATTCATGCTTTCATGTTGTTTCATGTACTATCTGGATGTCGCAGCAGAAATCAAGACTCATCAGACCAGGCAACGTTTTTACAATCTTCTATTGTAAAATTTTAGTGAGCCTGTGTGAATTGTAGCCTCAGTTTCCTGTTCTTAGCTGACAGGAGTGGCACCCAGTGTGGTCTTATGCTGCTGTAGCCCATCCGCCTCAAAGTTTGATGTGTTGTACATTCAGAGATGCTCTTCTGCATAACTCGGTTGTAACAAGTAGTTATGTGAATTACTGTTACCTTTCTATCAGCTCGAACCAGTCTGGCTATTCTCCTCTGACCTCTGACATCAGCAAAGCATTTGCTCCAACAGAACAGCTGCTCACTGGATATTTTCTCTTTTTCTGAACATTCTCTGTAAACCCTAGAGATGGTTGTGCATGGAAAACCCCTGTAGATCAGCAGTTTCTGAAATACTCCGACCAGCCCGTCTGGCACCAACAGCCATGTCAGTTTCAAAGTCACTTAAATCACCTTAAACTGCAGCAGATCTTCTTGACCATGTCTACATGCCTAAATGTATTGAGTTGCTGCCATGTGATTGGCTAAAAATTTGTGTTAAGAAACAATTGGACAGATGTGCCTAATAAAGTGGCTGGTGTGTGTATATTGATCAAAGAAATGCCCCAAATGTTTAAACAGTAATATACTCTACATATTTATGACCCTGGACTAATTAATAATTCAATATTCAAGTTTATTTGTATAGCGCTTTTTATAATAATTATTGTTTAAAAGCAGGATAACAACAGGTGCACATTATAGCATTATAAGTAAAGATTATGTTCCATAAAGATATTTTGTAAATTTCCAACTGTAAATGTATCAAAACTCAACTTTTGTCTAGTAATAATGTGCATTGCTACTTAATTAATTTGGACAATTTTAAAGATAATTTGCTCTTTATTCATTTATTCATTTTCTTTTCGGCTTAGTCCCTTTAATAATCTGGGGTCGCCACAGCGGAATAAACCCCCAACTTATCCAGCACATGTTTGCACATGTTCAGGATGCCCTTCCAGCCGCAACCCAACACTGGGAAACACCCATACACTCAAACTCACATACACTACGGCCAATTTAGCTTATTCAATTCACCTGTTCTGCATGTCTTTGGACTTGTGGGGGAAACCAGAGGTTTTGAAGGTTTTGCACTTCGGGCCAGGGTCACCTTTTTCTACAATTCATTGAAAATGAAGCTAGAGGGAAAAAAACCCAGTGTCACTGAAACAGCCATGCTGGCACAGGCTGGTACTCATAAGCCAGATCTGATAAAGAGATTCAGGTTCAGCAGCTACAGTATACTGCATGAACAGATTTGCATAACCTGGCCAAAGCAAATGTAAGTACGTCACATTGTATTTTCATTTAGAAATAATATAACATGTTTAAAATGAAACTTATTACAATGTCCAAAAAAAAACGTGAGTATGATCAATTATGGGCAAGAATGGAAGAACAGGATATCTATTTCGCGTTGTTTGTGAGTGAAGGATGATGGCAGACGACACCAAATCCAAACCTCAGATTCCGCTTATCTGGGTCACTGATAGGCTGCGTTTGCCTCTGCATTGTTGGCTTTTCAATAGAGAACAGGGCATTAGATTTGTAGCTCATTAGATGAAGTTATAGAAGGAGAACATCTGATATGTGCATCTGACCTTTGTTCTCAGTTGCTCACATGAGATGTTGAGGCCGGCATTATACAGGGAACGTGAGATACAATTGATTAATATGATATACAGTTGAAATCAAAACTATTAGACCTCCTGTGACTTTTTTTATATTTTTTCCCAAATAATGTTTACAGAGTAAGGAATTTTTCCACATGTAAAAACATTTAAAAGTCAATATTATTAGCCCGCTTAAGCAGTATTTTTTTTACAATTGTCTACAGAACAAACCATTGTTATACAATGACTTGCCTAATTACCCAAACCCACCTATGCCTTTAACTAGCACATTAAGATGTATACTATAATAGTATCTTGAAAAATAGTAAAATATTATTTACTGTCATCATGGCAAAGATAAAAGAAATCAGTTATTAGAAATAAGTTATTAAAACTATTATGTTTACAAATGTGTTGAGAAAATCTCTGTTAGAGAGAAATTGGAGGAAAAAATTTATTCATATCCAATCAATAATTTGGTGTTTATCAGTGTAAAAACTGTAAGTTTGAAAATGTAAACATTTGCCTTAGTGTCCACTGCTCTTATTCTTTCACTGAAATTATGCTGCTCTCTGGTTCTATGGTGTCAAAATGGCCAGAGGCTCACCCACAGGAAACCTGACCTCTGCTGTTTTTGTCTGTGGTTGCCGATGGGTATGTTAACCACGCCCAATACCTCAAACAAAAGTAATCAGACAATTTAACTGAAAAAAGAGGAAGTGCATTTCCAATTAAATATTACAAGGACAAACAGTTTTTTTTTCCTAATAACATGCCCAGATTCATTGTTCACCACAAAACCAGCAAACAAATTTATATGGTCAGTTTTGATTTCATTTGTTCAACAAGAAGTTAAAAAAGTCAGTAAACCCATTGACTTAACTATTATAATCACGCACATTGTTTGTTTACTTAATAATTATAAGGCAATGAGTTTACTCTCTTATTTTAAGTAAAGGCGACTAATAACTTTTTAGGGTGCTTTCACACTAGTACTTTTGGTCCTCACCCAGGTTCATTTGACGTCAGAGTTCGGTACGTTTAGTGTGAACTGTGACAATACAGAAACTTTCTGTAATTCCCCTCTGTGTTTGCTACTTTCCTCAATGCCCTCTACAAAATCAGTTCATCACCATTGGATGTGAGGACAAATTACGATGAGGGGAAATTATGTAAAAGAGGTTTTTTTTTTTATCCTGATGAAGGAGAGTCCTTCGGTGTGGGAGTGGTGTTAGCGTCATCAAGTTGCGGATGTGGCTCTGCCTGGGTGTGGGTCTGAGGAAGCTGAGGAAGAGACGCGAGTGATGCTCATGTTTACACATTGAACTGTCTTTCATAACCACTACTGCAAGTGTACCAGTCCTTTCTCATCGTCGTGCTGCCAAAGTTACCTGTGTCGGTGTGTGAGGACAACTCGGACAACAGCTGCAAATCTGTCACTTCTCACCATCTGTACTGCCAAATCACCTGCCATTGAACTGCTGACATGTAACCTCTTCAAACCACCTTACTGCAAGTTGCATGGGTCAGTTTCACACATACACACATCATCACTCAACTTACACCTATTTTCAGTTTATTATATTTGAGAAAATTGGAAGTTTTTTTTGGTTTATTTTTTGTTTTTGAGGGGAAATTTTTGTTTTGTGTTACTTCAAAATGAACATAGGGTTTTCTTTAATGATCGTGGGATATTGATTTTATTTTTTGTTGTTGCTTGTAGTTGAACTTGCCATTTTAATTTAGTTCATTAAATATTTTGCTATCCTGGGTGATTAATTATATAAGATTTATTATGCGAGATTTATTTTTGACAAGTTACAAACTGGTGCCTGAAATGTTATTTAACACTTGTTAATATATATTCTTTTTTGTGTGTGTGTTCAAAGTTGACTGCATTGGAGGAAGATACACAAAACGACACCGCCGACCCTAGTTCGAAACTCACTTGAGTAGTATTTTTTTTTTGTGTTAAGACATATAATATTGTTGGGTTACTTATTTAGGTGTGCATATTTTTTTGTGACCACTGTTTCAGAACCGTTGTCTTCTGGGGCTCTATCATACACCCAGCGCAATAAGGCGCAAAACTTCTTTGCCCCAACGTGTTGCTATTTTCAGACCAACGCAACCTTAATTTTCCTGTTTTTTGCTACATTGTTTAAGTAGCAAATCCATTTGCACCACTTTGTGGACTCATGGGTGTTTCGGTCTAGAAAAGAGGTGTGTTATGGTGCAATGTTGGCATGTTGCTATTTTGAAGAACTAAAATAGACTGATAATATCATTAGCAGTATTGTTTTTTACATGCACATTTATATTTGTTTTTTGTAAAAACACACTTAGATTTGCCCACCTGTCAGGTTTTAGACCATATGCGGCATAGGACGGGAGTGTTTTTTTAACCACACTTCGTTATTATTGTTCATTTATTCATTTGCTGGAAATTAGAACTGAATTTAGAAATAGTTTTTAAGCAAATTTTTGCGCTTAACAAACTAAATTAATTATGTAGGCTAATAGATGTCTTCAGCAGAGTGCGTACAACACCGTTTCCTTATCCATGAAAGAGAGAAAGTGAAAGTGATGGCCGATTGGAGGAGAGTCGTTCTTTATTCTTGCGCTGCAGATGGTCTGTTTAACTGTTTTCTCGCTAGTGAAGCGTTCAGTTTTTCCACTTACAAAGTCCACCATGTAAATAGCAAATGCGCCATGACGCAACGCAACAGACTATTAAAGGGAATGAGAAATGAGACTGATTGGTTTATTCTCAAAACACACCCATAACTCATTAAGAGAATAAGCTCAACCCTGTTAGACCATGCACTACGACGCAGAGCGTATTTTCTTGTTCTTAAACTAGCAAAAGTGGATTCAGACACGCCTTTAATGCTTTTGCACCATGTGCTTTAGAAACGTACCTGATTCCACCTGTAAGAAAGCCAAAAGATTCAGTAAAAGCAGAACAATCGTGATATGCATACGTCTCTATTTTGGTTCTTTACCTTTGTAAACACCTTGCAACAGAGTACACAAAACAGCAGCTTAATGATGTAAGCATACCGGGGTTCAAAATGAAAAAAGACAATGTGAACACAAACCAGCGGAGGGGTTATCTTGGGTTCGGATCAGGCATTCGAACCAAGTGTGAAAGCACCCTTACAGTTTATTGGGAGCTCCTATTCTATTTGGTCCCCTGTTGGTCATTATTACAAAAAAGTTATCTTTAAGTCCAGTTTTTTTTTCCTAATGCAAAACCCACAAGCACTATTAAACACACTTAAAAGCAGACGAAAGAATGTATACTCCATTTTTGTGGAAAATTGTGTACTGGACCCTTTTCACAAGACTGTTATGATGCGTTTAACAGTCATCGGCATATTAAATCCTTGCAAGTTTTTAATAATTAGATTTTATTATAAAACGTATGTATATTTATATGTATTTATGCATGTATTACAGTATATAATCTTTGCATCAAATTACAAACAGCGAAATAAGGTATTTTTAATGCAGCGTCTATGGGGCAGGACAGTAATTTTGACATTATTCTCTCTTCTTGCTACAGTTATCAGTCCCACACAATTTGTTTCCATTTTCTGAAAGTCTTGATAACACCATCGTGGAGTTTTTCCCTCATCAATTCAGCAAATAAGATTATAAAAAAAAATTTGCTGTACTCTCCCATTCACTGCGCTCTAAGTTTACCCAGCTATGACGACTTCCACTACTGAGCAACCTGGAAATGTGAAAAGGGTCCATTAAACACACTTAAAAGCAAATGACAGATTGTATACCCCATTTATGTGGAAAAGTGTGTACTTGTCTATAGAGCATGAACTGTCTTTAGTGTCAAGTGTCCGCTCTGCTGTTGAGAGGATGTAAACCATTTAACTTTCTCTGGAGCTGAGCTTTAGCCAGATCAGCCGAAAGAGCGTCCGCCATCCTGTCTGTGGTCTGCTTCATCAGAAACGCTGCCTGTAGGGCCTTGTCCAACGTCTTGTGTATTGATTCCTCCTAAAAGCATGAAACACAAATGGATGCAGGTTTAGATTCAGCTTTTAGCATGAGTATAATCCTGTCCTGTGGTTCTGTTGTGTTAATGTTAGCTGTAGGACGATATACACTCACTCTGCTGGTGCGGTGTCGTCTTGCACTGGTGCGCGGTGATGTTCGCTGAAAGAAAACGTTACTGGGAAGCAGAGCTGAGTCCGACTCAACAGAGCGCCTCCTACTGGACACTGGATCTGATGATCGATCTCGCAATTTAAATCTGGGAAAGTTACAGAAAAAAATAACTATTAGCAATTTTCAATAAATAACAATACATAATCAAAATAAAGGGCTGTTCACATCAGGCATGATAACTATAAAGATGCCGATATGATATGAGTCCTAAAAATCCAACCCAGGCTCATTTTGAAATGTAGTCTCTTGGATGTTTCTGGAGATGATGAGTTTTTGTTTTCGCAAATTCACGAGAGGCCGATGTGTGCGCTTTTTTATTACTCAAATTTCTCTCGAGAGTGCCGTTCGTACCCGCTGTTCTCGTGTAAACCCACCAGAGGCCGCTGTTGGCCGACCATCTTGTCTGACTGACTGAATGACTGACTGCCCAGCCGACCAATCGACTGACCCTCCTCCTTCCCTAAACCCAACCAATTTTATCGATTGACCCACCCACCCATTTACTTCCCTAAACCCAACCAAGAATTTACAAAAGCAATCCAGAAAAAGAAAAGCCCTCGCCTAATTTTTACCACGTTTTCAGATATTTCCACATTCTCAGCCTGCTATTCACTTGTTCATTTAATTTTTTGGATTCTGTCTTTATCTTTCCTAATTTTTTAACCGCTCTTCCCCGAACTCGAACCCCCTCATCGTCTTCGTGGTCAACATCTCTCTGATGTCTCAAGTCTGCCGACGTACATGACGAGCTAACTGAACAAACTGGTTGCTGCAAGAAAGCCGTCGGAGGTTGGTAAGCGCAATAAGGAACGGCATCATACTCTCCCGTAGCGTCTGTTTAAAAAAATTTAATACAGCCATACGTACCTCCGGCTACATAATTCGCGGTCTCCAGAAACGTCCATGGGACCACGTTTTCAGAATGAGCCTGTGTTGTAAAAATCAGTTCAGACCACAGCTACAATAAAAGATCTCGCTTTATTTTAATGTATAATTCACGCTATTAACAAACCCTTAGCTAAGACTTTTAGCTCAATAAACTACTAATTAGCTGCTTATTAATGGTTAGTAAGATAGTTAGGTTTAGGCATTGAGTAGGATTAGGGATGTAAACTAATATCATACTTTATAAGTGCTAATAAATAGTTTATATCTTAATAATAGGGGAGTAATAAGGCAGTAGTAAATAGTGTGAATTCTTACTTAAGATAAAGTGTTACCCAATAAAGACGTAGACAAACGTTATTGTTGGGACCACTTTTAGAAGTTTTTTTTTACTTAATAATAAAAAAACTTGGAAGTTATGCAAGCAAAGTTGGCAAATTGAAGTATAAATATAAAAGTATCCAGTGCTAGCTTCGGCATCTTTGTGATGCCTCTTTTAAAAATTCTGGGGAAAATCATTTGTTTTTATTCCACTATTACACTAACTTCTATCACTAAATTCACTTAAAGTTGCCATGAAATGGCAGACATGATTGGCCTTTTTTCCTCTATTGTGACGTACATCCACTTAAAACGATTTCGAAACTAGAAAAAATTGTAGGACGGTGCATAGTATCATCCTTTGGGAACCGATTGGATTGTTGGAAGATGGGTGTGGCTAATAAAATGGAGAATGCTTGACGAATAGCTGAAACAGGGCAGAAACAAGAAACACCCAATAGCCCCGCCCTAAAGGTCGATTTCAACCTTTTTCAAAGTCATTTCAAGGGGAGCGAGAAGGTTATGATATTTAATGAAAGATTCTGAGGGCCACTTAATTTTTCTACTGTAAATAATGAAGTGCACCGTTTATAAAAAAGCACTACTAAGTGAATTTAAATGACTTCGTTTGTGACTTTAACAGATAAACTAGTAGCACACTGGGGACACCTGCTGGTAACGAGAGGGCAATGCCAAAAAATTGCATAAACTTAAAATAATCAGTTTATTATCGTTCGTCAGTGTGAAGGCAAAAAATAAATCGTTATATTGTTAGTTATTGTGCTTGATGTGCCTCAAGCCTATGGTTATGATCTCTTAAAGCAGTGGTTCCCAACCTTTTTCTCTGGGGCCCCCCCCATGAACAAATACAAACATTGGAGCCCCCCCACCATATAAATACACACGCACGCACACACATATGTGCCATATATATATATATATATATATATATATATATTTACTGTATGTGTGTGTTTATGTGTATTTAGATAGGCTTTGTCTTATCTTTTCTTGGCTTTTCTTCGCCTCTGAAGAATCATTGCATTTACGTTTCTCTGTCATTTTTGTTTTGATTTTGCCTTTACGAGAAGTTGGACAAGCACATTGCGCAAGTGAGCAAAATGTAAAAAATAATTTAAAGTTATTTATTTTAATTATTTTTACTATTATGTTGGAATTTTAAGCATGTGTGTTGATTTTTTTTTTTTGGTACTTAAAAATACATATATAATAATGTAATAATGTTTGGGAAAAATCATAATCATAATTACTTTGGTCATAATTGTAATCACAATTATTCAAAACGATTATCAGTTAAAGTCAAAATTATTAGCACTGCTGAGAATTTTTTTTTTTATAAATATTTTCCAAATTATGTTTAACAGAGCAAGGAATTTAACAGTATTTTCTCTAATATTTTTTTTTCTTCTAGGCTTATTTGTTTTATTTTAGCTAGAATAAAAGCAGGTTTAAATATTTTGAAACCTATTTTAAGGTCAATATTATTAGCCCCCTTAAGCAATATATATTTTTGATTGTCTGCAGAAGAAACTACTGTTATACAATGACTTGCCTAATTACCCTAATTAAGCCTTTGAATTGCACTTTAATTTGAATGGTTGTATTTTGAAAAAATATCTAGTAAAATATTATGTGCTGTCATCATAGCAAAGATAAAAGAAATCAGTAATTAGACATGAGATATCAAAACTAGTATGTTCAGAAATAAGTTAAAAAAAAAACTTCTTTCCATTAAACAGAAATTGGGCTGGAAAATGGTTGCTAATATTCAGGAGGGCTAATAATTCTGACTTCAAGTGTATACGCACAGTTATTTTCCACCCTGCAAAGGAAAGAGAAATAAATACAATAGAATAAAAATATAAAACAAACTGTGCTTTAAGCATCTCCACTGTAAGAAAAACACTTTAGCTACAAAAATCCTTCAGTCATGAGCAGAGAAACATTTTCTCCTTGTTTGATTAATCATAAAAACCGGCGGCAGCAGGAATATTTTGCGCTTTCTCTTTAATGGTTTCTCTTTCACGTCTTTTAAACCTCAACTCGTTTGTTTATTACACAAATGAGGGTTAATATAAATAATCACTAAACACCGCGTTTTGACACCTATTTGACCATTAAAGCGCTCACGTTAAGATGACTTTAGATGTCTGCGCTCCTCTGCTCGTCTCAGTGTGCGACTGCTGACCGGCCGCATGCTTCTGACTGCGTGTGCGTGTAGCACACACACACATAGGCACGCGGTCTTTCGCAACACGTGTACAACTGGAAAGAGGGCGGTATATGATGCATATAATCGTTTATCTTGATTAATGCTTTTTTATAATTGTTTGAAATCGAAATCGCTTTTTGGATTAATTGTACAGCCCTAGTGGAGCATTTTTATGCCTTTTTCTACCTCAACACTTATCCTCTCCCGCGCCCCCCTTGTGAACTCTGGCGCCCCCCTTAGGGGGGCGCGGACCCTAGGTTGGGAACCACTGTCTTAAAGCATGACTTATCTAAATGTATTTGTGCTTTGGTATTTAAATGTGATTGACATTGTGTGCATATTTATTCGTTAGTCTTTTATTAGATTGAATTCTTACCCAGCAGGTAGACTATAGGAAAGGCCATAGTTGACCTGCAGCAGAGGCTTATGGGATGGAGCATTGAGAGAGGAGGCAAGTGTTGTGCTGTTTAAGAAGTCATTTCCTAAGTTTCCCACTGAAACACAAAAAAGCCTTACTTGTTAGCATTGATGTTCATCACAGTAAAAGAGATTTGGTAATTAGTAGTGCCATTTAAAAGAACCAATATTCATTCAAACAGTTAAGAATTCTCAATATCCGCTTGTTAAGAGGTGACGTGTTTGTGACATATGTATACTGTTTCCGGGTCCAAGCCGCCATTCATTTAAGTGGAGAAATCATTTGTTTATGATCACGTTTTATTCCTATCACACATTAAAGTTAATTTTACATAAAGTCATAGTGTACACAACAATCTCTGGGCTTGCTGCATAACAAATACCAAAATTTTAACAATTTATAAAACAATGAATCACTTTCTGGCCATCGGATATTAGGCATGGACATATATATTGCGATCGTGACTTTCGAAAGTATTAAATCGCTTTGTAAACGTTTATTATTACCATTTCATGAATCTCCCCATTCAGTTGAATAGAGCGATTGGACCCGGAAGCCGCTCCGCGTGACGTCACACTTAACAAGCGGATAACAATCAGTATTTAGTTAATGTGTTAAGAAGACATCTTTAATGTGTTTTATGAATGAGATTGGTTAATACATTAGTTAAATAGTTTATTGAAATGGAAAGTTTTTATTTGTATTTCTTTACATATCCTGTGCTTTACTATCATTATTTTATAATAAGGTCAAAAAAGGCAGAACCACCAACTTATTGGTACTGGCAGATATCAGTCTGAATAGCCATATAGGTGTATTTCTGATATATACTGTAGTTTACAATGTAATCCTGTTATGCAAAGCTTAATTTTCAGTGTCTTTGGTATCAAATCATTCTTGCTAAATCATTTTAGCTGATCTGCTACAAATTATTATTAATGTTAAAAATACATGTGCTGCAAAATATTTTTATTGAACTATTATTTTAGCTAAAAAGCATATTTAAAATAGAAATCTGTAAGTAGTCCCTTTTAAACAACAGTTCATCATTTTTTTTTTATCTCTGGCTATTTCTTACTTGCAGGTCTGTAGCTGGCACTTTTGTTGGCAGGCTCAGTTTTAATGCTGTGGATTGTTGGCCCAACGCTGGCACGTCGATGGCTGCCAGACTGACTGAACTGTGACACTTCCAAAGGAAACCGCTCCACTGAGGCTGTTAACATCCAGAGAAGAATGTTTTTAATACTATTATCTTCCTGTAAATAAACTGTTTAGCTTAAAAGTACAGTTATACCCCTTGGTGCGACTCTTGAGTCATGTATTTGTCCATTAGATGAACTGAAGGCTCTCTGGAAACTCAGAGTGTGATCTGAATCTTCACCGTTTGAGACTGACAATACAAAAATACTCATTTCGATTTCATACACACAATTATGGCGTCAAAGTGTTGTATAAATGCAATATCACACTCGTAGCAGTGCGATGTGGTTGTATATCGTCACTGGTGGGACACTTGTGCCAAAGCACGCCTCCCACCAGTGCTGATATACAGCCACATCAAACTGCTACGAGTGTGATATTGCTCATAAAATCTTTTTTTTTTTAGTATATGTAATACACACTCATACATAAACACAATACACTAAACACTATATATTCATGTATGTGTGTATTACGTAAATACAAACCTTTATTTTGCATATGATTAATCACAATTATTCTATGCCCAGCACTATTTATTTATATTTAACCCCAGCTGTGATGTTTATTGGTAATGAAAATATGAAATAGGTCGTGCTGCTGTCACCTTTACTCTGGCTGAGCTCTTTGTCAGAAGAGATCCAGTCCTCAGTCTTCTGAAAGTTTGAGTCTTTTACTCGTCTGATGATTCAATGAGAAAGCACATTAAAAACACATCATATAAACATTTGCATATTTGTTCATAAACTTGGGAAATATCTGAATTGTTTGTATTTATATGTATTTATACACATTTACATAAGTAAATAAATAGATGCAATGATGGGCTAAAAACATGCAGATGTCTGCAAATTTCTAGGTGGAGATTCCATGTGGGCTTACAAGTTATAAGTACAAAACACACACAGATTTGGCTCAAGTTGGCCATACAAATTCTTCACACGGACTGATAGATAACTGCTCGGTTTGACTTCAGTGAATAGTGCTTCACGTCTTTGACAATGAAAAAAATAAATAACATTTTCTGATTATGAAAGTTTTTCACCTAAATGTTATTAAAAATTATTGCAATTTTTTTCTGTTAAACACAAAGGAAGTTATTTGAAAAATGTTATTTAGTATTTCCTTTTCCTGCTATGGATGCTAATAGTTACCGGTTTCAAACATTCTTCACAATATCTTCTTTTTTTGTTCAACAGAAAAATTTAACTCATAAAGGTTTGAAACCACTTGAGGATGAGTACATTTGGTCCCACTTTATATTAAGTGGCCTTAACTAATATGTACTTACACAGGAATGAATAGTTTGTTACAATGTACTTATTGTGTAAATACATGTATTTACTGTGTACTTATGCTTGATTAAATATATGTATGTAATTACATCTGTAATTAACTTTTGTAATTACATTTGTAAATACATTGTTGACCATCCCTTACACCTTAATCCACCCTTAAACCTACGCATGCCACCAAACCTGTCCATAACCCAACCTCTATCACAACTCAAAAGCACCACAAGTGTTCTCAAATACATTATAAACACAGTAAGTAAATAGTATTTATTTTTTGATGTAAGTACATAGTAGTTAAGGACACTTAATATAAAGTGGGACCATACATTTAAATCCTGGGTGAAATGTCCCTGAAAATCTCATTTTCTTGGACACTTAGAGTACCTGCTGGACGTGACTCTGTTGTGTCCTCTGGTTTGCCCCCTGTGCTTCCTCTCCAAATGACACCTGCTGCTGGGATAATCAGTCCTCTTGCTCAGATGACCAAGGCTCTCCTCTAGCGCCCTCTTGAGGCGAGACACTTCGTACTGCAGTGACAGAATTACCTCACTGCTGTAAAAAAGCACAATAATGAAAGCACGACAGTCAGTCGTCTCTCAGTGCACAAAGACTTTTATTTACAGTCAGCCAGCCCAATTGCTTCTGGTGAACGGTTGTGTCATTACAAAATCACCATGTTTATGGAGTGATAACTATGATAATTAAAAAAATACACACACACACACACAAAATAAAGTCAGTCTCAGACTGGGCAAGAAGCACTGCATTAAATTCCATTTTTCCTCGCCATGACTTTCAAATATGTAAATTTATTTTACTATAATACTTTTAATTGAGTTTCTGCGCTAACCTGCTGCTACTGACAGCGCTAAAGTTTACATGGTCTTTCATCTCGTTTTATGCTTGAACAACTTAATGAATGCTTACGTCTATTTAACTGATAGCATTTTAATTGGGTTACAACATCGATGCTTTAAAAGAAATCTTATGAAATTGAAAATAGTCACACAAACCTTTCACTGGAAGTTTATCGTTGGCTGAAAACACTAGCTGTGCATATACCCTGTTGCAGGTAATTCTTTTACACTTACTTGTGACATGAACAGTGTGATGGTGAGTGGGTCTCTTTTGTCAGCCCATTCTCCACTTTTCTCTCAGTCAGCTGGTTATGCGCGGCAGTGGCTCCACCTACTGACGTGAGATCCTTTTTTGAAGCTCTAACATGTCCATTCTGAATAATGCTTTTGGCTTGCATTGCTTGTGTATCCTGCTGTTTATATTCCAGGTGATTCACTGTGGGCTGTGCAGGTCGTAGTGCCATTGATATAGTTGTTCGTGCATTGGAATGCGAGGCTTCACTGTCTGAACTGTTTACACTCGCCATGATGACGACATCATCAGAGAGTACAGAACTGAGGAGTACATTAGGTAACATGTTACTTTTTTCAGTTCATCTATACATAGCTTACAGTCTGGAAAGTAAACAATCCTGTCCCATTTTATATTAAGTGGCCTTAACTACTACATACTTGCATTAAAAAATAAATTGAATGTACTTACTGGTTTCATAATGTATTGCAGAACACTTCTGGTGCTCTTGAGGTAGGATACGGGTAAAATTAGGGACAGGTTTAGTGATATGGGTAGGTTTAAGGGAAATTTACAGTGTAATGGATAGTTCAACAGTGTAACTGATTGCAAGTTGTAATAACAGAAATTAATAATTACAGATATAATTACATGCATGTATTTAATCAATCATAAGTACAATGTATTGTAACAAAATGATTAATTTCAGTGTACATATTAGTCAAGGCCATTTAATATAAAGTTGGACCAAAATTCCAAACACACTCTTTCACTACACTTCTAAATACATTTATTGGCCACTTTATTAGTTACATGATCAATTCCTTGCTACTGCAGATAATGAATTAGACAATCACACTGCAGCAGCTCAATACATTCAGGAATTTTAAACTGAGCATCAGAAAGGGGGGAAAAGGTGACTTTGTGGTATGGATGTTGATCAGAGTATTTCAGAAACTGCTGGTCTACTGAGATTTTCATACACAACCATCATTCGGGTTTATATAGAAAGATCAAACAAATAAAATACCAAGTGGCAGGCAGTTCAGTAGCAAAAATGCCTCACTGATGACACAGAATATGGTCAAACTTGTTGGACTTGACAAACAGGAATCCAATCAAATTTGTGTGTGTACTTGTTGTTAGTTTACAAGGTTACAATGGTTTACAAGGACTGAAATTTGTATAATGGCATGGATATGACCAATGTATTACAACAATGAGGTGGTTTATGAGGACCAGTCTGATGTCCTTGTAATTTAAAATGCTTAAAAATAATACTTAACGATATATACTCACTAACCTTGACATTTAAAGTTTGCCACAGGTTTTCTGTGGGGGGTAGGGCTTTATAATTAGTGCTTTTTACAGTATGCCTATGCAGAGTCCCGGTAAACCAATACCAAAGTATGTGTATTTTACCTCACAGCACTAGGAGATGTTTGCGACAGTCCTGTGTTTGGTCGACTCAGGTCAAAGCTGCCAAAGCCGCTGTCAGTTTCTGGACTGAAAAATATCTGAAAGAACAAAAAAACGCATGTTCTGTCATCCTGTCCTTTGAAGGAACAGCAGTGTGAGTTTGTTTTACCTGTGTTTTGTCTGTGTTTGGCTGAGGAGAGCTTCCTGCAGATGGTCCTGCAGAAGAGAAGGAGGCTTCACTGGGTCTGGCCTTCTCCTTATATCTGAGTAATGAATGATGATTTCAGCGACCATTAAAAACAAGGTACTTTTTACTTTTACAGCCATTTTAAAAATTCTGGTGATGTTTTCACTATTGTAACTTGGAATGTTGATGCAACAAAGCACTCACATTACACTGAACAGGAAGTTGCCGAGATGTTCATTTCAGTATGTTTATTAGGGGTGTAAACCTGAACATTCTAGTTTTCTAATAATTTCTAATCATAATAGTTTTAATATCTCATCTCTAATAACTGATTTGTCATATCTTTGCCATCATGACAGTAAATAATATTTGACTAGATATTTTTCAAGACACTTCTATACAACTTAAAGTGATATTTAAAGGCTGAACTAGGTTAATTAGGTTAACTAGGCAGGTTAGGGTAATTAGGCAAGTTACTGTATAATTAAAGGGGCTAATAATTTTAACCTTAAAATGGTGTTTAAAAAACAAAAAACTGCTTTTATTCTAGTCGAAATAAAACAAATAAGACTTTCTCTAGAAGAAAAAATATTATCCGACATACTGTGTAAATTTCCTTGCTCTGTTAAACATCATTTGGGAAATATTTAAAAAAGAAAAAAAATTCAAAGGTAGGCTAATAATTCTGACTTCGAATGTATAAATATATATGTATGTATATATATATATATATATATATATATATATATATATATATATATATATATATATATATATATCTTTTTAAAATATTTATATATATTTATTTATTTATTTTATTTATAAATATTTTATTTAAACACACACACACACAAGCAGTGAGAAATAAGCTTATCTACTGTACCTTTAATTTTACCTGCTCTTTAATTTTACACTCTTTTTGAATGTATCAATCAAAACTAAAGTACATGCACAGAACAACATGAGCATTTAAAGCAAATAAACAAATGTAAATATTACCCCTTTTGCTTTTTGAGCGTTGTTGAGTGAGTTCTTAAACACCTATGATTGGTCACGCACTCAACAGAAAAGGCTGCTATTGGCTTTAACGGTCAGCGCGGGTCTGGCGCTGTTTAGTAAAAAAAAGAGACATGGAAACTAATATTAAACGGCCGCGAAGATCACAGCTGATCCATTAAAGACGGCGACGCGATGAAGGAAACTTGCTCTGCATACACGCTCGTGTCTGGATCCACAAGTTGCGTTATCGTTGTAACAGCCGAGAGAGGAGATAAAATGTTACCTCACGAACACGCCAGAAGGGCAAAGGGGCCACAGACAAGGAGAGAGAGTTTACAGCTTTCATTTTCTCCTTTGTTGCTAGTGTAATTCAATACAGTGATTATACAGACACAAAGAAAATAAATGACTTGATGTATCTAATTCTTTGATACAACAAAAAAAAGTGCCAGAGAGACAGTTGACACAGAAATTTCATAAACAAAGTTGATAAACTGCATTATTTATCTGCAATTATGGCAAGACATTTCAGTACAAATTATTTACAAATAATAGCATTTTGTGTGTGTGTGTGTGTGTGTGTATATATGTGTGCATGTGTGTGTTTGTGTAAATACTACATAGTTTTACTTTCAGTTCCAGTTAACTATAATTACCTTAAATTATGCATCTTTAAATCATCATAAACTCTTGTATATATATATATATATATATATATATATATATATATATATATATATATATATATATATATATATCTTATATAACTTTTTTCAATTACGCCATACAATGCTATTTTAAAACACACCAGATTGCACAGCAAATAATACAAATCTGTCAGTGATTACTGACCTCTCGTGTGTCAGCTGCTTTAGTGAAGCTGAGCCGGACGGCTGTGCCAGGACGTCCTCATAGTTTTGTTTCTCTGCTGTTGACGGTCTGTCCTCTTCTTTCTCATTGGCAGTGCCAGGCGTTTCAGTGGCAAAGGTGGAATACCTGAAAGGAAGATACAGAAAAACTGATGGAGGGAACTAAGTGTTTCCATAATGAAACTGATATTCCCTCGTCCCTCCTCTCGACCTGTAATCCGATCAGCCTTGAGTGAGCTGTGCTAAATATCACAATACGCTCCCTCTTCCTACAAAACACCTCAGTGATCTTTCTGAAAATAATTGAATATGGTTCTCCATCCAAACATGCATACAATTAGAGTTAGCTATTACAATTAAACCTTCTTTCACACTATGAGTTGACTTTCCAAATGATGTGATACACAGTGAAATAACTGTAGAGCAACACCTTCTTTTAAGCAATATGCAGTTAAGTGTCTTGCTTAATGGGCATACTGTAGTCTTCCCAAAATGTCAAATTTGACATCATTTACTTATCAGGTTGTCCATAATAAGGCTTTAGTTGCTGTAAATTTACTTTAGTTCAAAACAGCATATTCTGTATCATGATCACAATTACAACATTGTGTATACACAAAACAATGAGAAAAGCATGTCACTGGCATGTTAAATTACTGTCATTCCTAAAAATTAGTTTGAATGTTGTCTTACTTAATGTCATGTTAATTCAAACCCTGTCTTGTTTATTCATCTTCAAGACACAATTTTGAATATTTTTAATACTAAAATAAAGAGATTTATGAAAGTCTTTTTACCAAATGCATTAATGCTTAAAATTTTCTTGAAGAGAAGTAAATGAATAAATGCAAAAGAATCAAGTGGTGTAATCAAGTCTTCAGAAGTGGCACAATTGCTTTATACTAAACAGAAATAGACTTATTTATTGATTTGTTTATGAATATATTGAAGCATCAGAGTTTTGGATAAATAAAATTTCAGTGGAGGAACAGAAATCTCATATTAAAATAAAACCAAAAACACCAGAGGATGAAAAAGAGAATGACACAAGTGTGGGTAAATGATAAACAGAATATTAAATTTAAGGTGAACTAAACCTAAATACATTCTATATATTAAAACATGCTTTGTGTTTCTTTAACTGCAGATGAGTTGCTGATCTCCACCCCATTTCCAGAAAAGGTTGCAGCTTTACAGCTTGTGCCTCAGTTATTTCGACATCAACAAACAAAACATTTGCAGATGTTTAAAGCCCTTTATTTATTGTATTTATTATAATGATTTTATATGATAGTTTTGCTTCATTCGGTAATTGACTTGTTGGCATGGGCCAGTACAGGATTCTGACGGTGTGGTAACCTTGGATAAAAATATCATGGTTTCAAAGTATTGTGATTACTGCCGGTGTTGCCAGATATAGCGGACTTTTTCAAAAAGCTGTCCACATCCCGCCCAAACACACAAAAATACACCCAAAATATTAGATCGATATTTTATTTAAATGTAATTTATTTAAATCTAAATTAACCTAGTTATTTTAACGGTCATAACTTTAACCATACAGCAACCAACACCAGCAATCACAGAATAACCGGATCATATCGAAACACTGCCCCCTTTCAACCACACACTGCACTCAATGTTGTGTAGATTACACTACCTATTAGAGTATGTTTTACTTTCGAAATGGGGTGTAAATTCATCCTATTTGGCATTTTAAATTCTTTTGAACACAATTGATTGCTGCTTTTCAAGCAGACAAGGCTTCTATGTTTGTTCTTGCTGTCAATTGCGGAAAAAAAATTATCAATAAGTTTTGTGTTAAACTGCCGTGAGTTTCAACTGCAGGCGCTGCGTGATGAGAAGCGTAGTCGGCTCTGTCTGGAGAGTCAAATTTGGATACAGCTTTCCTTTACCTCCTCTTGCGGGTGGGCCCACGCAGTTTGCACTATTACCTTGTTACTACTAACTGAATGGAGTAGGAGCACACAGTTCTGTTTTGTTAAATAAATTGCATATAAAAATTTACGTTGCAAAACCGCCCAAATTTTGTCAACCCACCTTTGTAATTTTTTACCCGCAAAATCTAATTCAAAACCGCCCAATCTGGCAAAACTGATTAGAGCTCTAAAATACTGTCTGGGTAAAAAAAAAAAAAAAAAAAACCTTTTTCCCTCTTTTATTTTGAGAAACATTTATGATATTTTGTAACAGTAAACATGTCAGGCTAAATAATTCAAATGAATCATTGACTTCTGCTGTCTTCTGTTTCAGAAACACAGATTTCTTTTAAATTTTTTTGGAGATCTTTTCTGCTGGAGGAACTCCAAAACAAAAATCTAAAAAAAAAAAAATCTTACATATACCTTAGGGGTGCTTTCACACCTGTAAATCGATTTAGTTGTTCCGAAACAGAGATTACAATTGTTACATTGTTGCTCTTTGCTCCTGGAGCGGTTCGCTTTCACACTGCAAAGTTTCTAAGCGGACCAAAAGAGCTAAAACAAGTCACGTGCGAGTAAACTCTCCTTACATTAGTCAGAGTGTCAGGGTTTATTTTGCAGCGTCCCGCTAAGCTGTCAGGAGAGGTGGTGATTTGGTGGTGATTGACAGGGTGCGCGTGCGACGTGTCTGAGGAGAGACGCAGTGGGGAGGGGTGAGAAGGGTGCGCGACGATGCCTATTTGAGGACCGGGAGGGAGACGCGAGATTACCGGGAGATCATCACTCGTTTGCGGGCATCCGGAGACTCGCGAAACTTCCAACCCTACTCATAGCTCTCTCTTCATATAGCCGTAAGCCTATTACATATCCATAAAACACTGTGATATTACCGCGCTCGGATGGGATCGCTTTCTCACTGCAATCGAACCGCTCCAGGGTTAGTTTCAATCGAGCCGAGACCACCTCATTCTAGCGATCTCGGAACGATTACTTTGGCGCGGAACAGAGCGCGATTGCCCTGTTCACATATGCCAATCGAACCGCGCTAACTGGGCAAACGAGAAACGTTCCGAAACAAAAGTGTAGGTATGAAAGCACCCTAGGAATGGTATAGCAGAACATTTTCACAGTTTTAAAACCTTGACTTTTCCAAACCGCGTTACACCTTGGACACTATTATCGTCCCACGCCTATTATGAAGTTGTCGGCTACACAATGTGAAACTGAAACCAAGATGGGTCTGCCTGCAAACTCGGTGCAGTTGCAAGCTGAGCTGCATGCAATGCTTTTTAATGCCCACACCTAACCCCACCCCTAACCCTACCCCTCACAGTGACATCACTAGCTCCACTGAGTGCATTGTATCTGACATTGCATCTCTGAGATATGCAGTCTCAGCTTACATATTAAAGTTTGCATACAGACACTATTGCTAAAACCAGTAAACTTCACAACAGAAAGATGCAATGGATCATCAAACTCCATTAATAAGCGCAAAACTAGTAAATGAGGGCAATACAAGAAGTGAAACTGGCATTATATTGAATATAAAGATTATAAAAATTGAATATAAAGATTATATAAAAGACAGATTATGAAGATGAATTATCTGACCGTATATGGAACCACTGAATCGTGTTATCGTTACCTCAGGAGGCACATCAAATCATGTCAAGCATTTGGCTCTCAAGGATATATCAAAAGCATACAAAATTACATAATATTGGTTATGTCTGTGCTTTTTGTAGCATTGTATAGGCAAGTATAAAGTGGCTGTACTTTAACTGGAAGCTGTTTTCAGTGTAGCTGGAAAGTGGTTCATCTGCTGCATGGTCTTTATTGGCCTCCTCATCACTGTTATCCTCCATGTTGTGTCTGTCAGAGGAGATGCTGAAGAGTGGCTCCTGCAACATGACACATGCTTTTCATTCACTCCTCATTATACACAAAACCTACCAAGGGCCAGTCATTCAGTTCTCACGTTACATAGCAAAACAGGATATCAGGCACACGGCAATATCAGCTTCACTGTGCGTGCCCGTGTGAGCATTAATAATTCCACACTCTAACAGGTGAAGAAATCGCACAAGCTAACTTTGTCATTTTGTGAGTAGTATGAATGACTGAACGAATGGAGAAGAGAAAAGTAAAGGGTAAAAATGTTGAGAGAGATATTTTGGCAGTCAAACATTGCATGACGCCATAATATTTCAGTTGTCAACTAAAATCAATGTCACTCGTGTAGTTTTTTGAATGGGGAAAAGTGTCAGGGTCAAAATGACGAATGAAGCCCCGCCCTCTAGTACAGGAGCCAATCAGTGATTGTTACAGGCTGAGGATTCTCTGGATGAGGGGCTCGGACCAGACGTGATTTTCTGCAGATTTTGTGTGACTTGAACATTTAGAAATGAAGCTAAAGAGATGGTTGTTGTTTCATTATATTAGTGGTTCCTAATACAAAGTTTTATGGCAAGCAGTTTTGTTGAATTTGATGTTTCCCCATTCAAATAGAATGTCCGAGCATACTGCGTTTCAAAGATGGCCGCCGAGTGAAATGACTTGCCTTAAAGTGACTTTGCTAACATGTAGTTGTTACCTCATGCAGTGATGGTAGGGATGATGACAGAGGGATATCTTCACAAGGTGGAGGAGAGGGAGTGGAGGATGATGAGGGAGGGTTGAAAACTTGGCAGACGTTTCTGTCGATCTGCTCTTTAATGTCCTCCAAGTACATGCCTATCCTGAAAATCTGCCCCTCGACCTCCCTTAAACACATTAAGGGAGCATGACACAATACTTGCCAAAGTTTTAATATGTATATATACTTATAATTTAAAATAAAATATGAATGCATTATTTAAATTAGATTTGTTCTGCAGACAAATATAAATTGTGTCTTTGCATAAAATGTTTTATATCTATCAAACAATTAAAAAGTAAATAAATAAAAGTGTAAAATGATAAAGAATTTTGCGCCCAATAAATTAAAGCTAGCAAATTCCAAGCATACAATTTCGGGACATCCAGTACAGTTGTATTGTTTATGGCTTTACTGTAATTCTAAAATGTGTAAATTTAAATGTCATTAGTGTTCACAGTTTAAAGTAGGATATAAAAGTACAGTAGTTAAAGAAATAGTAAATAGTTTAAAGTAGGGCTGCACAATATATATCATTTCAGCATCGATATCGCAATAAGTACTATTTTACATTTTGTCAGTTTAGTGGCAAGTTCATACCATTTCAGTCATTTGGAAATGTACGATTTTAAAAAAAGGTGTGGCACCCAACCCCGCCCCTAAACCCAACCTTCAGTGGGGGACAAGCAAGTCGTACTAAATTGTACGAATGAGATTGTATAAAGTCATATGAATTAGCCACTAATTTAAAAAGTTATAAATTGTGGTAAGATCATGTTGGCAGGTCCGCAATATTCACATTGCAGGGATCTGCAATGTAGTCTGGATTATAGTTGACCAGACATTACAGTTAACAACATAGTAGAGTCATTTCAAATTTTAACCTCAGACTGAAAGTTTCTTATATGCATTGTTACTAAGGTCTGTGTTTGTGTAAGCAAATTTAAGCCATTTGGGCACAATAAATTAAACGATTGTAGCTTTCTTCCCTCAGGCAATCCTTCTCATGAACAATTGATGATACTAAATGTGGAACCAACATCACTACTTGCTATACACTTTTTATACACATTTACAAGTATTTAACAACACACTTTACATGCCAATTTGCACATAACTGCTGCACATATAACGTCAATTTGTATATTTGCATTTACAACTTCTGTTTTTTCAATATATTTATTATCTGTTTTTTGTTCTGTCTCTGTAATTCTGTTGCACTGTAGAAGCTCTGTCACGCAAACAATTTCCTTGTATGTGTGAACATACCAGGCAATAAAGCTCTTTCTGCTTCTGATTAAAGATTGTACATTATATAATTAATTAATCGATGGAAACAATACATTGTTGTTATTATACGAGACTATTTAATTTACTTTACTGAATACTGTTCGACTGTTTGAAAATCATAAATAATTGTTTATGTGAATTTTCTCTGTTGTATTTAGCTTTGCTCGTCATTTTTCAATTTAGCTTATATTTTATGCAGATACACTCCCCTACTGAAATCAACGCCAGTCAATCTAAAATGCTGAATTCTTTACAAGCTATTGGAGTTATCTGGTGAAACTGCATTTATAACGCAATATATATCACAGTAAATTAAACTATTGCAGTGTCAGATTTTTGCAATATTGTGCAGCCATAGGTTTAAGTAGTATACTTTGTAGTCTAACACATCTCTCTCTCTCTCTCTCTCTCTCTCTCTCTCTCTTTCTCTCTCTCTCTCTTGCAGTGGCAAGTGCAAAGCAGACTGTATGTTAGTTATAAAACACCAGACGAGATGTCTACCTGTCAGGGTCAAACTGTCCTGTGTTTCTGCCTAGACCCCTGTAGTTCTGCATCTCCAGAGCACGATGCTCATCCCTCTTTGTGAGGTAATTCCTCTCCAGCTGATCCTGCGCTTCCATCATGCTCTTAAGTACCTACACAGAGATTCATCCAACAACTTTTACTTTTTTACCAATTATGCCTTACATTGTTATATTTACATTGCAATGCACAATGTATTTTTCGCAATTCATGATATACAGTTGAAGTCAGAATTATTAGCCCCCCTGAATTATTAGCGCCCTTGTTTATTTTTTTTCACTAATTTCTGTTTAATGGAGGGAAGATTGTTTCAGCACATTTCTAAGCATAATAGTTTTAAAAACCTATTTCTAATAACTGATTTATTTTATCTTTGCCATGATGACAATAAATAATATTTCACTAGATATTTTTCAAGAAACTTCTATACAGCTTAAAGTGATATTTAAAGGCTTAACTAGGTTAATAAGGTGAACTAGGCAGGTTAGGGTAATTAGGCAAGTTTTTGTATAACGATGGTTTGTTCTGTACACTATTGAAAAAAAAAAATTCTTAAAGGAGCTAATAATTTTGTCCCAAAAATGTTTTATAAGAAATTAAAAACTGCTTTTATTGTAGCCAAAATAAAACAAATAAGACTTTTTCCAGAAGAAAAAATATTTTCAGACATACTGTGAAAATGTCCTTGCTCTATTAAACATCATTTGGGAAATATTATAAAAAGAAGAAAAAATTTAAATGAAGGCTAATAATTCTGACTTCAACTGTATATACACTTACCATCTGTTGCTCCTCCACATTCATTGACATAGTGGTGACGCACATTTTGAATTCATCTACCTGTAAAGAGAAATGATACAGATGCATCACTTTACATCATACAGAAGATGTTTGGTATTTGTAACAGGGTTGCACCTTCTCTATAAATGATCGAATGATGTCTCGGAGCTCTGAGGTCAGTCTCTCTCCATCTGTCAGGCTTTGAGATTCTGTCTCCACAGGCTGAGAGCCCTGCAGGCTAAACTGCTTCTCAGTTGGGCCTGTTGAACATATACTTGAGATATTAGGGAAAAGGACACAAAATGCACCTGTTATATGTCTAAATAAATGTAATTACATACATAATCTAAACACAACTCAACTCACACACATTAACTTGTTCACTAACTTGTTTGTCTTGTAACACTTTCTGTCCACACAAAACTATAAGTTCTGTCATTCTAAAAGTGTAATTTCTTTTAAAGAACATAAAAAACAAGATTCATGCAGTAAGTAACCTTATAATAAATTATATTATATTTTTATGCAATAGAAGTGCACATTTGGTACAGAAATGTAATTTAAAAAATGTTCACAAACTTTCAACACATTTTCTTTTATGTTTCATAATAAAAGAAAGTTATACAGGTTTGGAAAGTTGTGAGGGTGAGTAAATATTGACAGAATTGTCATTTTGGGTGAATTATGCTTTGAAGTATAAACAATACTAATAACGGATGTCCTCTCAAACATTTTTCTTGTTGCACTCTGCAACTGCTGAAGAAGCTCAAATTTCCCAGGCAGGGTTTCTCTGCTGCCAGGGTTACACTGTAGCACAGTATTCAGCTGGAGAAATAACACAATGGCCTCTTGCCTGTGGTTGGTGCCTGCGGGTTATTTGCTGTCAGTTTGGTGTTGTCAGTGTTGTTAGTTGCCTCATTCCAGTCGATGGTCACAGAAGGCTCACTGGAAGTGTGAATCTGCTGCTTAAAAAAAGCCACATTATAACACAATACAAAAGTAAATTAGAGCTAAAGTGAGATTATTGTTGAGGGCTGCACAATAAAACGCTTCAGCATAACATCAATTTCAAGTCCAAGTTTACCAGGCACCGCAGTTTGGAACAGATATCTGTGAATTAATTTCAAAACTGTACTATAATCATACCTGTACCATAATGCATGCATTAAAGCCTAAATATAAAAGTTTAAAGAATTCAAATACAAGACCCAGTAACATTACTTTTAACATATATTATTTGTAGTTAGTTTGGTAAAGTCTATGCAGTGCTATTTGTACATTTGATTATTCCATTTCGGTACTGTCTGTATATGAGAGGTTTAATATTTAAAGCATAATATATAAACCTGTTGTGGTGTATTTAGTTTGAGAATATTAGGATATACATATAAACATCTAAATATGGAATTCATATTTTAGAACTAATAAAAGATCCAACAACAAAAACTCTTACAAGTCTCACCTGACCAATTAGGTTTTCGTCTTCTGTGTATTTAGCAAGCAATCTGTCATATTCCATCTGTAAACAAATAAAAAGATCATCTTTCAGATAATTGAAGATAGAAGTTCAGCATTATTCTTTTTCCAGCGCTACAAAACATTAATAAACATAAACACTGGCATTAGTGTGCTTAAAACTGTTAAAATTTTCTTAGAAGGTTTACTGCATGAACTTAATCTTGTAAAAGCCTTCTTCTGTGAGTATATATATATATATATATATATATATATATATATATATATATATATATATATATATATATATATGTATGTTTTATATTTGTATTTTATATGTATATTTCTTATACAATTGAAGTCAGAATTATTAGCCCCCCTTTGATTTTTTGATTTTTTATATTTCCAAAATGATGTTTAACAGAGCAAGGAAATTTTTACAGTATGTCTGATAATATTTTTTCTTCTGGAGAAAGTCTTATTTGTTTTATTTTGGCTACAATAAAAGCAGTTTTTAATTTTTTAAACACCATTTTAAGGTCAAAATTATTAGCCCCTTTAAGCATTTTTTTAATTGTCTACAGAACAAACCATCGTTATACAATAACTTGCCTAATTACCCTAACCTGCCTAGTTAACCTAATAAACCTAGTTAGACCTTTAAATGTCACTTTAAGCTGTAAAGAAGTGTCTTGAGAAATATCTAGTGAAATATTATTTACTGTAATCATGGCAAAGATAAAAGAAATCAGTAATTAGAAATGAGTTGTTAAAATTATTATGAGGACGACGTGGTGGTGCAGTAGGTAGTGCTTTAGCCTTACAGCAAGTTGGTCGCTGGTTCGAGCCTCGGCTGGGTCAGTTGCCATTTCTGTGAGGAGTTTGCATGTTCTCACCGTGTTCGCGTGGGTTTCCTTCGGGTGCTCTCGTTTCCCCAACAGTCCAAAGACATGCGGTACAGGTGAATTGGGTAAGCTAAAATTGTCTGTAGTGTATGTGTGGGAATGAGATTGTATGAGTGTTCCCCAGTGATGGGTTGCAGCTGGAAGGGCATCCACTGCGTAAAACATATGCTGGATAAGTTGGCGGTTCATTCCACGGAGGTGACCCCAGATTAATAAAGGACTAATCCTTAAAGAAAATGAATGAAAATTATTATGTTTAGAAATTTGTTGAAAAGATCTCTCCGTTAAACAGAAATTGGGAAAAAAATAAACAGGGGGCGAATAATTCAGCGGGGTTAATAATTCTGACTTCAACTGTATATAAAATATATATTTACATATCAGTCTTTTTATTAAATTTTTTACTTGTGTGTATACATTAATTTTTAATTAAATTAAAGTTTAAAGTTTTTAATATCATGTAGTGTATACGAGGTAAAGGGAAAAAATGAAAAGAAAACTAATTCAGGGAAACTGGGAATTTTTATTTAAGTTTTTTATTTATTTATAAGTTTTATTATTCAATAAATAGGTTGTATGTCTTGTTCATTTCTAAATAGTTCAATTTGTTGGAAAAATCGTATTGTGAGATCAGTATCATGAACTGTATTGAGCTGAGCTGAGTGAATCATTACATCCTTACTAGTAGCTACCATTTGTCTTCAAACCTTACTATCTAGCCCGGTGTTTCTCAACCACGTTCCAGGAGGATCACCAGCTCTGCACATATTCCATGTCTCCTTAACTAAACACACCTGATTCAGAACGTCAGCTCATTAGCAGAGACTCAAAGACGTGGGAGACTTCATCCAAAACATGCAGTGTTGGTGGTCCTCCAGGAGCGTGGTTGAGAAATCTGCATATTACACCGACAGTAAGATATAGTCACCTGTAATTTATGTGCCACTTCCTTGTCTGCGAACACGTTCTCTGGTGCCATGATGGAGTCCTCTAAAACCCTGCTGATGACGTCTACTTTAGCCGTACAGGAGGAGCCAGATTTACCCAGGGACGACTGGGTTTGTGCCATAGCCAATGACTGGCTGACTGGCTTCACACTTCCATTAGCTTTAGGTATTTTGACTTTAGGTGCCACTTTAGAGAAGTCAGGCAGTGGGTAATGCACCTTTCCCTGTCCATATTTCAGCTCACCATAGGACCTGCTCCTGCTGAAGGAGAACTTTGGTTTCAATGCATCTGCATTAGACAAATCTAAAGAGTTCGTACTGCGGCTCTGCTCCTTATCATTATCATTATCTTCATCCATAACCAATGCAGCATCACTAATGCAAGACATTACAGGTTCCTTAGGTAAACTCGACTCATTCGAAATGCCTTCTTCAACCAGTTCATGGCTTTCAGCAGGATCTGTCTCCTCAATCACATCTTGAATCTTCTCCATGTCTCCTATGCAGATCTGTGAAGCTTTGCTGAGCACAGTTTCATCAATGCTCTCCATCAAAGACATCTCCGGCAGGGTCTCAGCTTCGATGATCCTGCTTGAGTTCAGCAGCTCCTCTTTTGAGAAGTGTCTGAGCAGGAGGTCAGAGATGCGGTCTGAAGGTTGAGTGGGCGTGGTAACAGGAGGAGCCAAACAGTCTGCTGTTTTATGATTGGATGGAAGAGCGTGAGTAAGATTAGATTGGCAAGCCACTGTTTCTTCTGCATGACCGATTTGCATATTAAACTTATCAAGTGTTTGCCTTGGTGTAACCGTTTCACATGGAGTTGATTTTAAATTCATCTCAGTTTTGTGTGCACCATCATATGGGAGATCTTCATGTTCTTCATCACTAGTGTTGACAGCATCATCCTCATGTGTTGCAATGACTGGCTTTACTGTAGTGCTGAGTTTCTGCATTGGTGCTTTGGTTATATTTCCCCTCCTCTTTCCAGGGTTTGAATGCTCTGTGTGTTCACTACTGACTGATTCGAGAGTCTCTGAGGATCCCTCTTCGGTTTCACATGACTCTGACTGCTCTGCATCATCTGGACACAATATAACAAGAGGTTAAGTTTACATAACATAAGTCTCTATGTTATAAGTAAGAAATAAGTATATTTGGAGGGCGCCATAGCTACCTACGTCTTTCGGTAGGATGCTTAGAACTTCTGTATTCAGCGTTTACAACAGGTAAATCTTGATTCGAAAATGGTTGCCAATACCGTTTTGGGTGGCTTACGGAGTGTTTTTGTGATCCACAACTTTGATTTTGAACAGAGTGTGTTAAAGCCGTAATACTTTTGTCAGATGCGGATCAAACGCGAGAAAAAAACATTCTTTTAATTCCGTGTCTGCTGTCAGATCAGATGCTGAAATACAGCATCAGTATTGCCGTCCTGTCTGCTGTTATACTGTACTCTATGGCTCTTCAATGCACACACACACAGCACATCACTGCAATATAGAGCAAACCATATTACTTTGTGTACTCTTTCGAACAGATGTTGTTTTTTGATCCTATTAGAGTGCATTTTTTTATATTTAGTCCAGTAGGAGGCGCTGATCGACATCATTATTAGTTCAAAGATGTTAGAAGCAAGTAAAATAGATTAAAATATAGTTTAAAAGCTGTCCGAATGTGACTGTTGAAACGCATCAAGCTGCCAAGCAGAAGTTTAAAGCATCCTCCTTGCGCATACCCACAAAGCATAATGTAGTTTTGAGTTCTAAGAAAAAGGTCTATATATGCCAACTAGGGAGAGATCTTCACTGATGGGCGGGGCTTTACCCCTCTGATGACACGTACAAAGGGAGAATGTCAATCAAAGTGTTTTTGCAGACTATTTTTATGAAGTCTGATTATAAAAAATAGAATTAAATAATTTGTATTATTAGATGAAGGCTATATTCACACAATGTTGCCACTCAACTGTGTTTATACACCTTATAAAAGTGTTTTTGCATAATAGGTCCCCTTTTAGGTTGCTAATTTGCTTTGAATTTAAAGCCATTTAGATGAGACTGAATACACTACCTGACAAAAGTCTTGTTACCAAGTTTTAGGAACAACAAATAATAACTTGACTTCTTGATCATTCGGTATGAGAAGTGACTTATATGAAAGGCAAAAGCCTCTAGATTACGCTTATCATATCAAAATAAAATGATCATAACCTGATTTTTTATAATTTAGCACAGTAAGGTCTGACTTTGCTTAGACAAATGTCTTGTTACTTAACAGAAATAATGTGCAGTATAGAATATAAAGTCATGGGTAGGCCCACACGGAATCTGCGCGCGCAGAATTCCGCAGATTTTCCACAGAATTCCGCAGATTTTAAGCCCATCATTAATTCTGTTTATTTAATTTGAGTAAATGTGTGTAAATCTAAATTTATTCAGTTTTAAAATTAATTACAGTAATATTATTGACTAATATGAAAATGTTAATCGGATTTAAGTACAATGGAGTTTGTACAGTAATATTTTCTGTCTTTTAGTAGATTTATTATATGAGAGACTTGCTTTGTTTACCAAATAAAGTGAATCTAATTGGATTTGCATTTTAAACAATAAATAAAAGTAAAAAAGGTATTATTTTTTATTTCCCATATTAAGGTTTTAGTTATGATACTCCCAAAATCATTCCGCAGAAATCCACAGATTTTTACCAATAGAAATTAGAAATAGAAATCCATCCGCAGATTCCGTCTGGCCCTAGTCATGGGGCAGTGGAAGAAGAATTAATATTGTTTATAACTTCCTTGCACTTGGAGGACTGCATCTATACATCTCTGCAATGACTCAAATAACTTATTAATAACATCATCTGGAATGGAAAAGAAAGCGTTCTTGCATTCTGTGAGAATCTTGGGTCCATGCGGGTTCCAACAGGTCTTCTGCTGTATTTGTGATGATTGGGATGCAGTTCAACAGATGATTCATCGGAAATCTGCATTCTGCCTCTTTTCCAAATGATCAACAACAAGTCAAGTTATTATTTGTTGCTCTTACAACTGGGATCGACCACAAGACTTTTGTCAGGTACTGACAAGGCGGGACAATATAAAAGTGTTTTAGCCAAATTTTCTACAGAAGATCTGACTGACATTAGTTCTTCATGACATCATAGTTGGCGACAGACAGTTAGGACTAATTGCTTAAACTACTTGTCTTAAAAGTTATAGCCATTAGTGTGTTAGTTTAGTTTTTTACTTCAAGGCTAGTTAATTTTTTTGATCAGTCTAAATCGAATGATCCACAAAGCTAATTGGGCTAACTGCTAGTTAGTCAAACTGTTTTTAAGGCATTATGTTTGTTTATGCAAGTTATGTTAAGTTTATGCAACTGGCCCTATATATGTAGTGAAGTTTATTTTTTGAGAAACATTTATAATTAATCATAATTTCTGATTAAATGTGACTACTCAAAGAATCATTGAAAAGTTTAGGATTGGTACATTTTAATTTCAAGAAATTATCATTCAGCAAGCATTAAGTTCATTTGTTTACCATTTTGCTAACTAGTGATGTTAAAGGCATTTATGAAGTTGCAAATAAATTTTGTTACAATTTTACTGTATGTTTCAGCAAATAAATGCAGCCTTTTTAGGTGTGAGAGACTTGAGAAACTTTAATTTTAAAACATTTAAACTTTTGAACAGTTGGTATATATTTGCATGAAGCCAAGTTATGGGAAACTTGTGATTACATTGTTTTATTTATTCATTTGAGTTAGGCATGGGCCGGTAGAAGATTCTGACGGAATATTATAAAGTTGGATAAAAATATCACGGTTTCACGGTATTGATTACTGCTCTAAATTATATTCTTTTTAAATGTCCAGGTAAAAAACAATAACTTTTTTCCCCTTTGAACACAGTATATTTTATTTTTAGAGACATCTGTAATATTTTTAAACAGTAAACATGTCAGGCTAAATAATTTAAATGAATCATTGACTTCTGCGGTCTTAGTTAGTTTCAAAAACACACATTTATTTACAATTTAAAACAGCATCTTTGCATATCTTTTCTGCTGCAGATACTGTTGTCCTAAAAAAAGTAATTAAAAAATCTTACACATATTTGGAACGGTATAGTAGAAAATTTTGGTGGTTTTAAAACCTTGACTTTTCCTAACCATGGTATACCTTAAAAACGGTTATAGTCCCATTTGTGTAATTGAGTATTTTATCTAATTGCTCTGTATAATGGACCAAAGCCTAATTCATAAAATAATCAATTAAATAATTGTTACATTTATTGATTATCGAAATTTACAAAGTTTTAAAAGATAAAAATGCCATAGTAAGATGCTACGGCAATGGTATCGACTAAAAACATGATATTTTCTTTTTTAGCTTTACAATGAGAAATGTATGAGGTATTTTAAAGTGGGTAGGTTGTCTCTTACCAGTGAGTTGAGGGCTCTCAGGTACACCAGAGCCCTGTAAGAGCTGGACATTGAAGGCGCCCTCCATATCACTGAAGTGCAGGCTGTCATCATCGCTTATATCCACAAATATACTCTGCTCGATGTGTCTTTCCCACAGCACTGATGAAGGTCTGCTGTGAGCTTCATCTTCACCGTCCATGTCCTCTGCTTCTCCTGTTGAATATCCATCAAACCTGCTGCTCCGTGCGCTAGTGCGCGTCTTCCGCGCGCCTCTGTTCATTACCTAGCAACACGCTTATACACAATAAGTCAAATACATTTTATAAATAATATTTATATTATATTACAATATTATGACTGAATAGTTTGCTACTATATATGCTGGAAAATACAGTGAAATATCAACAAGCTGCATAATTAGCACTCAAGTTAATCTATTAATAAAACATATGGCACTCACTTTTTACGCTTGATCCATAGATGATGTCTAGGTTTTATAAACAGTATGCGCAACTTGCTCGTGTGCCGCTGCCTTCATAAATGAATGACATAACACCACAGTACAATGAAGGCTCTGTTTAGTTTCTCAAGCCTCTGGTGCAGGATCATCTTGAGCATTTTAAATAATAAATGCAGTATCTGATGCTGATGCTATGGGCAGGTGTTACACGCGCACGGGGTGGGGTGAAAGGTGGTTCCTACGACTACTTGAAGCAGCTGTCAATCATTTCTGCTTCAAAACCATTTCATTCATATACCTAATTGGTGCACACAATGGTTAACCGCTTTATGTGTTGGCTTATGTTAATTTAAGTGCAGTTAAGTGTTAGATGAGTAACAAAACACCCGTCACTGACTGAGTAGTAGAACGGTAAAACATTCAAATTTCATTGGTGATTCATGAGGGGAGTAGCTACGTTTGAATCATGTGCTCTGATTGGTCAGTCGAGTCACAGTCACGCCTCAACACGCCCCCTTTGTCCGGGTTTGTGTAAAGTTTTGACTCTTAACCGCTTCGATGAGACAAACTGTATTTATTTCGAAGCTAACTCATCTAATACATCCGCTTTTACGACATGTTTGGATGTAATTGATTTTTGTTTGGACCCTGTTGGATGTAAGCGACGAAACCGAGAGCAGGATCCGTGGGGAGTCGAAGGAGGTAACGTTATGACTGAAGTTTGGCCCGTATCGTCCGTTAAGACAGAGCTGTACGCGCTAACATAGCAAGTGATTAACGTTAACGTCATATCAACTCATAAAATATAAACATTTTAAGTTGAACGAGCACGTATAATCATTGTAGTGATATAATCAATATTAAAACTTATACTGTGTTGTTTTAACGTTGTAACTTGTTTGTTTAAAAATCCAACAACTGATATTTTTGAATTATGCTAACAGTTCTATTGTAACATTTGTATCGTTAACTGCTTTTCCTCTGTCGTTTGGTTTAGGTTCGTACGTTACTGAAGTCAGTGTTAACGTTGCCCATTTTGAGGTTGGTGGTGTTTTCATGTCGTTATACATTCTTTACGAACTGAATACATATTGTTCTTGCTTAATCCAGGGCTTTCTTTTACTGTTTGATTTGGGAGCGAAAAATGGGTGTAACGTTAAGTCGTTTTGTGAATAAGGTTTGGCTTGGTGACTTTGGCTGAACGTTACAGTAGTTTTTCCAGAAATTTAGGTTTTGTGTTTACATACAGTATAATTTTTGCTTGTAAACATTCGTCAATGGCAGCATTCTTACTCGAATTGTTCTGTGACTAACATGCATGTCCTCTTGGAACAGTCTACTGGGAAACTATGTTGAATTTGGCAAATATTTATTACGAAGTGCTTGCAATACTTCTGTGTATAAGGGATCTTAAAGGGTAACCAGCTGGGAACTGCTGTGAAGTCACAGTCATGTATTTGTGATCATGATGATGAAGTCATACACTTCCTGTGTGTCATGGAAGGTACAGCTTGTGTATGTCTTCTTGTTAAACTCTATTCATGTCTCATCTTGTCAAGCTAAAGCTTTGAGATGCACCGAGAGCCAAACAGAGATGTTTCTTGACCTCAGAATTATGACACACAAAGTTTTGTAAGTGACGTTGTATTGCTTTAGGGACTATTGTTGTTTATCATATAATTTGTCTGGATGATTAAAATGTGAGTTGCCTTAAAGTAGGGCCTGTGGGCCAAAGTTGGCGCATGGTAACCTTTGATTTGGCCCGATATCCTATTTGAGAAGAGAGGGAGAATGTTGGGGATAGTTTTGAGATTGTCCATTTAAATTTAATGCAAAATGATGTTGTTGTTGTTGTTGTTAAAATGTGCCTGAAATCAAATGTTTCTATTAAATGGTTTAAAATCATCAGATTTAGTTGTACATACTGTCACCCGACAATGCAAAGACTTTGGTAAAACAAATCAAGTCAAAGGCAGATTCTGCTTGACTAGTGTGTTCAGCATTAAACATTGCTGTGTTATAAATGTAATTGTGTTTTTATTGCAGTAAGTTATTTAAAAAGTTATACTGCACATAGTTGATACAATTTAAAACAATGCTTTCTATTTATTTTGAAATGTTATAAAATAATTTAGGAAATTACCTATGGCAACTTTAATATAGTTTGGTATATTTACCTTTGGCCCACGGCTCTCAATAATTTTTGGTTTTTGGCCTTCATATGAAAAAGTTGACTTATCGTTCACAATGCTTCACAGAATTAGACTGGAGCTAAATGTTTGTTCTTAAACCCTCTGATATTTTTTTGTAGATTTATGGTTAATGTAGTTTCTCTTCATGATTGTAAATAAACCTGATTATTTTACTATATACCACAAACCATCAACAACCAAGTAGCTGACAGCAGTTTTTACTTTAATGGATCACAGGTTATGACTTTAAAAAAAAATCAGTTTTCCAATGTAGAAAATTAACATTTTACTTTTGGATCATGACTATTCCTGACCTACTTTTGTACTCAGTTTCCTCAGAAATGAACTATTATGTTGAGGTAAAGTCAGGGCTGCCTGATATATATTATCGTTGGGAGCCGAAATCAAAACTGACTTGATTATTGCACAATCCTAGGTAAAGTAATATAATGTATTAAAATGTATTTTAATCTGAACTAAATAATTTATTTTGTAAATGCATGTTCTTCTGGTCATTGTCAAATATCATATCTTCATCTTTTGGTGAAAATTAGAGACGTCTTTCTGTTGATGTATTCCAAACTTCTTTCACTGCCAACTACAAGCTTGCGTTTATTTTTAAATTCAAAGGCCTCTTCTCAAAAACCACTCAACAACCAGGTGATAAGACCAAATAGTACTCTCGAATGTGAATATGGAATAAAAATATGTTGCTGCTTTCATTTGATACCAAATTTTTTATTGCTTATACCATGCACAAAATATGATAGACCTCAACAACAAAACTGAAACATCAATATTCTAAATAATGCAAAATTGTGTCTTTCTATAAACAGTTGCAGTAGAGTAAATGGTTCTTTGAACATGGCTCTATGGTTCCCCAAGCTGATTATCTTATTTTTAGATTAGCTCTGCAATGACAAATCAGCTTTCCAAATGTCACAAGGGTGCAATATGTTTGAAAATGACTGACAGTCTCTATTACATTGTGAAATCTATTTTTTTATTCCCTTGTTATGACTCTTTTGCATCTTTGGGGCTTTATAAGAGAAGGGTGAACAAAACTTCTTTCATGTCACCAGCTTGATTGCGTTTTCTTTTACGCTTTGGCATGCATTGCAGATAATCAACTGTGTTTATGGGCTGATCCCAATTGCTTCCTTGGTTCTTGTTGGGCCCCCTTGATTTGGCTTTCCCTTACACCGACAAACACACATACACACTCTTAATATCTGCCTCCCATGCATATATCTGCAGTTCAGTGGGTGTTGCCATGGCATTACGCTCAGAATGAGGCTTCACACTCGGCATCTTGTGTTCTCTTCACAGAGAGCTCCGGAAGAGTATCCTGGACAAAACGCACATCACACACAAACACACACTTCCCAGCCCCACTGCTGTGGTGAATATTAGCTGAGAGAAACCCCAACTGTTGTGCACTGGATTCCACCATCGGAAAACCACTTTGTAAGGGCAAAAACTTTCAATATTTTGTTCTCTCTGGGACGCACAACTTTTCCCTAATGGATTACTTTCTGGACTTGGCTCGGATCAGCTCTTCATAATGCTCTTCGATGGCTGTGAGCAGTGCAGTGGTTAGCATGCAGAATGAAAACCGAACGTTTGTCCACTACAGGTAGGCACGCAACACTTGATTTGTTTTCCATTAGCGTAATACACTTTTTAGGGGTTTTGAGGTTGTTCAGTATTAAAACATTGACGAAGACACCAAAAGTGGACATTGTATGTGTCACTTAACCATGGTGTTTTGATTTTGCACATAGTTAGTTCTCTTAATACTTGAAAATAAATCTAAAATTGGGTTTGTAAATGAAACTGCTAATTGTTTGTAAAAGCTTTATGTCCTAACCAGGTTTAACTAAATTTGATAGAAATCATGTGCGAAACCTAGCAGTAAAATAAATACAAATGTTGTATTTTTATCAGTTGTAAAAGTTTTTTAGGTGGTTAAATGTGGAATTAGATTGTGTTGTTTGTGAGAGAAGCACCAGGTGTGTGTTCATTTAATCAATGTTTATTAATGGTTTTAGTCTTTTAAGAAGATTGCCTGTTCTGCACCTCATGATTTTTTTTACTTTATTACTAACTTTATAAAGCAATAAAGCCAGTTTGAGTCCAGGTCAGCTCCAAGACTAACACAGTGGTGTACACCACAAGGCTCCATTAGGGATGCACAATATTGGGGGAAGGGCTGACATTGCGATCTTTTTGTTTTTCTGCGATTTATATATTGCGATATAATTTCAAAAAATAACTTTTGAAAAATTCACAATTTTACAATGATCATGATGATTTTGTGAGGGAGTGCATCTGCATAAATTATACACAATTATACAAAAACACACAAAGTAATATTATTTAAAGCACAAATGAAAACGATAGAACAAAGATAAAAATGATCTTAACAAAACTATGGTTTAGTCTGACAGTATTGAGATATAGAAATTCAATAATCAAATGTAAAATAACAGCGTCTTATTTTTATAAATATAAAATTTATATATTTTTCTTTAATGTTATATAATTTATAGACTTTTTCTTCTATTTTTAAACCTAATCTAGTTGTTAAAGCAGAAAACGTAATAATCTCTTGTGTCCAAATGGTTTGAATGTACCTAAAATCTCTTGAAATCCTGTGATGTGGCTAGGGCTGTTCTAATTGTCATTTTATTATTATCATTTTAATATTATTATTATTTTTTTTTTTTATAGATTTTGCGATTTGATTTACGATTTATTCCAAGCTTCAAATTTATTTTAATTTAATTCAAGCTTCAGCTGAATAATCTAATCTTTGGCAACAATTCTGTCGAAAGCCCTTAAAAATTACCTGGTTTTGTTCGGTGTCTGTGACTTTGAAACCAAAATATGTCCATGTTACAAATGCTGTTTTTCTTTTATTAATTAATTTATTAATGCTTCTGAAGCAGCAGACACCGTAATCCCACTTGTCAGCACTTTCCTGTTTGTTTTATTTTTTTATTGTTGGGATATTTCAGGTGCGCAAGCAATTCTTATTGGGCAGAACGAAAGGGTCCTCACTTTTTTGTCTAGTTATAAAGCCCCAGTCAAATCACACAAATATGGCACAGTTTCCTTGACGTAGGCAGTTGTTAACGACAAATGGATGTCATGACACAAGATTTAATCGTTTCTTTTCGTGTAATGTTCATGATAGTTCATGACCATCGACATGTCTGTGATGCCTCACGAAACCATTGACAACAGAACGTCTAGCATGTTTAATTTTTGGAAGCATATAGTGGACTGATTTTGAAGCACTTCACCTCAGATGATATTCTTTATTTTTGTTTAAATATACACATTTCATATTGCAGTCTGTTGCGATTAACTAATCGCAACGTTTCAAATTGTGATTGCGATTAGTTTTCGATTAATCGCATGGGCCTCTAGGTGACTATTGCTGATTCGCACACTGCATTATCTAAAACGATATATCGTGCAGCCATTCCTTCCATCTCATGAATTGTTCTTTAGTGTACTACAAAAATCTATGTTGCCACTGTGCTTGAAGAAAATAAACGTCTGTATCATATTAAAGGCAAATAAATTGTCTAATTTAACATGTCTGGGGAAAAAAGGTCAAAATATAGATGAAATAATGTTATCGTTATTCAACATATATTTATATAAAAAGATACTTGTTAAACCATTGTTCTGTCATAAAGTGGATTTTGGTATATAAACTAAACTTGCAGTATATTACATTTTGGAGTGGGTCTTCTGTAAATCATGGTCATATTGTTTGACAGTCATTTTTTTGCTTTATGCGAAAACGTATGAATGAACCAGATAAACATATGTATACATACATAATTAAAAAAAAGTATACCTACTAAATCCCTAAAATGCTCTAAGATTTTCACATTTATCCTAATTTGCTTCAATTACCTGATGCCAATTTATCATATAACATGTATAACTACAGTTACACTTCAATGCAAATAGATTCCATTTTTTTTAATATTTGAGAAAAGAGCTACTCTGAATCTGTCACATGATGAAAGCTCTGCATTGAAGAGTTTTATGACATCAGAAGCGAATCTAATCTCTGTAGTGTCTCTCTCTATGTTCGCGCTAATCACAGATGACAGTGGAAAGCAGAAACACAATCAGATTAGCTGTGCAAGTGCTGAGCGCAACACTTTTCCACAAAGCCATCATCAACCTCTGCCCTCGAAGACGTCCAGTGTGACGTTGTGTCATGGATAGCTGCCTTGTTGAATGTTCTTTTTAAAATCATTGCAGTTTGTGGTGCTGTAATTCCTGGTGGAGAGTTTGGTTGATTGGCAGCTTCAGCGGGATGTTTGTGTGTTTGGGGCGGTTAGTTTTGAAGATTACAACCCTGTCTGAGGACTTTTTAAGGAGGCAACAAAGCAGTTTTAGATGCCTTTCACATGTCCAGTTTTCTTTGATTGTGTGAGACGGGAAGGCACCAGGTAGGCCTTGATTAACTCTAATGGACCAGTTACAATTATAATGTGTAGGATTAATCTGCTGTGAGATCGTGGTTGGATTTTTTTCAAGGCCACGTGTGTTATGTAGTATCAAGTTGAGTGTTGAAGGAATTTTTCTCCTGTTTAACATTTGATGATAAATTTAATACTTTTTCAAAATGTTTTGGGGACTTTTATGCTTGCTATTAATTACCATGAATATAATTTATGGAGTCAATCTAAGGCCATAAATATTGCAAAATAAAATAAAGTTTTGCAAACAAAAAAAAAAGTATTGATCAAAAAAAATTTCTCCAAAAATCGCAAAGCGTAAATAAATTTTCATGAAATAAAAATTTATTTCACAAACAAAAATAAAGAACTGCAAAGGGAAAATTTAATTTTAAGAAATAAAAATAAACTTTGCTAACAAAAAAGAACTGCAAATAAAAATTGCAAAACACAATTTTTCAACACACAAAAAAAAATATTTGCAATAAAAAAACAATATATTAGCAAAACATTTTTATAGCATTGCCCTTACAAAACCTGTCCAGTCAATTGCAATGCTGATTTTTAGGTCAAGGGGGTGGAGTCAAGGCAACTTGGGTGTTTACGGCAGGCCCAGACCTGCCTCTATTTAAGCAACATCATCACCTGGAGACACAGTATCACCGAGGTGGTCTTAAAGCCCAGTAGGTCCAGGCCTGCCGTAAAAAAAATATATATATATATATATATATATGTGTGTGTGTGTGTGTTTATTACATTTTTTTTTTCAGTTGCAAATATTTTAGTTTTTTCTGCAGTTATTGCAGTTCTTTTATTGTTTGCAAAGTACATTTTTATTTAAAAAAAAATAAAATTTCGCTTTACGATTTAAAAAAATAATTATATATATATATATATATATATATATATATATATATATATATATATATATATATATATATATATATATATATATATATTTTTTTTTTTTTTTTTCCTCAATATTTTTTGTTTGTAAAACCTTCATTTATTTTGAAAGTATATGTGGCCCTAGATTGACTCCATGATAATTCATGCATCTGATGTGTTTGACATTGTGTTTATGTATCAGTGGTGCTCATTAAATATGAACACATGAAAAATTCTAAACAAAATCTTTTATGTTAATATTTGATTTTAAATTGTATCCTGTAAGCCCATAAAACGTTTCCTGGGTTGTTGCATTTATTTTTCTTAAGTTTACATGAGAATAAAAATAAATGAAATATACTGAAATATTAATATAAATTTTAAAAATCTATTGAATCCACTTGTTAAGTGTGGCGGCACGCAAATCGGCTTCCTGGTCCAAGCCTTATTTTCTCAATTTCAATGAGTAGCGGCTTGGACCCAGAAACAGTATTTCATACATCACGACTTAACAAGCAGATTAAAGTTTCATGTCAATTTCTGCACTGTTCTTAAATGTCAAAAATAAAATGTTGATTAGACTTTTCCAGAATAAATGAAGAAGTATCCCATCATCTCAGCACATTTCTAGTTAGATTTTCCTTGTTTTTATTAACTCCAAAAATAGTGCAGTGATTCTTTGTACTGTGAGTGTGTTTAGTTTACTTTCTAATATCATAACCCTGCCATCTCAGTTTATTTCCAATAATGTTAATGCAGAGATTAAAAACTTTAACGTTGTCAACTGTTCAGAGTTAATATTTTTACTGCCCCCTGCAGGATGGAGGCGTCCTGTTTGGATCTGGCTCTGGAGGCAGAGCGTCTGTGTAAGGTGGGAGATTACAGCGCCGGTGTTTCGTACTTCGAGGCTGCCATACAGGTTGGCACAGAAGACCTACAGGTTCTAAGCGCCGTCTACAGTCAGCTGGGGAATGCCTACTTCCACCTGCACGACTACAGCAAAGCTCTGGAGTTCCACCACCATGATCTTACACTCACTAGGTATGCACGTGCTAACATTTTTATTTTTTTGCTTTGGTAACAATGTACTCAAAGTAACATTATACACATCTAAAGTGGTACAAGAGGTTTTTACTGTACATTATGCTGTTGTGTTCAGTGTTGCATTAATCAAGTAATCCTCAGGAACAATTGTTACAATATTTGATGTATTTTATTATATAAATAAGATACTTATTTTACACTCAAATAATTCCAGCAATGTATAACTATTAGCTAGCTTCAGTTTGCTAATATTTTATAACATTTGTATATAAATCATATCCTTAGGACCACTGGTGATCGGCTTGGTGAGGCCAAAGCCAGCGGAAACCTGGGGAACACATTAAAGGTTTTGGGACGCTTTGATGAAGCGATTGTCTGCTGCCAGAGACATTTAGATATTGCCAGGGAACTGGGTGACAAGGTGAGCGATCTGATTAATGTACACAATAGACATTACCATAACAGAACACAGAACATTTACATGTATTCATTTAGCATTATTCATTAGTGCTTTCATCCAGAGACATTTGCAAATGGAAAGTGCTACAACACTAGCACTTGATTCTGATCACACGATAATATTAGTACCACCATAGAAAGCTCTCACAATTAGCTGGAAAATTGAATTTGCACACTGACAAACAAATCAAAGGAGTTCTAGTCTCTAAATGTATAATGCAGACTGGATCTGGTAAATGTTGTATTAATATGTAATCTAATTGTAAATGAATTGTTAAAATCCTAATATTCCTATAGTTGCATTAATGTCATGACAGAATTTACAGGTCTTCATTTACGCAACAAAATGTAGTAGTAAATTATCAAATCACAAATAGATTTTTTTATGAGCTTGATGACAGCCAAGTTTTGTGAGATGCAGTGGAAGCTTGTTTCTAAAGAAAACTAGGGTGCTATAACCTCTCACACGTGTGACTTTTTTCCTTGCAAGTTTGTTTCACAAGTTTTCTTATGATATTTCATTGGGGGAAAATTGCACTTGTTTTTGAAATTCAAAGGGAAAAAACAGCTAGGAGATTTAAGCTGAAATTCTGATGAAAAAAGTCTTGATTGTGAAACTGCAATTTTGCAAGCTTAAACTTGAAATTGAAAGCAGTTGCGGACCTAACTAATAACCGAGGTAAGCAGCCGCTTATGGCCCCAGGGAATTTGGGATCCCCGACCAATGCCAAGAAACCTATATTAATCATATAGCTCTTTTATACATTTTCTATCATATGTTGTAAAATCTGTCCATAACTGTTAAGATTTTAATGGCCTCCGATTCACAAACAACAATTACTCAATTTACATGAAAAATGGTGAAGATTTTTATTTTTTTTAATTACTATAAAAATCTAATTACAAAAAATGGCTAATTAACTGTACATCGAGGTGGCCAAACTTGGTCCTGGAGGGCCGTTGTCCTGCAAAGTTTAGTTCCAACCTCAATTAGACACACCTGGTTTAGCTAATCAAGCTCTTACTAGGCTTTCTAGAAACATCTGTGCAGGTGTGTTGAGAAAAGTTGGAGGTAAAACTTGCAGGACACCGGCCCTCCAGGACCGATTTTGGGCAACCCTGCTGTACATAGTTTGTGAACTTCTTTTTTTATTTGTCAATTTATTGCTTTTAATTTTACATTAGTAAGATAAAGGTTCCTTTAAATAATAAATATACTTATTATGTATAGAGCGCCACTGTTTATTTTTTTTCCCCCAATTTCTGTTCAACGGAGAGAAGATTTTTTTTCAACACATTTCTACACATTATAGTTTTAATAACTCATTTTTATTAACCGATTTATTTTATCTTTGCCATGATGACAGTAAATAATATTTTACTAGATATTTTCCAAGACACTTCTATACAGCTTAAAGTGACATTTTAAAGACTTAACTAGGTTAATTAGGTTAACTAGGCAGGTTAGGGTAATTGGGCAAGTTACTGTATAATGATGGTTTATTCTGTAAACAAAAAACAAAAATAGCTTTAAGGGACTAATAATTTTGACCTTAAAATGTTTTTTTTTTTTAAACTGCTTTTATTTTAGCCGAAATAAAACAAATAAGACTTTCTCCAGAAGAAAAAATATTATCTGACATACTGTAAAAATTTCCTTGCTCTGATAAACATAATTTGAGAAATATTTAAAAAAGAAAACAAACTTAGAAGAGGGGCTAATAATTTTTACTTAAACTGTATATACTTTTTAACATTCATTCATTAATTTTCTTGTCGGCTTAGTCCCTTTTTTTAATCTGGGGTCGCCACAGCGGAATGAACCACCAACTTATCCAGCAAGTTTTTACGCAGCGGATGCCCTTCCAGCCGCAACCCTTCTCTGGGAAACATCCACACAAACATTTACACACACACTCATACACTATGGACAATTTAGCCTACCCAATTCACCTGTACCGCATGTCTTTGGAATGTGGGGGAAACCGGAGCACCTGGAGGAAACCCACGCGAAGGCAGAGAGAACATGCAAAATCCACACAGACACGCCAACTGAGCCGAGGTTCGAACCAGCGACCTTCTTGCTGTGAGGTGACAGCACTACCTACTGCGCCACTGCCTCTCCTACTTTTTAACATGCAGTTTATTTTTAAAAAATGCTAGGGCCACATACCTGGAATTGCTTAGGACCTCCAAATCGATTTCAAGGCAAACTCTTAATACAGGGGAAAAAAACTTAAATTACCCTAAAAATTAAATGATAAAATCAGTCACATTTAAAGAATAAAATCTGTTTAGAACTGAAGTAAACCTGCAATTTTAGAATAGTGAGAAGTAGTTATGTTGTGCAATAACCCTGGTTTCCATTAACTTTCACAGTATGAATAATATACTATAGAGTTCAACTGTTTATCAAAAATTCACATGCCAGGTTGACTTATTTGTAGTTGTTAGTTTGTTCCTTTGTGTTATTTAATTTGTTGTTGTATTTTATTTCTAAAGGTTGGGCAGGCCAGAGCACTTTACAATTTTGGAAACGTGTACCATGCCAAGGGGAAGAGTGTCTGCTGGAGTGGAGCAGAACCTGGAGACTTTCCTGAGGAGATCATGACAGCACTTAGAAGAGCCGCTGAGTATTATGAGTGAGTCCGAACAACTTGTCACATGACTGGACATGGAGTGCATGTATGATACGGAGATTTTACATCCTCTGTTCTTTCTCCTATTGCTCAGGGCGAACTTGTGTATCGTAAAGGAGCTTGGAGACAGAGCTGCACAGGGGAGGACCTATGGAAATCTAGGGAACACCTACTACCTGCTGGGAAACTTCAGGGATGCCGTGGCCTCTCATGAACAGGTGAGGGGTTTTGGGTTATATTTCAGGGAGTCCTTAGGGTCTTAAAATGTCTTAAATTTTGAAAACAATATTTTAGGCCTTTAAAAGTCTTAAATTTACTAAAATATTGTGTTGTAGGTCTTAAAGCATTTTAAACGGGTGTTAATTTTTCTATATTCACATAAAAGCACTCAATAGGGCCGACATACATTTAATCACCAGCAATTTTATTTTTGTATTTAAGTTTTAATTGAATTAAATTTTTTTAATTGAGATACAATTCACAACATCTGCTAGACATTTCTACAGCAAACTCTCCAAATTAAACTCCCAAATCAGAGAAAGAAAAGCAAAAACAATGACATAATTCCTTATGATAATAACAGAGCAATATATCCCTTTACAGTATCTTTCATTTATAGAAAAACTATTTACTGAAGAAAGGTGGAGCAGCCAAAATATTTATAAAAAGGCATGAAACTAAAGGTTTTATAGTAGAAACCCATTAGGTTGAATTGGAGTTATATATTCAATCCATTTGAACAAAAAAATCAATAAATATGTTTTTGATTATTCATGCACAATGTATTTTTCTTCAGAATAAATATACTTTTATATGTTAAACATGTCCAATACCTACTTTAATCATGTTTGCATAGCATGTGATATTTCGAGTAAGCAGGCTCTTCCTCTTTATCTTTGACACTACTTAAGTAGATAGTGTAGTTAGGCAGCATAGCTATGCAAAACCTCTCACACTGCATTGTGTGTCATATTTGTCTTTCAGCGTCTGCTTATCGCTAAAGAGTTCGGTGACCGGTCTGCAGAGAGAAGAGCCTACTGCAACCTGGGAAATGCTTGCATATTTCTTGGGGAGTTTGAAAGGGCTGCAGAACATTACAGGTATATCACACGTTTAGATTGGGGTTTAATTTAGAATTTGTTTTGAGATGTACTTGAGCAGTTTTAAATTCAATATGATTTAAAGGTCGTGAAAGTCAGAGTCTTAATAGGGGTAGTTCACCCAAATTTGAAAACTCAAAACTCATTTACTCATCGTCTACTGGTTCCAAACCTGTTGAGTTTCTTTTTTGCGATGAACACAAAAGAAGATATTTTAATTAGCTCATTAGCTTCAAGTACTAAAACACTCACCTTTTTACTGCTGAACAATGCAGAAAATTGGAGTACTTTATTTTGGTTGAACTATACCATAAATTATTATCATTTTAATTCGATTTTAATTGTAAGTAGAAAACCAAAACCTGAATTGCAACATTCTAATGCTGTAATTAAACTTTAAAAGCTATGATATGAAAACCGCTTATTATTCGGTGTTGATGAGTTATTTTATGATTTCCATTTTTTTTTTCTTCTGCCATTTAGTTGTAAGAAAGTAAAGATCAAAATGGTAGTTTTACTAACCTGTTCATAGTTAAAGTTGCAGGTGTGTTTAAAATCTTTTCTTGGTATTATTGGTATTTATGTCATTAAATCAAATGTATGATTGTTTGTTTAATTTAATGTAACCTCTGTTTGAATGTTTCTCTGGTCCATTCTGTCACAAAGCATACACCAAGAAAATCTTTGAACACATTTAGTATATAAAGCTATGGAACATTTATGGACCTCTTGAAAATTCTTAATTTCAATAGATTTACATTTTGTAGTTATGTTTTTGGTTAAAATGTCGCTTTTGGTTTTACATTTCTTCCCAATCTTAAATAAAAATACCATCATTTATGGCTTTTAAACTACAAAAAAAAAAAAACACCAACACTTTTAGAAATGTTTAGTCTTAATGTTAAATGACAAGCTCCAGTGTGTTAACTTAAAGAGTGAGGAAAATATTTATTAGTCTGACCTGTTGTCTTTTTTTATTGAGAAAATGAGTAAAATTAATACTAATGTTTTACTCACTATACCTTGTTAATCCAGAGAAACTGAGAATTCTCAAGTAGTCTCTTAATTATTGTTTATTTATCTTTTTTAGTAGCAGATTTTACTAGTATGAACAAATTCCATTATTTGACTTCTAAATGCGAGTCCCGGCTGGGTCAGTTGGCATTTTTGTGTGGAGTTTGTATGTTCTCCGCATGTTGGTGTGGGTTTCCTCCTGGTGCTCCGGTTTCCACCACATTCTAAAGACATGCGCTATTGGTGAATTGATTACATTAAATTGGCCGTAGTGTATGTGTGTGCATGTGAGAGTGTAAAAGTGTTTCCCAGTACTGGGTTGTAGCTGGAAGGGCATCCGCTGGGTAAAACTTATAATGATTAAGGCGAGCCCTCATTAATAAAGAAACTAAAAATAAATGAATGATTTCAATACACATGCACATATTAAAAACATATTTTTTTCCCGGTGCAGTTCAATCAGGAATTTGTGATGCATTATTTCCTCCAGACTTATGCGGTCATGTGCCTTACAGTGATTGTGTTGTGAGTGCAGGAGAGCTCTACAGATAGCCCGACAGCTGAAGGATCTGGCGGTGGAGGCTCAGGCCTGCTACAGTCTGGGTAACACATACACACTAATGCAGGACTTCGAGAGAGCCATAGACTACCATCTCAAACATCTCATCATCGCTCAGGACCTCAATGACAGGTGCTCTGACACAATCATATTTGTAGAATATTTAAGTGTTAATTGCTGATAATAAAAATGGAGTGTGATGGCATTCGCAATAATTATGGAGAATGTGTTTCCTGCAGAATCGGTGAAGGCAGGGCCTGCTGGAGTTTAGGGAATGCACATACAGCATTAGGCAATCATGACCAAGCTATGCACTTCGCAGAGAAACACTTGGAAATCTCAAAAGAGGTACGAGCATCTAAGAACCCACTAGTTGAGTAACATTAGGAATTTTGTAAATTAACAACAAGAAAACAGAGTGACTGTGGTAATTATATTGTGTTTTATTGTGCAGACCGGAGATCGTAGCGGTGAGTTGACTGCTCGCATGAACGTCTCAGATCTTCAGATGGTGCTCGGCATCAGTTACAGCACAAACAATTCAGTTCTGTCAGAGAATAAAGAGATCGACTACAACCTGCATGGTAGGGCACTATCTCCAGAAGTTGTCTTAGAATTTTTTGTACAGATTCTCTGGACCCACGTTATTTTAGGCAGCCTAAATTACTCAGGGATGTGATACTTCCGTAAAAATGCAGATTTCTGTATTCTTCGAGCTCAATTGGGTGACCCCTGTGGTTTGCACAAATCCAAAGTTTTTTTTGAGAGGTTCATCATCATCAAAGCAGACAACCTGATGGTTTCCCCCTTCAGTGTTTATTATTATCTATAAAAAGGAGCAGTAACTGCTTCATTCTGCACATCTTGTAGACTCACCTAGGCTTTTGTGTATATAACATATTGATATTGTGTAGTCCTATAATGTGCGCATATGAGGAAGCCGCTGATCATGAAATTTTAAATGCGTGCGGCTGTGCACTTTTTCCGCTCTCACAATTGCATGTCCCGACCATGCGCGCTCTATGAACATTTTAAATAAAGCCAGGATGCACATTTGTTATTATCCTCTGCAAATCATCTGTTCTTTAGTCATATATTTAGTTCTACAGCCAGGAACCTCGAATTTAATACCTGAAAGTGTAGATGATAAGCTAGTACAAATTTCCAAAATTATATTTATAATTAATTAAAACTATAAAAAAAAAACAGGACTATGCTGAAGAGAGGCAAGTGAATGTGATAAACACTTTTTTTTAGCGATGAATGTTATTTTTTTGTACAGTTCAAATTGTTGACTGACTAGTAGTTTATTTATCACGTTGAAATAAAGTCTTCTAAATTACAGGAAAAATATATTCTTTTGATGCAAGAGCACTAAACCGAGTTAGTGGCTCCATCTAGCGGTACTTATTTTTTGATGTAAGTACTTAGTGCTTACAGCCACCTAATGTGAAGTAGGAGCGATTCTCTTAGTTATAAATATGGCAATACAAAATGTATATATCTTGCTTTTTTTTGGCTGAATTGTAGTTCAAGTAAGTATCTTTATTTTCTATGCATCTCTATCTGTCCACTTGCCAGTGAGACAATGTTCATATTTAAAGCTATGAGAACATATCCTTGCAGGCTATGCTATGTGATATGTGCAGAATGGTTTAAAATCATTATGACATTGTAACATTTTAATAAGACAATCTTAAAACAAAAGTAATGCCTTTAAAAGCAGAAGTTAAATTCACTAAACGATTTTGATGACTACAATGTTTTTTTCTTTTTTTCACTTTAAAAATATTATAAATATTAGGCGTCACTGTGGTGTAGTGGGTAGCACAATCGCCTCACAGCAAGAAGGTCGCTGCTTTGAGCCCCGGCTGGGTCAGTTGGCATTTCTGTGTGGAGTTTGCATGTTCTTCATGCATCTGCCGCGTAAAACATAAAATATGCTGGATAAGTTGGTGGTTCATTCTGTTGTGACGACCCCTGATGAATAAAGGGAATAAGCCGAAAAGAATATGAATAAAATATTATATTGTACAAATATTTACTTGTAGATGTAAATGTATATATAATATAGTAATTAATATAATAATAATAATAATAATAAATTTTATTTGTATAGCACTTTTCCAACATACATGCAACTCAAAGTGCCTCACAAACAACAACAAAAAAGCATTAAAATAGACCACATAAACTTGTCACATATACTCAGATTAAAGCATTCATGTACATAAAATATAAGCATATATCCACATGATCACGCACACAATAGTCCTTATATATGCAAGCACACACCATACATACACACATAAACCTACAACAATATAGATAAAATGCATACAACTTAAAAGCTTGTGTATTCATATACAATTTTAAAAAGATGTGTCTTAACACGCTTTTTAAAAACATGAATACTAGGGGATTCTTTCACTACAAGAGGGAGACAGTTCCAAACTTTTGGAGCATAATGGCTAAAAAAAAGTGCCGCCAGATCGCATCAGGTTTACAGAGTAAAATTCTAAAAGTCCAGCGTATGACTGTATATGACATTTATTGTCCAACATCAAATTTTGTTGCAAAATTGAATATTTTAGTCAACAGTGCTTCACTCCATTTGTTTGTGGTATATGCTCTCTGGTGTTAAAGTTTATTTTAAATATTTGTGCAAATGGCTCAATCACTTCTTACTTTCTAACATTTATGTATTCACTTACGAAATTTGTATAGTAAAGAACACAGTAAATCTTTCTGTCAGCGGTGCATGATGTAATAGTCAGCTAATCTTCCTTGGTAAACCTCACTTGTCTTCAACAGTTTTAAAGCAGTTTGTTGTGGTTTTTTTCAGGAGCCAGACCCAGGATGAGCCGACGACACAGTATGGAGAACCTTGAGCTGCTGAAACTCACTCCTGACAAGATCAACGCCAATGTGAGTATAGCTAAACGTTGAGCTCCAATCTGCCTTCTACTCTTAAATCTGTAATATGTTTAACTGTATGCATCAGTAGCTGTGTTTATATTCGTCATTTTTATAAGACTGGGAGGAAAAAGACATTAATGTGCTTAGTGTATGAAGAATTGCAAAACATAATTTAATTTCTATCCTGCAGGGTCAGAAGTGGACCAGTGACATCCTCTTCAAGCAGTCCAAATCCTCACTAGCCAAGTCATCTTCAAAGCTATCTTTTGTGAATCGTTTCCGAGGAAAGAAGCACAAACTGCAGAGCAGCTCCAGTAAAATCCTGCAGGATACCAGCAACACACGGGACGCTCCTCAAAGCAAAGTAATAAAACCACACGCAATGTACAAAGATAAAGTACTTATTGATAGTACATAATAATAAAGTACAAAGAAAGCCTGGTCAATAAATACTGTATTTACTTCATTAGTTGGAATGCTTGATCTTGTAGAGCAAGTTTAAGTTCAAATTGATTTAAAATTAATCCAAAAAAATTAACACAGACTGCATGACCTTAATTTAATATCCAAACCACTCTTCGCAAATTGAGCGTCTTTTTACACTGTCTGAAATTTCGTATACATCTTTTTTTTTTCTTTTTCGTGTTCATTGTTCTAAAAAATTGTCAAGCATCGTTAGTGTAAAAAAAAAAGGGAAAATAGTACAAAACCATGCAGTAATGCTTATGATCTCCTCTGTCTTAAAAGGGAAGTATTGTATTCATTGAATTGAATTGATCTCAAACAGATGTAGCATTATGTTTTTGCGATGTTCCTCAGGTGGAAAAAATTATTACTATTACTATTAAAACACAGAGCTCAATAAAAAATGAAACCAAGATATCCAATATCACTGCAATTTGATGATGACAAACCTCCAAAAACTTGCCTGATCATTGGGGTGATGCTATCTGGAGCAAAAAATAACATTTCTGTTCTGTCATGTGAAAAATGTTTTGACAAAGTCATGCTCACTGTGCACAGAGCCCCAAAGAAATGTAAAAATGACTCTGAGCTTCAAAATCTTCATTCTCCAGTCCTACTTTTTTATAATCTAATTAGTTTTAGAAACACCATTATATTTTCAGTAGATTAATTTTGTGTAGCAGTGATATTTTTGTATGAATTATGCACTATAAATGTATTCATTATGTAGCATTTTTCTTAAACCTTTGACTTTGTTTGCCCTCAGCATGGAAGTACAGACATGTTAGGAGACGAGGGCTTCTTTGACTTGCTGAGTCGATTTCAGAGCAACCGGATGGATGACCAGCGCTGTGCCATACAAGATAGCAAGAGCCACCTGTCTGTTAACTCCATCAGCGCTTCTCCACCCACCACACCACCCAGAACCATCAGGAAATGTTAGCTTCTCTTCTTTTACAGTGTTTTCCTTAATTCAACAATCAAGTGGCTTTTTAAATCAACCTACATGCCTGATGTTTTGTTGTCTACCTAGCATTCTCAGAGTCAGCTGCAAGTCCAGGTCAGGAGCCGTTTCTCAGACTGCTGGCGAATGCTCAGGGCAGGAGGCTGGATGAGCAGAGGGCAGGAACGGGGAACAGTTTGCCTGGCCTGCGCACCCTGAATGAACACAGCAGCACCAACAACAGACAGATGATCCTCAGCCAGGTCATGGCCAGCACAGACGCCACCGAACCCGACGACCAGTTCTTTGACATGCTCGTCAAGTGTCAGGTATGACGTGAATAAACACGTGGAACCAAACACAAAATGAGAAAAAATAAGTGTAGACAAACAGTCACTGATTAAAGCTTAGTTCACCCGAAACTATAACTTCACACTAGCTAAACGCACCGTACGCTGACATCAAACGAACCTCAGTGCGGACCAAAAGTGCTAGTGTTAAAGCGCTCTTGGTGTTTCAAAGTTCAAAAGGCTCAATTTTTCAGTCACTATCTGTCAGAAGTCATTTTGTTCTGTTACACCATTTATCTCATTATCTATTTTTTTCTGGTCTCTCTCAGGGGTCCCGCCTTGAAGATCAGAGGTGTGCCCCTCCTCCGCCCTCCACTCGTGGCCCCACCGTCCCAGATGAAGACTTCTTCAGCCTCATCATGCGCTCACAGGCCAAGAGGATGGATGAGCAGAGAGTCACGCTTCCCTCCTGCCGCTGATCAAGCATGCACTTATTCTTCTGAGCTCCGTATCAAGAAATGAGCTCTCTTTGATGCACATTACAGACCTCACTCTGGTAAAACAGTGAAGATCACGTAACATGCCATCAGTCTGAACTGTCCTGTCTGCTACATGACTATGAGTGGCGTATTATTTACACTTTTACTAATCAACTCTGGGAGGGGGGAGAGGTTTTTATGTAAATAACACTTTTAATTTTGATTTGGATTGACGCTCTTTGTACATTTTGCATTTATAATGGTTTTAAAGGATGTTTTAGCTCGGCATGAATTGCTTTGGTTATGATCACTACAGTAATTCATACAAATGTATCTTTTGATGCAAAACTGCAGGTTTGATTGTATTTATTTAACATTTTTATTGTTGGTAGTTGCCTAATACTTAATATTAGATTTGTATTTGTGACAAATAACTTTGTCTTTTTTGTATTATCACGTTTAGTTTATAAAAGAAGTGGTTAAACTTAAGTGTCCAATTGGAAGATTCACTACAGCTGTATAGCAATAAAACCTGTACACAAACATTTCACATTTAGTTTTTCAAATGCTTTATTAGACAAGATGTAAGCACAGTAAACAGAATGTTTTTCACAGGCAGGCAGATCATTTAAATGTTCCTTATTTTCAAAAATTAGTCATGAAATATCATGGGATATTAAAATGTCCATTCCAGACACTAAAGGTCAAGGACTTGTGTTTTTGTTTTTTGTCCTTTTCATGGGATGTCAGAGACTATTTTAATTAACTTTATGCACAAAACTGGAATTTCACATAACAGATGTGTGAAAAAAGCAGCGTTTCCATCCAACGAGTCAAAAAGAACAAAATCGTCACTTCCTGATTAACTGGTGCCAAATATCAACAGTAAAAACAGGATTTGCTGCAATAAGAGAAGCTGTGTTAATCTTCTCCTTATTTAATAAATGACTTGCGCCTCAGAAGACAATGTCGACACATAATGAACGAGTGGTGATGTTTAAAGGCGTGAGACGCAAAGCACAGATGCTCTTGACAACTCTGGAGATAATTAATGATGTAATAACACTAATACTGAAATGGATAAGGCTTTTTAGAATGACTGAAACAACATTTCAGATGTTTTACAGTGTGCTTAGCCTGCTGGTTAGTCCATTCACACACATATTTATCATCACATGATCACCTTTTTTAATGTGCATACTGGAATTTGTTCGGTAAACGTGTTTTCTTCGTACCAATATTTTTAATCCGCATATCCAAAATGCTCATAAAAAAATAGGTGGTTGGAAACGAAGCTAGTGGCAGTCCCCAAGTTTGATAAGCTGTACTTCCTAATATAACATGCCAGAAATTTTTTTTAATTCGAGCCTAGTCTACAAAATGACTTTAAAGACTGAGAGTGTACTCACACTAGGCTATCTAACCTGTGCCCCGGTTGTTTGTGCCCATGTTTGACCCCCATTTCCCAGTTAGTTTAACAAGTTTGAGTGCTCTGAATTGGGCTCAGGCGTGGTTCAGTTGGCTGGCCCTGTTCCAGTTGGAAGAGGTGTGCCAGAGTTGGGCTTTGGCACGGTATGTGTGTAGTGTAAGTGCAAAGTGTGCCTGAGCGCTAAACTGAAGACCAGATGTCACTTTTAAGGGAATATTTCATAAGGATTTATTAATTCTTACTTTTCAATTAACTCGAACTGTCATAGTTTATTAAAGGTTCAAAAAACGCTTGTACTTTTTTTTTTTTTTTTTTTTTACAGATTTGTGTGTGTTGAGCATTAAGATAACATTAGCACCTGTCAGCTTTATATGTGGGGAAAACAGGATAATTTTGAGCTTTGTCATCTAAGTTCATCTTCCGGGTTTAAAATAATCTTTAGGGTGGCTTCAAAATCGGCATCGTTGATCTGCCTGTACAGAGATGACGTGTTGGTTTCTCATTATTATTAATAGCTGAGAATTCTTATCCTATGAGAAAACCCTGCTTCTTGATTAACCATGGCTGCTGTACTGGATGCCTTTTTAATACCCTAATTAAATAAAGAAACCATAATCCTCTCTTGGCTATATTTCTTAGCTAGAGTTTTGTTTAGGACCTTATATTCTAATGTTATTTAAGGAATAAATTAGATTCATACCTTACCACACAAGGTATCTTGATGGGTTCTGCACAAGAAGCCAATGTCCACTCCAGTGGAAAAAAATAATAAAATACACTTTTATTAGTAAAATAAATCCAGTGAAAAAGAAGAATAAAAACATGTACAAAACCAAAACAAAATCCTTTACTTGATCCACCGTTGAGGATAAAAGGCCTAAGTCATTGAGTATACAGAAGTCAGTTTAAGCAGAAGGGTGCGCAACTTATTTGAGGACCAGGAGAGAGACACACGATTTCCAGGAGAATATCACTCGTTTGCAGTCATTATGAGTCCCGATGGGATGTCTGAATATCACGTTTAACAGCTGTAGTGAGATGCAATCCAGCGGTACATCCTTGATAACCTGTCCGATGTGCACTGCTCTCTGGAGCTCAGAGGAGCACATGGCAGTGTGTGGCTGTATGTGTGTGGTCACGTGATGTGCATTTTCAATGGATAGAGGGCTGTTCAGAAATGCTAGATGAAACGGTGTGGATGTGGATCATGTTCGTTCTAAAATGCCATTTTAACACTAAGACGTATTAGTGTAAAGGGGCCTGAGTGTATTTTTCGCGAGCGGGTTTGCGACGGGGGCAGGGCGGAGAATCTGCGATGTCGGCTCAGCATCATGTTGTCTATTGGCCATCGGCGATGGACGATGGCATCGTCTATTGGCCCAACCCTAATCTGAATACAAACATAGCAAATAATTTCTTCTATTACATCAACATTCAGGCAGTCTACCAAAAGTCTTGTCCTCCAAGGTTATACACTGAAAAAAATTATTCAAAGATGATTCCTTGGATTTACTCAATTTCTTTATGTTAAGAGGTGGTAAACAATTTATTTGGGCTGAATTTAAACACACAAATTAAGTTGAACATTACTAAACTTAATTTGTTTGTTTAAATTCAACGCAAACAAATTGTTTGCAACAGTTCTGCATGCAACTCATTTTTCAGTGTAGCTCCTAGTCGGCAAAGAATATCTTTTTCTGAAGCTAACACTCCCAGGCCTCTTTCTGTTTCTGATCATAATAGTTGGTCAGAAGTGTCATCTGGGCCATTTCTTCCTTTATGGTTAGCAGAAAATTGATCGACTTCAGTGGGTCATTTTTGTCCTCTTCGAACTCTGTCGAAGGTGATTCTGTTGTCTTTTAGGTTTCTTGTCATTACTAATAGCTGTTTTTGTAAGCATAGGAATATCCGAATATGTAAGTAAGTTTTTGTCTCTTTTAAAATTAATGTCATCAAACCATCCAGACACTACCCTGCACATACTTTCCAAAGACCAGACAGACCTGCCAAGCTGTGAGACACTGTGAGTGCACAGCACGATGCTGTCGGGAGCCGATACAGCAAAGCTGTTGGTTTTGCAACGAGCGATTTTTGTCAGGAGAGCTTTACGATAATTGGAGAATGGCGGACTTTGTCTTTTATCAGTTGACTCCGCTACCATTCAGACACATCGCCTATATCCGTGCTGCGGTGTTCGCACAGGTTTAAAATCCTCCGGATTACCGGCAGGGCTAATGATTGAAATAGATAGAGAAAGAGACGTGCTGCACTGCTGTCTACTGTGTCTGCAGTCAGACCTAGGGAGGAGAAAAGTCCTCCTCATATTTAGATTTTATATAAACACAGTTATCTTTAATGACATAACAAATTGTGGTTATGTGTGTATGATATTACTAATAGCAAATATAGCAGGGCATTAAATTAATTGCTGTTTATTTATTTGCCTCTTAACTTTGTAAACTATAAAATCATGGGCCTCAAAACAATTGTGCCTAGTGTGAGTATGCCCTGAGTGTCAGACACTCTTGTTTCTGATTCATTTGTTTTATAAATCTAAGGTAAATTATCTGTTATGGCTATTAAATTTAAATTCGAATATATATTCTGCAGGGCATAATAGCGCCTTGTGTTTCCATTCAATATAGGTCATAGAAATTCAGTGTTTTAGTCAGCGAAAGGCTAACAGTGAGAAATCTGAAAATAGTATTCTCCAAAAGCTGCAGCATAAGATGTAAGATCTGATCACTTGTAGTTTCCTTGTCATTTCATCATTTGTGTAAAATACTACATATAGAATCCTCACAAGAAACAGATTAGGAGTCAGATGAAGGCAGATGATTTAAAAGATTGGGATTTTCTTGCAGAAGAATAGAGATGAAGATCTCTTTGACAGCGGCGCTACCTTTCCTCACTATGACGCATATCTTTCTCATGCTTTCCTCACTGGTTGATTTGTGATGTATGATTTCAGAATAAAATTGTTCATGAATGATTTGTTTCTGAAGCAGTTTGTCTGCAACGGTGTCCACATTTTCAACACTTTTAATAAGATTACACCAATGTGTATCAAAAAACTGAGCTTTGTCAAAGCTGTGAGCAGGCTGTGATGTCTTGTGTTTTTGTCCAGACTGAAACAAGTCCGACTCTGTTTTGTTTAGTTTTATATCGATCAGTTTTTTCCAAATTGTTCCTGTCCATACTGATTTCTGATCATCCACTCGGCTGAGGATCATAGTGATGTCATTGACCACTGGTTGTTTGACCTGAAAGAAGTTTGGCTTCATGTTACCTCTCAATTTGATTGCTTCAGGTTGAACAACAGCATCAGGAACCTCAAGGCTGTGTTGTTTCTTCATCTGCAGTGGGGCTTCAGGTCTTGAACACTTGATTTGGTGACTTGATTTTTCCTCTGTTTTAATATTTTCTTCAACAAGTGAATCGGATGGGAAAAAATACACATTGAGAATGATGGGGCAAGTATGTGTCATGAAGATAAGTAGATCACAGTGCACTTTCACTGGTATGCCTAGTTTCACAAGCACTGTCTTAGGAGAAAACATTGGTTGGAGGATTTTAGCATGAAAGCGAGTCAACTCCACAGACTCCAAGGATATTCCCTCATCTTCAACACTGAGGAGCTTGACGGCGTTGGTGAGTGCAGGGTCTGACTCTGCTAAACACATGTAATGAGGCAGATGAGCCTCCTCCAGTTTCCCTGAGATCACATTCACATCCAGCACAGGAGCGACTCGCTCGCACTGAAGCCTCTCCAGCTCTGCGTTGAGGAAATGTCCATCCACTGCCCGGTAGTGGAGTGTGACATCTCCATCACAAACCCATCGCATTCTGGTCCTGCTGCACTGGAATCGACCCGCCGGAGTGGTGATCCTGAACTCTGTGCCTCCTTCACCTCTACAGACTGACGGCTCCACCTGAACCCACTGATCTGAATCAGCAACGTCGACACAAGACTGACAATGAATATTGAGTGCAGAAGATCCAGGGTTACAGATGCTCAGCCTGCGAAACACATTAAGGATGAACGATTCACTCATTTGTAAGATAAACATATAAAAAGTTTTTAAAATTTGAACAAAATCTCACTCTGCCAGCTCCTCCAGAAGCTTTGGTTTGAAGTGAATCTCCACTTTCTCATAACTTTGCCTCAAGTGCTCTTCTGAGGGTTCACTGCAATTCCTCCTCCTATAAACAACAGTGAATTAAAAATAAAATCTAAAATGAACTAGCATTATGCTTTTCAAACTTGTATAGGAAACAAGGAAATCATTAGGTCTTTATTTACAGTTATGTTAAGAGCGTACAGTGCATTTAGAAAGTATTTGTTCATTTTTCCACATTTTTTTTGTTACAGCCTTATTCCAAAATAGATTAAATAAATTTATTTCCTCAACATTCTACACACAATACCCCATAATGACAATGTAAACAAAGGTTTTTTTAAATTGTTGCAAATTTATGAAAAAAAAACCCTGAAAAATCACATGTACATCAGTTTTCACAGCCTTTGCTCAATACTTTAGGTAGCAATTACAGCCTCAAGTCTTTTTGAATATGATGCCACAAGCTTGGCACAGCTGTCTTTGGGAATTTTTTCCCATTCCTCTTGGCAGTACCTCTCAAGCTCTATCAGGCTGGATGGGAAACGACGGTGTACAGCCATTTTCAGATCTCTCCAGAGATGTTTAATAGGATTTAGGTCTGGGCTGTGGCTGGGCCACTCAATGACATTCACAGAGTTGTTGTGAAGCCACTCTATTGATATTTTGGCGGTGTGCTTTGGGTCATTGTCCTGCTGGAAGATGAACCGTCTCCCAGAACGAGGTCAAGAGCACTCAGAAGCAGGTTTTCATTCAGGATGTCTCTGTACATTGCTGCATTCATCTTTCCCTCTATCCTGACTAGTCTTCCAGTTCCTGCTGCTGAAAAACATCCCCACAGCATGATGCTGCCACCACCATGCTTCACTGTAGGGATGGTATTAGCTTGGTGATTAATGGTGCCTGGTTTTCTCCAAATGTAATGCCTGGCATTCACTCCAAAGAGTTGAATTTTAGTCTCATCAGATCAGAGAATTTTGTTTCTTATGTTCTGAGAGTCCTTCAGATGCCTTTTGGCAAATTCCAGGTGGATTGCTGCACAGATGGTTGTCCTTCTGTAAGTTTATACTCTCTCCACAGAAGAACGCTGGAGCTCATACAGAGTGACCATTGGGTTATTGATCACGTCCCTGACTAAGACCCTTCTCCCCCGATCACTCAGCATAGATGGCCAGTCAGCTCTAGGAAGAGTCCTGTTGGTTCCAAACCTCTTCCACTTACGGCTGATGGTGGCCACTGTGCTCATTGGAACTTTCAGAGCAGCAGAAATGTTTCTGTAACCTTCCTCAGCCTTTGTGCTTTGACAACCCTGGCACCTTATATAGACTGGTGTATACCTTTTCAAATCATGTCCAATCAACTGAATTTACCACAGGTGAACTCCAATTAAGCTGCTGAAACATCTCAAGAATAATCAGGGGAAACAGTTCAATCCAATTCACTCCATTTATGAACGTTAACTGGATTTTATGCTATACATGGATAAAATAGAATTAAATTAAATCAACAGTGGTATTTATCATTGAATATAAATATATCAAATATACTGAGCACACATACCCTTCAATGATCACGGTGCAGTGTGGATCTGTCAGTGATTTCTTCAGTAACTTCAGTCCCTCCTCCAACAGCAAACCAGTGACACTGACTCTACAACAATCAGGTTATGCCAACAGTGATATACACTACGTATAAATATATAAACAATATATATAAACAAATATATAGTGTGTTATATATATCAATTGTGTTTTATACAAGGACAATACTTATTAGAGCAAATTACTGAATTCTTTTTAAATAATTAACAATATGTTTTGTCAGTCATCATTTACTCATGTAAATCATCTGAGATCTAATACGCTTACTTGAGCTGCTGTAAACTGGTGCAGTTCTGGATGAGGGAAATGATCCCAGAAGCCCAGCTCTCATTCAGACTGACCAACGTCAGATCCAACGACTTCAATCCCACAGAGTGAAGTGAAGACAGCTGCAAACTGACATGATCATCATCAGCTGAAGAGCTGAAGCACAAAACTGTTAGAATAACAGCAAATCTATTATCTGATAGAGTAAAACCAAGATTAATATTTTTCTTACTCTTCAGTTAATGTTCCTGTCTTACGGAGTCTCTGAAGAAAGAGTGTCCAGTCAGTTCTGGATATCTGTGATTGTGCACATGTAAGTCTGATGTTTAAGACTGATGAAAATGATGGATTTTTCTCCGATGAGCTCAAAGTCAACCTGAAACAGAGGCAAAGAGGAATATCTAACATCAGCACTGTACTCTCACTATAACGTACAACCTCTAATCAGAAAAGGTTGAGACAGTATGGAAATTAAAAAAGAAAGTAGTGATTTCTAAATTTACTTTGACTCGTATTTTTCTTTCTTTTTTTTTTTTTGTTTGTTTGGTTGGTTGACACCAAGTGATGACGTGATTTCTAAATTTACTTTGACTCGTATTTTTCTTTGACTCGTATTTACTTTGTCTCGTATTTTTCTTTTTTTTTGTTAGGTTGGTTGACACCAAGTGACCAAGTGATTGGTTGAAACCAAGTAATGAAGTGTTTCAGGTGTAATTTTGTCCCATTCTTCCTGCAAACAAGTCTTAAGGTGGGCAACAGTATGGGGTCTTCCTTGTTACATTGTGCGGTTTGAAATGCACCACACATTCTCTATTGGAGACAGGTCGGGACTGCAGACAGGCCAGTCAAGTATTAGTATCCTCTTCCTCGGCAGCCAGGACTTTGTGATGTGTGCAAAATGTGGTTTTGCATTGTCTTGTTGAAATATGCATGAGGCAGCAACATATTGTGCTTCAAAATCTATGTACTTTTCAGCATTAATGGTGCCACACATAAGTGTAAGTTACCTTTGCCAAGGACACTTAACCATGACAGATCCTGGCTTTTGGACTGGTTGCTGATAATACTATGGATGATCCTTTTCTTCTTTGGGCCAGAGCACACAGCGTCCATTACTCCCAAAAATAGCTGAAATATTGATTCATCTGATCACAGTTCACTTTTCCACTTTGTGTTTGGTTCATTCCAGATTCTTTCGAGTCCAGAGAACTCGTCAGTGCTTCTGGACATTGTTAACATAGGGCTTCCTTTTGGCAAAGTACAGTATTAACTGGCATTTGTGGATGTAACTTTGTATTGTGGTACTTAACAAAGGTTAGCCAAAGTACTTCTGAGTCCATATGGTGATATCGCTTATAAATAAACGGTGATTCTTGATGGAGTGCCACCCAAGGGATTGGAGATCACAGTAGTTCAGTTTAGGCTTGCGCCCTTGTCCTTTATGCACTAAAATTCCTCCAGATTCCTTGAATCTTTTAATGATGTTATGCACTGTTTAATGTGAAATATCCAAATGTCTTGCTATCTTTCTTTGAGGAACATTGTTTTTAAACATTTCAATAATTTTATCATGTATTTGTTGGCAAATTGTCGATCCTCAGCCCATCTTTGCTCCTAAAGGACTAGACCTTTCTTGGATGCTGCTTTTGTACCAAATCATAATTACAATCACCTGTTGAAATCACCTGTTTCAAATCACACAATTTAGCCAATTTACCTGATTACTAGCCCTAAATTGCTCCTGTCCCATTTTTCCCAGACAAAATATTAAATAAAAAGCATCTCCACGAGTGACCACGAGTGAAATATTGTCTGCAATAAAATACCAGTCAAAGTAAATCTGGAAATCACTACTCTCTGTTTTTATTTGCATTTTCCATACTGGCTCCACTTTTTCTGAGTTTGGGTTGTTTGTTTAATAAGAAACAAGAAAAGAAAGATTTGATCAGAATAAGTTTGGTGTGCAGTGGTTTCTTACAAGACATCTCCACGAGTGACTGAAAGGTTAAATGACCATCTAGGGCTCTCAACACCATATTCATCCTCTCGAACTCTACCAATCAGAAGAGCAGAACACTTATTTAAACAACTAGACCAATTTTACATTTAAAAGAGCAATGGCTGGTTTTATAAGGTTGTAACAAAATTCAATTACTTGAGCTCTCTCAAGATTTTTGATTCACTAAGAATCTGGATCAAATCCCCGATCTCTGACAGATGCTCCACTGAAAACCTTCAAAAACAAAAATGAATGAAATGTTCACGAGTGAAAGTGGAACTGGCGAACTGCAGTTAAAGTCACCCAAAATTACAGTAATATATTACATAAAAGCACTTAATGTAAACACCTTAATTATATCATTGTCTATAAAGGTAAATAACTAGATTACAGATGCCCATGTAAGCGTAGGTAGTCAGTAGTGTCTTTTTTTGTCAGACGGCTCACCGGTCAGGTATACATCCGCGCTAAAATATCAAGGTGAAAGTCATCATAGCTTGCGTAGAATAGACCCAGTCCCCAACCCAACTTTGAGAATAAATTAACGGCAAATTTTTTTTAATCGCCCGATAAAAGTCTCGCGTTAACGCAGCACGTTAACGCCAATAATGGCCCACGGCGCCACTACATTTGACCAATATAAAGAAACATTAACAGATCCAGAAACAACCAATGTATGCAACAAAAAGATTTCAAACAATATTAAAAATAACAGCAAGTGTAGAAAATACCATTTGTCCAATCAAACCCACTGACCTCAGAGTCTCACACAGACCAAGAGCCGGCTGAAGAATCTTGAGTTTAGCAGCTGTTAAATCACAGTTCATGAAGTTCAGCTCTCTGATGTTTGGACACAACCGAAGACAGTAGCACAGCACCAAACAGTCTGTGCTCCTCAGAGAAACATTAGACAGATCTATAAACTTGTGTGTTTCCAGAACTTTCGTGACAAATCTCTCATCCTGGAGCTCATACAGACAGTGAAGAGCAAACAATTCAAACCCATACTGACGTATCATTGCAGGGATCATTTTCATCAGCTTTTTCTTCAGTTCTTTTTTCTTCAGCTTTACGTTGTGAGAAAAAGTAGACTTCATCTTTTCAAAAAGTGAGCTGCTCACCTTCTTATTAAAGAGGCCACAGAGAAACATCATGACAGAAGGGATGGGATTTGATAATCTGCCTCTAAAGATGGGAGGTGACCTGTGGATTAAAGCCTCTGATTCCATCATGTTAAACAGCTCACTGACTTTGCACCAAGACTCTTCTTCATCCAGCATGATATAATAAAGAGCAGCGAAGAACTCCTGAAAGCTCAAATGCTTAAACTTGAAAAGTAGTTCATGTTTTTTCTTTCGCTTAAGATAAATTTTATTCATGAACACTCTAGTAGCAGGATCTAAGCCAGTCCTGGTTACACTCTTTTCATCAAACAGGTTTTGTCGGTTCTTCATCCCTTCCTCTGCCAGCTGACCAAGACTCCTGAGGAAAGACTGACTCTGGTGATGATCCTCCAGCAGAGTCGACACAAAGTGCACATATATGGATGTGGTGGTCTTTAGTTCTGTCATCACCTGATCAGCATCTTTCTTCAGACAAAAACAGACCATCCAGCACAGCAAAGGCACAGAACAGAAGGTCAGGAGGGTTTCATTGGTCTTCATGCTCTCATATGCTTTCTTGAAGAGTTGCTCATCCTGAAAAAACTTCTGGAAATACTCCTGCACCCTTCTCTCAGAGAAACCCTCAATCTCAGTGAAACGCTGAGGTCTTTTACATAGACTGCTTAATTCAGCAGCAGCGGTATATCTAGTGGTGACGATCACAGAAGACTCAACTAGCAGGAGATCCCTCATCAGGCAGTGAATAATGCTTATAACTGGGGCTTTCTGGGATGGATCAGTAGGTGATGAGATTTGAATGTGTGCATTAAATGAAAAATCATCAATTCCATCAATGAGGAACAGAACTTTCTCTGGGGTTAATTGTAATATCTGTGAGATCTGATCTGAGGTTAAACTGCAGCTCCTGCTCAAGAGCTCAGTCAGGCTCATCTCCTCAGAAAGACACTTCAGCTCTTCATATTTCAGAAGAAAAACAGCATCAAAGTTTTCAAAATGATGTTCTAAATGAACCCAGTCCAAGATGATCTTCTCTAATACGAAGGATTTTCCTCTTCCAGAATCTCCACAGAGAATCACAGTTTTCGGTGTGTTTCCATCACTGTCAGGACTGAAGAGCTGGCCGATTCTGATGCTCTGAGTCTTGTCATTTGATAACAGATGAGATGATGTGTGTGGAGACCTCACATATTCTTGACAGTATTTCTCAGTTTGCTCTTTGCTCCTCTGAATGATCACTGGTTCAGTATAACAAGGTGCCAGCTCCACTGCTTCAGATGAAAGTTTAACACTTTCAGAGGTAATAAAACAATCCAATGAAAACCTTTCTACATTCTCTAAAAGAAACAAAAAAAAACTTATTAAAGGGTCACGAAACACCAAAACACATTTTTTGAGCTGTTGACAGTCGTATATGTGTCCCACACTGCTAAAAACACTATTAGGACACCTATATTTCACTAAAAAGTGTAAATTGGTTGTTTTTGCGTTATTTTAAGCAAATTTGTACTTCCTGTTTGAAACAAATTTTTGAAGCTGCGTCACGGTCATGACATAATAGCCTGTATTCCAGCGTGTAGACTGGGCGTCTGTGCCTGAGTGAGTCTTATTACGTCTTACAGTGTGATACATTAATGCATGAGTAAGGCTTGGTTCAAACCAATCAGCGCGCTCTATTGTGCAACTTCATTAATATTCATTAGTGTCACCGTGTTTACACCACAAAGACGCCACGTTGTGTTGGCAAAACAAGCGTGAAGTGTTGCTTTTATAGTTTGCTGCCGTTAAGTTTCGTTTTCATTTTCTCTCTGTGAGAGCTTATCTGGATCACGTGTGGATTAACAGTATACGCGACGCTCGACAACAATAACTTACGTGTCTAAGGAGGATTATTGTTTACCTGAGAGCTGTTCTCATCTGCAAACGCTGAAATCTGGATTCGCTTGTAGTATTCTCTCCATAAAGATGCGGCTCTAGTTGCTGGTGATTGTCCTGTCTCTACAGATTTGGTAAGTGAGCGACCAGTGCTCTTTGTTTATTCAGTTTGTTCGTATCGAATTAAGTTAACTATTGCACTGAGTGCAGAAATGTTAGCACCGCATTTAGTGACCGGAATAACACACGCGGCTTTCTGACGCTACCTGTCGTGTGCATCTAAGTTTCCGGGAAATGCAGAGTTTTTTTTTCTCTCATTCGCCGTGCGGTATCAAACATTGCATGAAAAATACACGCTTGCAGCAGTTCCTCAAATCAAATATCTCGTTTGTCGCGAGAGGCATGAATGAATTCCCTGAATGAAAGAGCCAAACTGCAGTTAAAGTCCAACATTTAATAATTTGGCAAATAATTCGACCACAGATGTCCCTGTAGGTTAAACACCATCACTTTCTCCTGTCTGTGTGGGTGTGTATTTTGACTCTGAAACTCGCGCGTGCACAAATAGACACTCCCACACCATCCAACTTTAGTTCCTCCAACACTCCCGCATAAACAGAGCTGGACACGCCCACTTTTCTGACTTTTTCCAGAGTAGAGGTGTGAAAACACCCTGCTGAAACAAGGGGGTTTCATGGCCCTTTAATTATTAAAAAATATTATCATTAACTGTCAGGGTTGGTTCACACCAAGCTATTTCAATGAATACATAAGCCCCTTTCACACAGTGATACCGGTAAGTATCTGGAAAATTTCCGGAAGGACTTTACCGGTATTTTCAAAAAAGCGCTGTTCACACAGGCGAGGACGTTACGGAAATTTTCCGGAAAAGAGCATTCACACATCCATTCCAAAATACCGGTAAATTCTGACATCATTCACCACAAATGAGCTTTAAACGGCTGCACTTGTATTTGTAAAGATTTGACTAATTTACAAACTCTGTGGATGGATCAGTATTGTGAACAACTTTCGCAGGATCACTTTCGCATGTCGAGATGTTCATAATATGTGCGTGTACAGGCGGTCACAGGCTGTTTCACAGGCACACGCAAAGCTTGAAGGTAAACAAACAACGGCTTATCATAAGAATCTCATCGATGATTATTTACACAGTTGGCATTAAGAAGAACATTTAAACGTGATCTGACTAACTTCTAGCAGCTAAATGTGTCTGGAAAAATATTCAAAGGCTTTTATTCTCATAAACCGCGCGGACGTAAATGCGTCTGACTGTTGTGATTGGCTAAAGCAGACGTCTCACGTCAGCACATTCTAGACGTGCACGCGCTTATTACGGTAATCTTCCTTCTGCATTCACACAGCGCAGCATTCCGGCAAATTGCCGGTAATGTTACAACTTCTCTTTCCGGAAAATAGCCAGAACGAATTTACCGGTATTTTCAAAAAGGACCTGTTCACACATACAACCACATACAATTGCCAGCAATTTTCCGGAAAGGTCTGTATGTGTGAAAGGGGCTATAGTCTCAAGTCTTTTTAGAATTGAACATATGAGGAAAAATGCATATAGCTAACAATTAGAATTACTGTGAGGTGCATAGGAAATATAAATATAGGAAATATAAACTAGCAATTCCCTTTCAAGGGAGCTCTATTCTGCAGAACGAACAGTGTGTCATGCCAGTGCTGGAAAAAGATTACTACGATTGTTAAACTTTTTGAAAATCCAGGCCCAGGTGATAGGCTTTTGAATGCTCTCTTGTCTGTGCAAGCACGTAGTGAAGAGCGTGAAGTGATCATCACTGGAGCCAATCACAGTCAAATCTCTGCATGCAGGACATGCTGCTATTATCACAACTTTTACATTTCAATAACGACCGGTAGTGAAGTCAGTACTTTTGTCAACTCCAATACTTAGCCAATATGTTCAATACAAATACTTACGTTACCACCTGTGTACAAAGTTCAGATCATTTTACTGGCTCGGATCTTTAAGTCTCGTTCATTGAATCTTTTTTTCTGAGACTAGTTCATTTCGTTCAATTTGCCAAAATATTAATAAAATATTACGAGTTGCTTTCAAACACATCTACAACTAGCCCAAACATTGATCACACTACAAACAAGTCATAGGTAGAATGCTATAAGAAAGAGAAAACAGGCATTCATTGTTTACCCGGGTCTTTTTTCTGATTAGCTCTCTACCTCTTATGACAGGTCTTCAAATTTGATTCGTTCCTTCACATGACACAGACAGTCCCATTTAAGCTTAACCAATGCACACAGTCTGAGCCAAAAAGACCCATGATTAGTTCACCTGTTGAGTCTTCTGGTTTGTGAATCGTTTTTTCATCATGTAAAAGCATATAAACGGACAAATGACTCAAACCAGAGGACACGAAAGATGAACGGATCAAATATTTTCAGGTTCTAAATGCATATGTTTGGCTTCTGTCTTTCAGGTGATGAACAACAAACGACTCGAACCAAGGACTTGAGAGATGAACGTATCAAATATGTTTTCAGGATCCAGGGGCGAACTGGCCATCTGGCAATTCTGGCAAATGCCAGAAGGGCTGGACCTTTTTTTAAATGTATGCCGGCATGCTATTTTTTATTAAAAAAAAATGTATAAGTATTGCTTTTACATACAGGCAGTTTTTGCTACTTGCAAGATGTGAATATTATGATGAAGATGATGATGATGATAATAGTGATAATAATAAATGTTAAGCATTGGCCCAATCGGCAATGGCTATAATCAAAATCTGGCAAGAATGTCAAACAAATATAAGGTGTAACACAAGCTAATTGTCAGAGATGGACCGTAAAAAAAGAAAAGGCTGTGCCAAAAAGCTCAGAGAAACTTAAAAATTGCTCTAAAATCAGACGCTGCCAAATGCATTAAATTAACTGAAATAGTCTCAAAAGCGGCAGCACAATGGGTAGCGCTGCCGCCTCACAGCAAAAATGTCAATGGTTCGAGCCTTGGCTGGGTCATTTGGTGTTTCTGTGTGGAGTTTGCATGTTCGTGTGGGTTTCCTTCCGGTTTCCCTCACAAGTCCAAACACAAAATAAATATCTATTAAATATCTATTACATATGGTATTGCTTATATTATTTTACCATCTGTACACTAATAAAAGTAGTGAATCTGCGTGTCCGAGGGTGGGGCTGTGTCGGTGTGATAATGTGGACTGATGTGGCTACAGTGCCAGGGCTGATTTTTAGTCCCAGTCTGCACCTGCCGGGCTCTGATTGCATTTGATTTGCTTGTATTTCATGTTAAAAACTAATGACTCAAACCCGATAAAAGGGAATTAATCATCTGCTCCACCAGCACAAATGTGAGAATGAACAAATCACTCTGAGAAGACTCGTTGTTCTTGAGTCATATAAAAGATTAATTCAAAATGAATGAATCGTTCAGGAACAACCCATCACCAAGTACAATATGAAATGCTTTTCCAGCCCTGTACTGACTGTTATAAGTTTTGCCAAGGAGACCAATGCAAGTTTCCTCATATTAGCTCAGCTCTCCAGATGTCTTCATCCATGCCTGTACTCTTGATTTTCTGAATTTTGTCACATTGCACTTTTCGCCCCATAGACTTCCATTCATACGCATGTGAATGTGACAGACTGGAAACGCAAGCTAGTGCAACATGATTAACATGTCGCTGCACTCTAAAGTTTAAGCTTGGTGAACTCTGACCAGCTAAATTGCATCACATAATTGTTTAAGACCAACAGAAGATCAAAACATAACCTCGCTGTACAAAAATGTATGTACTTTATACAGTTTAAATATGGAGCAATCACTCGCTTCATCAATGCCTATCAATCATATTGTTTTATCCCACCCCTTTTCGCAGTGCCGTATGACAGAATTTCGAATGCTCAAACTATAATGTACTCAAACTCTAGTAGAATTTCTTGTCTCGTGGCAAGTTGTAAATGATTAAGCACAATTATTTGAAGTGGTGTAACAGTCTTTTTCCCTCCAGAATTTAAAGGTAAGATTTCCTCATCCTCAATTAATTCCAAACCTGTTTGAGTTTCTTTTTTTTCTGATGAAAACAAAACAGTAGTCTTTGACTTTCATGGTAGTTTTTTGTTTATACAATGCTGGCTTTCAACATACCTCATAATTTTTTTTATTTTGTTATCAACAGGATAAACATAACAGGATAACAGGATATTTATAATACTCAATTCAAATAATCCAACCATGAGTAAATGATTTTCATTTTTGGGAGAACTAGTCCTGTAAAGTGCAGCATTTGAAGAATATTTGGGTATTGATTCACAAAACCACACAGTGATCATGAGCAATGTAGTTTATCAGTGTAATATGGAAAATTGTAAATAAAACATCCTGAAAATGAACCTTACAATAGATTACACCTAAAATGAATTTGTGAAAAACTCTCATCATTTCTTAAACATGGTGAGTTTTATATTAATAAATGTCTAATACCTTAGCATATACATATAATGCAGCAGTCATTTCTTAAAGTAACAGTAAATAACCTTACCTGGCAAAAATTGACCTTTTTTTTCTATTTTTTCCAAATGATCTCCAACTGCCAATAAAAGCTCTGCAAGTTTTGAGGTTGCCAGATCTTCTTCAATGCTTGCAACTAGTCAAAAAAATTACAATGAATCAATCAATGGTCTGAATTATATTAATTTGACTTTGAATGTATCAGATGACTGGTACTAGTGACATTATCATTTTTTCTTATAAATTCTGATGTGAAAACGACTTTTCAAATAAGGTCACTGGACTGACTGTAGTTTGATTTTCATTGTTTTTGAAGTGACCACTGTACATGGGCTTCACTATGGTATACCAAATCCATTTGAAATTCTTTAGTACCCTAGTACCGACTGATACCCTTTAAAATGAGATCCCTCTGGTGCTTTTGATGCTTTTTAGGTAAGATGAACTAAAACAATGTCAAAAAAGCCTATAGCTTAACTTTTTGGGGATTAATCAGAGGAACTTTAAATGATGGAAGGTGTGTGCTGACTCCAATTTAACATGAGTTTGAAAGTTTATCACAAGGGTGAGCACATTTATGCAATCCTATTATTTATAAATTTTTTCAATAAAGAACAAACATATTTCTAGTTTCAATTTAGCTTTACATGTAATGGAGTAGATCACAGTAGGTGGTTTCATTTTTGACATTTAACAGGGGGGATGGTATGCTGTTTTATCCACTGTACATTGTATTTTTGTCTGATTACATTGAATTGCCACTGCTATAAATCAATCAAGGAAATACATCACTATTATTCAAATAAAACTCATTTCTAAATGTGCAGTTGACAAACTTTTCAACAGCTGTTGGTAACAACCAAAGCATACCATACATGCAAACACAACAAAACTAAATGTTTTAGAAATTAAGTGTAATAAAATGAAACTACACTGGGAAAAGTATTAAACACATTAAGAAATTAAGGTGTGAAAAGGCATGCAAAGCCCAGACAGCAGCTGAAAATCTCTTAGTTTTTAGAAAGCAATCCTCATCAGATGTCAGTGTAAATGAATATTAGCTGCTTCAGTCCTGTAAGAATTGAAATATTACAAATATTTTTGATGTCTTTGACAATTCAAAACATGAGCTGAAAACAGAGACTGTTGAACACAACCCAGCAGGTGGGAATGCGGGAAAAAACAGTTCCTGCTGCATTTGCATCTGAGTCTGCTGAAACTCGGCTTCAACCAACCCAACTCACACATATGGTCATTTTAATGTTTGAATGTTCTAAATTAACCAAAGTGACTTTGTCTATCATGTTTGATATCATTTAAAAATGTCTCAGTGCGATTGGTACAATGGTCTCATTCTCTCAGAAATAGACATAATCAAAACAATAAATATATAACTTCAGGCATCTTTTGAACCACTGTGAAGGGTGTGACTTTTCCACAGGAAGCACTACATGCAAATGCCTTTTGTTATGGACACACCCCTTTCCTTGAGGGAATTTTTGGATTACTTAAGGTAAGGTTTGAGAAAGGCTCAGGGCGATTCTGCCTACCCAGATCAGCCTGTAACATGGAGCTTACGCTCCACGTTATGTAAAATTTGAAGTCAGGTATGCATGTTTTCATCTTGGATTTATCTTTGATAATTTGATGTTTTGTATTGATCATTTATGAATTGACTGATTGAATAAAGATGGAGCATTGGGCACACTAATTGTGTTTTAGCGATCCGGCTGACTCTTGATATTGATTCATGTGTACTTAGGTGGAAAGGGCGATAACTTCCATGTAGGTCAACAAGTTGTTGCACAACTAACCTAGATTGGGTACCCGACCTTTGTTTGAAGGTAATATTATTCTAAATTAAGTTCATGTAAGAAACCATGGCCTTGGTAAAAACCAAAGTTACTATAGAGTCCAGTAGTCAGGTACATTTATAATAATGCCCTAACCTCTAATTAGAAATGATGATTGTCTTAACTCAAGGGTGTACACCTAAGCAGGACTAACCAAAAGTATTTTAGAACGAGCTCGCTGGTAGCAGCCATCTAAAGTATTAGTCAATTACCTCTGTTTAATATTCAAGACAAAAGGTTCAAACATTTATCTAAATTACATATTGATATAATCTTCTTAATGTTTTATAAATGGAGTCAGAACGAGGATAAATATATTATTATTCTAATTCTAAACCACCTCATATTAAAATTGGAGTCAGATATGAGCTAAGTTTAATATAAATCAACATTGTGCACTGGAAAGCCCGAACATGCAGTGAACCTTCATCCACCAGTGGACACCGGCATTGAGCCAACTGGGTGGACCCTACAGTCCCAACACCTACATTACCAAGATGATAAAGGGCGGACATTTCCGCAAGATGATGATACTAAACACAGCCAACAAATCTTTCGAGTGGTTTCAGAAAAAGAAAATAAAGCTGCTTTAATGGCCCAGCCAATGGGGGTCCAATAGAAAATAAAAACTAATGGTCTGAGTTGATAGACGAGACTCACAGAACCATCGAGATTTTTAGACTCGGTTGAAGTTTACTGAAATGTAAATACTTTTCAGTAGTTTATTGCCTTCTCATGTTATTATACATACATTTTTTCTCAAATGTTTTTGTTTTAGTTCAATTGTATTTTTGGATTGTTTGAGTTTGAAGTCCACCGAATAGGGTGGTTAGCCCAGGGTGCAAGTTAGCATTCAAGCTAGAAACACCACTGCATACTACACACATTCATATTATACAGAACAAACTTTTTCAATGGTTTGCCAAAGCCTCTTGCCATTGTTCAGAAAAACTGGGCAAAAGCCACCCACCTTGCGGCCCTCTTGGCGACGTGATGTCACCCCTCGCTGGAGTGCCTGTCTCCCCAAAACCGTAGTGGGAGAATCCACTTACTCTTTCCACATACTTATGTTGCTGGGTCCGGAGTTGGCTGGTTCGTTCTGTCATGGTCGGTTGCAAGAAAGCAGACCCAGTTGTAGAAATGAACAAAACAAAGGTGTTTATTGATGGAATTAAGCACAAGTAGACAGACAAGGGGATGACAAGGTCAGTAGGGGCAATAACACAGTGGAGCCACTGGAAGGTACAAGATGACACCAAGAGTGAAAGCAAAGCACCCTAAGACACAAGACAGGACAGCAAACAGGCAGCAATAATTGTACAATAAAATAATAAAACTAACTAAATCTAAAAGAAAATATTAAATCAATATAAATCCTAGTAGAAAGGAAACTAGACTGACAAAAAAAAAAAACAGAAAAAAACTTCTAGAATCATAAAGAGAGAAAATAAACAAGACAACTAAGGCATACTCGCACTATGTACAGTTGCCTTGAACTGTGCCCAAGCACACTTAGAGAGACAGGTGAAAACAATCAGGATAACAAGGTCTAAATAAAAGGGCTGGGTAACTGAAAACAAGGAGGAAAGATAAGAGGAACACACAGCTAACACAAATTAAGGCAAAGTAATGTAAACAAGCACAAGAAAAACAGCAGGGCTCGAAATTGCCACCATTTTGGTAGCATATGCGCCTGAAATTTAATCTATGCGACCACATAATATATTTGGGAGCATTTGTGCGACCTGTTTAGATTTTTTCCTAAAGATGTGCTGAATTGGTCTTCCCTGCCTCTATATTGGTTCATATTAGCTATCAATCCCTCACGGCTCTCAGCTGTCAGATGACCGGGAGCTTTTGTGACAGCAAAATGCAAACGGCTGAAGAGTGAAAAGAAAACTGGTTTGCAAACCCCACCTAAAGTTACAAATATTGGTGCCAATGACAGCAATCATGTAGCCAATGTTGATCTGCCAGCTGAGATAAATCCAGTGTTTTCAGAGAAGGTGCCGAAATCTCGATGCGTTGCATTCACTGCATGTTCAGCGCAAATGTTCGCTACTGTAAATGTAAAATCTGATACTGTACACATCGCTAAAGAAGCTTGCCTTTACTAAGTTTAAACTGAAACTGCGGCTCATAATAAAGAACGGTATTGCGCCGGTGGTCATCGCGAGAATCCTGCTCTGCCTGCTCATAAATTAGTCCGACTGCCTCGCCTGATTTTTTTCACAAACACAGAAAAAAGTAAATCAGCGTATAACGAGACTGAGCATTTAAAATGACACAAACCGAAACCAAAACTCTTGAAGACTGTTAGATGTGAGACTCTTCTTACTCTCTTTTGTCCATTCTTTCTTGAGATGCATATTTTTTTATTTAATAACTAATGACTGCATTGCAGCTTTCAGCTTTGAATTGAATGATTGATTATACTCTTTCGTTTGTTTGTAGCAGAAATATTACTGATTAAATTGACATGCATATAAAAACAATAGTGCAAAATAAATATTTCTTACTGCAATGCTGCATTTGTGTTTGATGCAAACCATAAAATAATTTTTCATAAAGTAACAGTAGGACCTTTTATAGCATATAACTTACATTAAAGCACATTCAAGGCAGCATGATAATGAAAAATGTAATTCATTGCTAGCATTATCGTCATCTTTGCATCATTAATATCAAATAATTATTAGACATTCATTTTGGAATTATTGTACAAATATCAATAAGTCATCACATCATTAGTTAGATAGTAGGGATGTAACGGTATCAGAATTTCACAGTACGGTAATACCTCGCTATGAATGTCACGGTACGGTATTTATTGAATCATTTACAGGAAAAAACAAAACTTATGAAAATACTCCAAAAAAGTGCCAAAAGTGTCAATGACATACAAATTAGCCATCTATCTGTAAGCTTTGAAACAGGAACTTCAATTTTAATAACAAAAAAATATTAAACCATGTAAAAAAAATAAAGTTTCAATTTAGTATTGTTGAAAACTCATCACATTCAACATTTAATCACTCACTCACTTAGATAGAGATGGGTTTAAAGGAAAATTATCATATAAATATAATCCGGTAAAAGCTGGTATGTCTGAGTATTTACAATGTCCCCTGCAACAGAAAAAAACCCTCTCATTTGGGACTGAGGTTTCTGGGACAGAGAGATATGACTTGGCCCAGGTTGACAGCAGTGGGTAACGTTGTGCATTGTCTTTCCCCCACTTGAGAGGACAAACCATGAGTGAGATAGAGATCTCATGTCTGCATCAATCTGAACAGTGTGCTGTGTTTCTGCAGTCCCCATGACTGATTAGTCGTATTCCCCAACTTGCAGGCACGTGCACACACAGTGCTCAACCTGTGCAGTGCACATGCCCTTTTTAGTCTTGGATAGAAAGTTCCCTTCCAAAATGATCAGAAGTGCCCCCGCGACGCGACATACCCTCCGTCCCCGCTTTACAGTACGCGCGCGACAACACAGCTAATAAGAACTCGCGCGACAACACCACTATTCAGTACGCGCGCGGCGACAACACCCGCTTTAGGGTTTTCCAGCTCTTTTTGATCCCCGCTACTAGCAGCACACTCCATTTCCGCATTACTGGATCTGTAGCGACAACAGACCGCAAGGGATTATGGCCAAGCCTGGGCTGATGGGAATTGTAGTTTCCGGTACCTCCCGTTTGCTTCATTCGCCTGAGCAAATTTTCTCATTAGACCTATAGTTTTACGAGTCATGCGACTTCGATAATATCGAAAAAAATTAATATTGCGGTATGACGGTATTTACAATACCGTTACATCCCTATTAGATAGTTATTTCTGGATGTTGTTAATCCTAATTGATGTTGTTTTCAAATACAATAAATCCATTAATGTACAACTTGCTGTGGTGATCAATTATTTGTGGTGGGTGCTCCTGAACTTTTTCTGATACTCCTAAATATTTAAAGTTATAGGAGCACCAGTGCTACTAAGTAAAAAAGTTGATTTCGAGCCCTGAACAGGGAAACAAACACTGACAGGACAGGCAAGACTCTCTGGCCAGGACCACCTTTTTTTATTTTTATGTGGCACCCCTTTATGATGCAAGTAATTACAATCAGCCTGAAGAAGACTGAGTTCACTATATTGGTTACAATAACAAGGGCAACTCACCATTTAATTCAGCTTCTTTTAAAACAGGAGGATTCCAGCTGAAATCACCTATTAACCACAAAAGAGGTCATATTGGACTTTAAGTATATATATATATATATACACGAGTTTTTATAGTAGGAGGTGTATTCTCTTACCCAGAACTTTAAACAGGTTCAGATGATCTATCAGCTCATTTAAGAACTCTCCTACTTTGTCTCCTGCTGACAGTAGTGCTTTAAGGAACACTTTATTCACTCTGCCCCGGTTGATTTCTCCCTTTGTGCTCGCATTATACATTAACCTCTGAAATGCTTCATCCTTTTCTAGCATATCTCCTAATGTCTTAATTGCGGAAGCTAAGTTATTTCGGTCTGTGTAATCTAGAGACATACAAACAATAATTAGATATGAGTATCTGCATACATTAAAATGGTGTAACACTAAGAAAATTAGCACAAGAAGTAGACTAGACAAGTATTCATATCACGCGCGTCCACTTACCACTAGACATCGTGTGTCACATAAACAATCCTTGATACTGAATTATCGATTTGCTGATATACTAGTTACTGACTTTTAACTAGATCTAACACTGACTAAAATGGCAAAACATTATTCTGTTTTAACGACCAAAACAGCTCAGTGATTCCCGCTTTTGAAAACGAAACCAGTGCGTCATAAGGAAAAAGTTCATAGTTGCGTGGTCACGCCTTCTGCGCGTGCATGGCGGTGCCTGATAAAGGTGCGCGCTTTGCAAAGGAGCTTCCGTGTTTCGTCTTGGCAAAACAAGTTTGAGTTACTCTTTATATTTATATATATTTACTCTTTATATTACGGTTGGCAAATCAAAAGCACTCCTTTGTATTCATATTCTATTTAGGTGTTTAATGTACTAAATTCAGAGGCGACACGGTGGCTCAGTGGTTCGAGTCCCATCTGGGCCACCCTCATTATGTGGAGTTTGCATGTCCTGGATGACTGGGGTGATTCGGATAAATTGGCCATATGTGTGTGAATGAGTGTGTATGGGTGTTACCCTGTACTGTAGGCAGTAGCCAGCCTAGTGAAAGGGGGGTTCTTTTTTCTCAAAAAGTGGACTTTTTTTGCAGTTATTCGCTTCATTTTCTTTTCATTTGAGGTTTAAATACTGCATTTTAAATTACATTTAAGCACATTTTTTTCTGGATTAGCTTGTCAGGTGGCCATCATAACCACAATTTTTAATGTAACAAAAACATTTCCTAATTATTAAGAAAAAAAAAATAAATGTATACTTATTATTTTAAAAATACAAATTTATCTACATCATTAGAAAAACTGTAGTCTATTGTTATTTGTTAGGCACATTCAACTTTCCTCGGTGTGAATTTGAATAATAAAAAATCAAAACATAAAAATACTAATAATAACAAAGAGCTTCTCATTTTTTGTAGTCTCTCTTGTAGAATAGTACATTTGAAAATTCATAGATAACAACAATTGCCTCATTAGTATTTAAATTAACTTTATTATGCTTCAGAATTACTTTTTAGTGCTTCACTTCTTTTTATTGGTCTTTTTTTTTCAAGAATAAGGTCCAAGATTTAGAATAAAAGTTACATGTAAACTGTATTCTCTATTTAACAACATTACAGTAGGTCAGTAGTGAAGGTTGACCACTTATTTCAGATTCTGTTTGGTCTTTAAGCATTCTTTGACAAGTTATTTTGTCAATTTATGATGGCGTAGCAGTCAAAAAAGACAAACAAATTCTGGGGGGTCTTTCGAACCACCTGAACCGCTTCTGCCTACAGGTCTGTACTGAGTTGCAGCTAGAAGGGCATCCGCTGTGTAAAATATATGCTGGATAAGTTGGCGGTTCATGCTACTGTGACGGCCCCTGATGAATAAAGGGACTAAGCTGAAGGAAAATGAATGATTGTACTACATTTTTTTTTAATTTCAAGAACTTTCTTTTTAGAATGATGAAATTTATTTACATTTTTAGTGTAGTAAGTGCATATACGTTATTATTTGATTTAGTTCCTGTATGTATGCATATCCTGCTTATCTAGGGGGGAACTAAATAAAAGAAAATCTAATCAAAAAGATAAAATCAAACTGATTTTATCCCATTCACAGTTTGCTTATTTTATTGTTGCACACATGAAGATTATCACTAAAAGCTGGAAAACTAAAGGGTGAGATCTGTTTTGTTAATGAAAGCTTTAGCGAAGGTTCTACCAGGAAGACTGAGATGTCACGTCATTCATAATAATTATCTCGTCAGCCTATAACAACCAAGCAAGCCATGTATAAAAGCTCATCTAAACAATCTGTTTCGCTGTATTCAGGTGACGTTGCGGAAGTTTCGGTCACGGTGCGGAAGTTTGGACTGCCAACGTCGTTTACGTCTCACAAGTTTGTTCATTTCTCTGTTCGTGTTCACGTAACAGCTCAAAGTTGAAGGTTAACAGCTTCGTCAATCACTTCATTTTCGCCATTGATTGATTTCACCATTTCGCTTTCGTCATCCGCCGATCGTACATTTAAATATCCTTGCATCGGGTTAAGGTTACTAGCTTTTAGCACTTCTAACGTTAGCTCCTACTCGCAAAAATGTACCTCATAGCTGGAGACCAAAATGAACATGGAATTTCACCGAAAACAGCCAGGTTAAACACTCTCAATCTGCTTCATTGGGATTTCACGCCATCTTCATCTGCCATTCCATCTCGGTATACTCTGTTTATTACCTTAAATCGTTACGTGTATACATAGTCTGCATGAGGTAAGTCTAACTCTTGTTTCATTAACGTCATATGAAGTCACTGAATTATGATATGCAAGTTAATGTCTGAAAGAGCACATATCTAACGTTATGGCCTCTAATCATTTCGTTCTAAATGTTTTCCTAGCTGGAATCCACATTTTTTAAACAAGTCTTATACCATAAAGCTAGAGCCGTGATGCAGACGCAGACAATACGGTATCGGTTCAGCTTTAACGTTAAATCAAAACCGATCATTGTCACGGTAGGATACTATGGTAGGAAGACGAACGAGAGCTTCTGTAAAACACTGTAACTTAAAACACAGAAATTGAGCATCATTTACCGTGCGAGACGAGTGTCTGCTGGGCAGTCCTTCGCTGACGCGGAGGTACAGGTAACGTTAACTTGCAGCCTCCATTTCACTGCGATTGAGAAATAAACTCCATTTCTCAGACTGTTGCCCTTTGACTTGTTAACGTGACGTTTCCTCTCCTTACGGCCGTTAAAGAGCTTTACTTGTGAATCCATAACATAGCGAGTTTTCTCCGTGTTTATCATTGATCTGCTGTAATCGCCGCTAAACTTTATCAGTGTCATTCATTGGCGAACAGCGCCAGCCGTTAGAACCAATCGCAGCCCTTTCCGTCGAAGACAGTTTACGCGTTGAGCCAGTATGGAAGAACGTTGGGGCCAAAACGTCTTTTACAAACTCTTTATTTAATATATACGTGTGTGTATGTGTGTGTGTGTGTGTGTATATATTAAAAAAAAAAAAAAAAAAAAAAAAATAAAAAAAATAAATAAATAAATAAATAAATAAATAATAATAATAATAATAATAAAAAAAAATAAAATAAAAATAAAAAAAATTAAAAAAAAACATGCGAATTCACTCGATAAAGCTCAAAGCGAGCAGGACATTCGCTTTCGTTTATTTGCTATGAATGCTAATGTTGCCATGTACATGCTCGTTTGTCTTTTTTAGAGTACAGTTCCGACTGTTCGTATTAAATGACAACTCGTATTACTAATAACACGTACAAATAAAAATCTTTTTATACTGTTCTTGTGCTATGAATTAAAATATAATCGTGTGGAAAGCATCATCAATGCACCCTGACGTACCATAGTATCGGGTCGAACCAAATCGATGGCATAATTGTAAACGAACCGTAAGACCAGTGCAAATTCACTCCTTGAGCAGATATGCTGTTTCAATAAACCAAGATGTTACAGGTACATATTTCAGCCTAACGTGAGTCCAATACATACATTTTAAGTTTCAAACATTTTCTTTCATTTCAAGTAATAATCATCATGTGTTGTCTTTGCAGCTACTGGTGGTGGTGGTCCAGTTGGGTTTTATGGCACTTCGCGTTACACAACATCTCGGATTACCAGTTTCTATGGTCCATCGGGTTCTTCCATATAGCTAGGCCTATTGCGGCCTCTTTAACCATGGCTTATCGTTGCCTTTCATCTGCATTTAATGTGACCCTTTATAGTAGCACTTTTTCATGGACATAACTGTTCAATATTGCAATTTCGGTATCATCACAATTTAACTTTCCTTACATAAGCATAATTCGATTAATTTATGTATCATCGTATATAATGTGATTTAGCGTTGTATCACTGTAATTGATCTTGATCTGTGTATGCATGCACCTAACTCTCTAATCCTTATTTAACAAGAATGAAGGTAGGCTACAGGTGCCATACTTGCTACATGCTTTCAAGAGGTTAGCTGCTCTCGTTGTCATGTTCACTTACAGAAATATTGAGGTCTCTTAATGAATGAATTTATTTTCATGCAAAACGGCGTTCGCTACAAAAAAAAAAAAAAAAGACTTGTCGCAATCATAACTTTAAAATGCTATATGATTATTTAAATAATGTGCACTTTCGGTTTCATTTTCACTGCTGAGTGCTGTTCGTACTTCGCTCGCAGCTCTCAAACGATCACTCTGTGCCACAAACTGAATATTATTTACAAATTTATTACCCGTTTTTCACAGCATATGTAGTTTCGTCCACTAAAGTAGACGCACGCACGTCAATCATTAACTAGGGCATGCAACCGCACAATCAGCAGCTCGCGTCATGTGTGATTCCCATAATTCGGAGGTGTCCATGTCGCTAAGCAACGTGTGTGAAACAATGAAAAGACTCGTGCAGCCGCCTTTGCTTCTCTCCTAAATTTGAAAATAGGTTTGGCAGAATCGTAGAAATGCTGCTTTAAGAGTCTTGGTGGTCAAATTGAGATCGCAATTTCTTTCCGATTAATTGAGCCCAACAGGGCTCCGTCTCGCACGGCAAGTCCAACTGGGCTCCGTCTCGCATTTTCTTTGACCGGCCCGTCGGGGCACTCTCAATGTCTTCGGCCCGTCGGGGCACGCTCGATGTCTTCAGCCTTTCGGGGCACGCTCTCAATGTCTTTGGCCCGTCAAGGCACACTCTGAATGTCTTCGGCCCGTCGGGGCACACTCTCCCTCCTCTGCCCGTCGGGGCACACTCTCCCTCCTCTGCCCGTCGGGGCACACTCTCTCGAATTCTTTCGATTGATTGTGCAGCTCTAAATTATACCATACTGAAATTTTCATAACCTAAATCCCCAAGTTCTGTTTACCTCAACGTACTGCTGTCTCTGCTCTCTCATGTACAACAGCGTGTAGAATGTGACTGCAGAGTAAGCTAACCGATATTGCTATCACATTTTTAGAAGAACGAAAGCAATGTAATCGACCATATAAAAACATCAGCAGGACAGGCCTGGGCTACAACTTATCGTCTATATAAAAATCCCAACAAGGAAAATCTTAACTGTTGGGTATTTTATTTTTGGGGGTAGTCATTGCCTACTATTATCCCCAGACAGGACCCAATCATAATTCAGGGGATTCAATATTTACTCAGATTTGCTAAACAGCTAGACTTTAATTGTCGTAAATCACAATAGATCCTTAATTTCATGGGTTTTATACAAGGTAACCCCGATCAAGCCCAATGGGGCTCCGTCTCGCACCGCAAGCCCAATGGGGCTCCGTCTCGCACCGCAAGCCCAATGGGGCTC